CCTACCAGTTGTCATTAGTTGTCATTGAATGTTTTTCACTGTTTTATTATAGGGGGTTAAGTGGGCTAAGTTCTTTTTTCCTCGGTATATTTTGAAAATGATAAGGTATATTTTGGTATATTTCTGAGTATATTTTTTCCGTGAATTCGCGGGTGGAAATTAGCGGATATATGCAATAAATTGATAATATAATATATAACATAATTGCCAGCGAGGCGGACTTGTAGCCATATCTTCCCAGACCATAAGCCGTCAATTGCATATCAGTCCGCAGAAGGAATAAATCTCGCGGAGTAGCAGCGTGTGTCGCTGCAGTCGTGGTGTTTTGTTATTGGAGCAAATAAAGAAGTAGAAAACAAGATTAAAAATAAATTCAGTGTTTGGCTGGCACGCACTCGGGAAAAATGCATGTGCTGCTGGTGAACGAGCAGGAAAAAGTGCGACCAATTGTTTTCGCCACAAAACGTCATATATTATAAAATTGAAAAATTAGGTCGTCGTTTGTTGTTGGTTTTGGAATCAAAATTATTTGGTGAGTTGCGTTGCTGTGCTGTGGCAGCTATAATGATTAGCTTACAGTTTCAATTAACTTTCAGTGGCTGGCTTAAAAGTTAAAGCAAGCGGACGGACCACGGGCCCAAAGAGAAGTCAACAAAAACGACTTTGAGAGAGACGTCGCGACGCACACGAAATAATTATAACAACACGTTCAAAGTGAAGGTCAACGTCACAACGGCGACGACGAAGGCAACGACATCAGCAGCAACTCTGGCTGCCGAAAAGCAAAGTGAACGCCTTCCCTCGAGCTAGCGATTTCCAATCTGGGCCACCCTTCCACCACATCCACTGCAACACAATGTCTTCACCAGGCATGTCCACATCCATATCCTCCTCCGCCCAGCGGCTGATGTTCACACTGTTCCTACTGGCCCTGCTCATCCTGGTCGCTAGTGTACTCAGCAGTGACACCGCCATGCCCACACAGAATATGTCCCACAAGGAGAGAACGGAGCTAAGGTGAGTGAATGGTAGATGAGTAGAATGGTAGTCAAACTCTTATTCCGTCTTCGTTTGCAGGGAAGAGGCCCGCGACATGTTTTACCATGCGTATCGTGCTTACATGGAAAATGCCTATCCAGCCGACGAGCTGATGCCTCTCTCCTGCAAAGGGCGCTACCGCGGCGTGACACCTTCGCGGGGCGACATGGATGACATACTGGGAAAGTGAGTGTGGAAAGTTTGGAGTGCAAGTTGAGCTTGAAATGTACGGACTGTGGCCTTATGTGTGTTGTAGCTTCTCCATGACCCTGGTGGATACTTTGGATACGCTGGTGCTGCTCGGTGACTTCACAGAGTTTGAGCATGCCGTCAAATTGGTCATCCGTGATGTCCAGTTCGACAGCGACATTATTGTCTCGGTGTTCGAGACAAACATTCGAATGGTGGGCGGCCTGCTCTCGGCCCACATTCTCTCCGAATATCTGCAGAAGCAGGTGGATGTGATGCACTGGTACAAGGGGGAGATGCTGGAGATGGCGCGCGAGCTGGGCTATCGGCTGCTGCCGGCGTTCAATACCTCCACGGGGATACCGCATGCCAGGGTAAACCTGCGCCACGGCATGAAGGATCCCATGCTGAAGAAGTCGCGGGAAACGTGTACGGCCTGTGCAGGCACGATACTGCTGGAGTTTGCTGCCTTGTCGCGACTCACGGGTGACCCCATATTCGAGGTGCGTGCCCATGCCGCAATGGATGCGCTGTGGAAGCTGCGCCACCGCGGCTCAGACCTGATGGGTACCGTCCTGAATGTCCACTCCGGCGATTGGGTTCGTCGCGACTCGGGCGTGGGTGCCGGCATCGATAGCTACTACGAGTATTTGTTCAAATCGTACGTCCTGCTGGGCGACGACAAGTATCTGGCTCGTTTCAATCGCCACTACAACGCCGTGATGAAGTACGTCAGCGAGGGACCCATGCTCCTGGACGTGCTAATGCACAGGCCGCACGCCAAGTCCAGGAACTTCATGGACTCGCTGCTGGCCTTCTGGCCGGGCCTCCAAGTATTGTCCGGTGATCTGAAGCCAGCGGTACAGACCCACGAGATGCTCTACCAGGTGCGTCAATCCATTTTAACTACTGTGCATAACATAATGAATTGTGTTTACTCTTTAAAATAGGTTATGCAGATGCACAATCTTATTCCAGAAGCATTTACGGTTGACTTTCAAATCCATTGGGGCCAGCATCATCTACGGCCCGAGTTCATCGAGTCAACGTACTTTTTGTACCGTGCCACGGGCGACCACCACTACCTCCAAGTGGGCAAGCGTGCGCTGAAGACTCTGCAGCAGTATGCAAAGGTCTCCTGCGGCTATGCGGCTGTGAATGATGTGCGGACGGGCAAGCACGAGGACCGCATGGACTCGTTCGTCCTCTCCGAGACATTCAAGTATCTGTTTCTGCTGTTCTCCGATCCGCAAGATCTGATCATAAATGTGGATGAGTTTGTCTTCACCACGGAAGCGCATCTGCTGCCCCTGTCGATTGCACAACTAGGGAATGCCACGTTTAGTGAGTGAACCACAGTGATCCCCTAAAGACTCCCTTGTCACTTACAGATTTCACTTACAGGCTTTCGGCAATCGGACGAGCACAATGTACTCGACTTCATGCGCACCTGCCCCAGTTCCAATAAGCTTTTTCCTGAGAAAGTACGCAAACCATTGCGCAACTTCATTACGGGCTCGTGCCCGCGCACCAGCAGTGGCAAGCGACTCAGCGCCCTGGATTTTCAGGCAAGCAATGCAGATCATCTGCGAGCTGTTTACGACATGGGCATCACCATGGTTTCGGTAGGGGACCGCAGCCAAGGCAAGGTGCGACTGTTTCATAGTTTCTATAATGTAAGTTTTTCGTTCTGTTTTGCATTTTTCTTTTCCTCTTTTTTTTTCTTTGGTTGCGTTTAACATTATAAGTAATCGCTGCTTCTCCTTTTTCTGGTTTTTATCTGATGATGGGATCATCATATATATTCTCTCTATATTATGTTTATTCAAACACAGGCCAAGAGTCACGAAGAGGGCGAAATGGGACTACAATTTATGCAGGAGATGCTGGAGCTAACTAAGATTCAGAGCATGAATCAGCTGGCGCAACTGCAAGTGCGTAAATTAATCAGAAGCACAAATAAATGTAACTATATTATCCATAATTTTAAAGGCCGTGGCTTATGCCACTGATGAGAAGCTTCAGGACTGGACTGCCCTTATGGCCGGACCTTCGCACTTTAGTCCAGAGCTGATTGGCGAGCAGTTTGTGGAGGGCGATATCATTCTGGCCAAACCATTGCGAGCCTGCGATGAGAAGCTCAATCAGGAGGAGGATGGCGATGATGCGAGGGGAAAGGTTCTGGTGGCCGAGCGCGGCGATTGCACGTTTGTCAGCAAGGCACGACTGGCGCAAAAGGCTGGCGCTGTGGCTTTAATTGTCTGTGATAATGTACCAGGTTCTTCCGGCGAGACGCAACCCATGTTTGCCATGTCCGGCGATGGCACCGACGATGTACTCATACCCGTGGTCTTCATGTACAACGTGGAGTTCAGTAAACTGGCGGCGGTGATGAAGCGGCGCGAGCATCCGCTCCGTGTGCGAATCATGCAAATGGTGGAGTTCAAGCGCTGGCAACTGGCCAAAGAGGGGCGGCAAAACGATACGACGGCATCGACCCAAAAGCCGGACAGGGAATTGTAGTGCCTACTGTCCACCCACCCCACCGTAAACGCTTCTGCTTCTGCGGCTCTCAAAAGTGCTTTTCGATAAACATTTTTGAAAAAGTATCAATCGAAATTTCAACATTCGTAAATTGTACATTTTAGCCGCTCAGTAGCAACTACATTATAAAATTCTTGTACTTTACTAGACACGTAAGGATCCACCCTTCCCCCCGTAAACCCGTTAACGGAACCGCTTGAGCTAGCCGTGACTTTTAGAACTTTCCTCTTTGGGGACTTTTTTGCTTGCGTGTGATTTTTGTGATTCGGTTCGGCGCAACTCTCAGGCTAGCGATTGGCTTTCTAGTAGCTGCAACTATTGCCGGGCCGATCTAACAACTTCAGATATTCAGATATACCCATACATGGTACGTACATTGTCAAAGTGTAGTTCCGCAGCCTCGCCTTCGGATTTTTATACGAGTTTTACTTTCCGTGTAAGTAAATCTTTTGTACATACAACATTAGATCGTAGCAACTAACAAAGTACTAATTAATGTTTAATTTTAAGAATAACTAGATTATTAAGCAATAAGTCGAGAACAAGAAGCCAATCTGTAGTTGAAATTGTTTAGTTCATATACCAAAATAGTTTAAAATATACGAGAATTTGATAAAACCAAACCAATGCCTTTTTTGCATTTCGTTCGAGTTCATGAATTAAAAGTGAACCAAAGTTTAAATATGTACCCTTGAAATATTAGGAAGCTTTAAATATGATAATGTTGCCCGATCTTATGCTTTATGCCACTTGTACCTGTATTCCTGCACTCTCCCTACCGCTTCGCACCCATAAGGCTTATATCCCCAGGGGTCTATGAAAACATACATTAATTATACAATTATAGATATATTTGAAAAGGGATCCATTTAATGACATTCGGCTTGTTTCCATTTTGGTTTCCGTCGCTTAACTCATATTATATGACACTCCTACTGTTCTACTCGATTCCATTCGCGAGCAGTAGATCAAATTTAATATTTAGGGGCTAGAACTACGTTAACTAATTTACAATATGCCTAGAGTTTTGTTTTTCTTTTAGAAAAGTTCAAATAATAAAAAAAAGAAAACGAAAAGCCAATGAAATAAAAAACACTTAGATAATACAAATGGATGACTTAATTAAGGCCGACTTAGGATTAGGACTTAGACTAGAGAAAGTTATCGAAAACAATTGCTGGAGAGGGGTAGTGAGGGGAGGGTAGTGAAATAATAAGCGTGAAGCGCCGTACAGGGGCTGTATCATCCGATACCTTCAAGTATATTTGATGTACGAGTGAGAGTTCGTCTGTGGGATTTATGAATATTACATTTCAGATTTAGACGCCATTAACGTATCGTCGAATCTGGTGAGAGACACAAGTCGCACAAGGAGCAGGAACAGACGGCTAGATAAAGAACTTGGGCTAAGGGAGCCTCTCTGTCGGTTCATACTGGTACGGGCATGGACTGGATTGAAGCAGTGCCAGATGCTGACATGGTCGACTGGCTGCTGTTCATAATCTGTTGCTGCTGCTGAACGGCCAGTTGCAGCATGTGGTTGGCGATGCTGTCCACGGTGAGGGTGCGCGGCGACAACTCGATAACCTGTGACTTGTGGCGCGCATAGAAGCGCTGTGAGCCATTCGCCTGAGGTGCCACGTACGTCAACTGCCTGGGATCGGCGGAACTTATCCAAATCTCTTCGCCAGTGCCGGCCTTGAGGATCAGGTGGTCCCCGGTGTTGACGGCCTGAATCTGCTCATTAAACTGAGGTGTTGGCAGGCGGTGCACCTGCAACAGACGATGCGAGGGCGTCGCATGCGACAGCTCGCAGGCAATCACGTGTACCTCGGAGGGCTTGTCCAACTGCTCCTGGGACTCGATGTGCTGATAGAGCACCAGCATGCTGCTCTGGTCCATTTCGAAGCTGGGGTAGTGCATGGTGGCCAGAGTGCGGCCCAGCGGGCAGCAGAGGTCATAGTTCATCAGCGTGTCTCCGCTGCGATGGTCCCAGATCGTGATGCGTGTCAGTCCATAGCCAATCAGGCGATCCTCCGTGAGGCACTCAATGTGCTTCAGCTCGTGCCGCAGCTGCTTGAACTCGCGTATCGAGGCCAGCGTGTCCAGCGTGGGGGTCAGCGAGTACTTGCAGATGCCCGAGCGCGGCTTACCCATCACCACCTCCTGCTGCCAGGCCACCACAAAGTAGCGAGACTCTGCAATGCTTGTGAAAATCACATGCGACCCGTCACTGAAAAGAGCGAATAGAGAACACATCAATTATGATTGAATGTTTGACTGTGGTTCGATTTGTGAAGACTCACCAGCTGACCGCATCCAAATGCACGGAATGCATCTTGGGGCGCAGCTCCTCCTCGCAGTAGTAGTAAACGTTCACATGCAGCGACGTCAGCGTCACTTCCCGCTTGTGGTGGTCCAGCGGATGGCAGCGCATCTCCACGTACACAGGCGTTGAATTGTGCACACAAAGTCTATTCCCGAACGGCGCAAACACCTCATTGTCTGTTGGAAAGCAGTTGGAAATTAGAAAAGGTGCACATATGTAAGATGTAAGATATAAAGTACGCACCATTCGTAATGCGCCTCAGTTTTCCCAGATTCACCCAACGCGGGCCCCGTTCAAAGTCTTCCTCTGCATAGGAGTGTTCCGATTCTGTGGCTTTCGACTCAGTGCCTTGGCCCGGAAGTATCGAGTGTGTCGAGGCTTTATTCTCCTGTGCTGAGCTTGGCGTACGTGGCTTGTGCAAGACATTGAAGACCTTCGAGTACTTCCAGAAGCTGACGCAGTGCTCCTGCAGAACTATCAGCTGGTCCAGCTCATAGTAGATGTACAACACTTTGCCGTGTTTGCCCGCCAGCGGGTTGCTTAGCATACGAGATCCATCGCAGAGTCGGACCATGCTACCGGGGGGAAGGGTACGATTGATATCGGTATATGACCCAGCATTATCCGTCTGCTGCGACGGCCGACGACGCGAGAAATGTATATCCTTCTCCCTCTCCTTCTGTCCGATATCCGATCCTCTCGGTGGCGGATAGACCAAGACGGGCTTGGCCAAACTGGCATACTGGGCATAGTTTGAATTGTTTGTTTGCATATACTGGCTGTAGCTCGGGGGATTGGCCTGCATGTAAAGCTGCTGCTGCTCCAACAGTGGCTCTTGAGGTTGGGCAAACTGACGGGCACTTAACAAATATCGACCCACGAGGTCTTTAGCTGGGGATGTGCGTGCATGTTTTGCGAAAAACTCTTGGGAGTCGTCCATCAAGGCCTTGATTTGATGAGGATCAGCAGTTACATGGAGAGAACTGGGAAACTGGGCAAAAGGCAAGGGTCCAGCTGCTGTTTGAACAGAGACCCCAGCCCCAGGCATCGTGTGGGCTCGCGCACGCCTGTAGCTCTTTGGGCGATTACCTCCAGCATCTCCGACCACGGCGTTGGTTACCTTCCCTACCGTCTTTTTGGGAGAATGCGGTGGAGCAGCAGCCGTCGTCTGCTGCTGCTCGAGACGATGCTGTTCGGGCAACTTCTTATCCAGGGTCTCCGTGGCCTCCGTTGCTTTCTTCGCGCTTCCTTTGGCAGACTTCTTCGGGGCTGCTCCTGCGGCGGTGCCACCGCTCAGTCGCTTGCCCCTGCCCTGAGCATCCGCATCCGAGAGAGCATAGCTCTTCAGAAGGCTGACCTTTCGATTGCGTAGCAGCTTCGAGTTCATGTGCGTGGTGGAGCGCGTGACCAGGTCGCGGGTGCGGGCAGGTGCTCCCGCTTTGGTAGGAGACGATGCACCCACCGATGTCCTTGGCTTCTTGCTCTCAGCCTGACTCTTTCGGGGAGTTTTGGAGGTTTGTGCTTGGTTTTTAGTTGGCTTTGGATTGTGTTTCAGCTGTCTGGATCTGTCTGGGCTGGAGCTCTCCACAGAGGGACGCGGACCGCCATAGCCCGCCGTCTCGACGTTGCGGGTGGGAGAGGGCGTGAGGGTACGCGTGCGTGTGGGTGCGCGCGGCGTTGGTTGTGCCACTGGCAGCGCCACTGGCGGAGCATTACTCATCGATTGGACAATGTAGATGGATGGCTTCGTCTCACGTGCCTGTCGCAAGCGCTTCTGCATACACTCCAGCAGCTCCTCACGGGCCGGGGCGGCAGCGGCGTAGACCTGGGCGAAGGCAGCCTCTACCAGTTCAGACTTGGAGCACCTTGTGTCCTTCTCTGGCTGGTGGTGCTGCTGCTGCACGGTCTCCAGCAACTGGTCCTGGGTGGGTGTGACAGCGGCATAGACCTGGGCAAAGGCCGCCTCCACCAATTCAGACTTCGAGCATCTATCGTCAGCCTCTCCATCCGCCGCCCCCTCGTCCTCCGCATCCGAGGATATTGGGTGATCGCCCTGTGCCTCATAGTATTGGTCATACGCTTGGGTGGACTGACGCTGCTCTTCCGCGACTAAGGCTGCGGCTTGCTCCTCTGTGCTCTGCTCACTGCTGGTGTTCAAAGCCACAAGCTGCTGAAGCTGCTGTTTCCTCTTCTTCCGCTTGCCACGCACATCACATCGCATCCTGTCCAGCTGCTCCTGCGGCCGCACTCTCAGGGAGCGTCGGGCCACCGTGCTGTTGGCCAGCTCCCGCATGGCCGTGGCTACTGCATTGGCCGTGGACATCTCCGTGAGTCCCAGATAGTTGCAGAACTCCTGCTGCTCGTAGAACATGGCATCGTTGGGGCAATCGCCAAAGGCGTCAGCATTCTGTCCAACCCTCAGGCTAAGCGACACATCTGTGGGGGAAACAGAGAAAGATTAGACCTCGTAATGGTATGGCACACGGAGGAAACCCTTACCCGATGGGGGATTGGGACTCTCCCGATAGCGGGAATGCTGCTGCTCCTCCAGCAGTAGCTCTTTGTGCCGTTTCGTGACATTCTTTCGCATCAAGCCAAGGACAACGTCCGCCAGCTCACGGTCAACTTCAGTTTCCGTGGAATTAATAGCAATAGCAGCCGGCATGGCTGCGAGAGCGACAGCAGGGGCGGGAGATTCTGCGGATGCAGTGGACACTGAGGCCACTGCCAGCGGTGCCAGATCTGCTGTGGAAGTCTCCTTTGTGGCCAGTCTCTGGACTGAGGTCTGTGTCTGAATTGTCTTCATGTCGGGCACCATTTTGAAGTCCTCCAGCAGCTGCTGCTGCTGCTGCTCCTCCTGCTCCGAGGAGAGTGCCTGCAATTCAGCCTCCGGTGTGAGGGTGGCCACAGATGGATTGTCCCCGCCCACCTCGTAGCAATCATCCTCGTCATCCTCGTCCAGAATAATGGTATCCTCTGTGGGCAGCACATGCAGCTGGCGTCGCTGAATGGGGGGCTTCTCCGGAGCGGATGTCCCTTGGCTGGCGCTGGCCTGGTCCTGGTCCACTGCCGATTGGGCTGGACTATGCATAAACTGGCGGCTTACCTTTTCCATATTGCGAACCAATGTCTCGCAAAACTCGTTGAAGCTGTGCCGCTGGTGCGGAATGGAAGCCTCGTGCTGCTCGAAGGTGGCCTGGAAGTTCTCCACATCCTCGACAGCCTCACAGTCGTGGGTGGTGGCCGTCTCCCAGGTCTCCACCTTCTCACTGAGACTCATCTGTGGCTGGGCCTGGCAGATGGTGGCCAGCCGCCGGTCCATGGCCTCCGAGAAGAGGGTGTTCTTCAGCAGTGGAGGATACTTGCGCTTTGCCGGATGTATTTTCCTTGGCCTATCCTCATCGCCCAGGCCCAGATTGAAATCTGCGTAGTTGTCGCTGCCGTTGGGCGTGGACGAAGAGCTATTTGGAAATTGTGTGGGGCTGCTGTGCTCAGCCTCGGGCTCCGGTTCGGGCTGCTCCTCCTCCTCCATGTCGCTGATAACAATGGGCTGCTGGGATTGCTCTGTGTCCATCTCTGGGACATGCTCCAGAGGAAGCTCCTGTTCCAGATGTAGCTGATGATGATGGTGCCCCTGCTGGATCTCATCCTCCTCCTCCCCCTCGTTGTCGTGGTCCTCCAACTCGTGATCGTACACCTGACAAATGTCGGGACGCTCTTCCTCCAGCGGAGTGTCGTCCACAAAGTTTGCATCATTCTCATTGTCATTGTCGTTGTGCGCCTCCTCATCCTCGAGCCCATCTCCTTCGACCAGCTCATGATGATGGACCATGGGCTGGTCCAGAGCCGCATCGCTGAGATATACATTGTTGCCGGCCTCCATGTGCGTCCCTTCCTCATCCTCATCCCCTGCCACGCCATCGATGTAGCCCGAGCCGTTCAGATGATGCCGGATCAGAGCTCCGTTGCCGGACATAAGGAAGGCCTGCTCGTTCTGCGTCGAGACTATTATCTCGCAGCAGTGCTCCTCGGCCAGGACGATTTCACCGTCCACGTCTTCGTAGACAACGCACTGCTCGGCACTGCTTGGGTCAACCATTTCGAGAGCTTGCTCCTCGCTATGCGGCAGAATCTCAAACAGACGAGCATCGACGAGGCTGCCGTTGGTGAGCAGAACCCCGGGATTTGTGGAAACCGATTGCATAAAGACCACGCCCGAGTCTGTGGCCGCCTCTGGAGAATCTAAAAAAAAAGGATGCTATTAAGTTACACAAAACCCTGTGCTTGAGGTTGACCAAAAACTAACCATTGATTTCGATTATTTCGCAGCTCATTCGCGGCCGTTTGGGTGGTGTGCAGGCAGAGTAGTTTGTGGCTTGTAGATCTTCGGCCTGTGACTGCATGGTGCGACAGAGTCCGTAGACGTCATGGCCTACGGTCTCCTCTGTGGTATCCACGTCGTCCTGATCAAGCCAGCCATGGAAGTCGGTGCCATCGCTCGATATGAGACTGCAAATCTCCGAATCGTCGGAGATGATGTGCAGCAGGCTGTCCACCGCGGGATCCAGCAGCTGCTGCTCATTCGCGATCTGTTCCCGGCTTAAATGTGGCCGTTCTTCATCGGCCACTTCCACGCCCAGGGGACCTGGTGCGGCGACTGATTGTGGCACTATGCCACTGCTCGACGAGACGAGGTCGAGCCACCGTTCTTCTGCCTGCGCGTAGGCCCTGTCCCGCTTCGACATTGTATTAGTTCACGCCAAATCGATTAAAACTGAAGAGATTGAATAATGGTAGCAATTGTGGAAGATTTTTTTTCGGAAATTACACGTGAAATTTTAAAAACTGTGCTCAATGCTGTGTACAACATAAAATATAAAGCCTCAACTCCGTATGGCTGCACAACATGATTGATTGTCAAAGCCTGCCTTGTTAGGATATTTTTGTGCGTATAGCAACGCACATATTTCATGTATTTTATATTTTGGCAGCAACAAATTCTTTTTTGTGATTACTTTTGATTACACCTCTACGGATAGGGGTATTCTTTTATTTGGTTATCGTTACTGCCCACCAATAGATGCATCGCATTCATCGGTATCCCAATGAAATATAATCGCTCAAATCTGTACTTATATGTTTAAACGTACTAATGAGACAAGATAAAAAGTACTAAATGAAAATAAAAATCAATGGCGCGTTTTTTGCCAGCCACAAATTTAACTTGGTTTTTTCGCCAAGATACCCCCAATCGATTAATCGATTGACTGCAAACAGCTGGCTGGAATACAAAAAAAATACAGTAAAAAACCATGTTCACTCGCCTATGCTAACTTGACTACAATTTTCCCATTCCCCATCCCATGCGCCCGCGCGCTGATAAGTTGCTGGTGAACAACAAAAACTTAGTGGCATTCGAAATAAAAGTACTAAGCGTGCTCGTAACTCTGAACACATCACAAAACATCCGAGCGCTCGAAGTGTGAACGTCGTGTCGTCCGCTCTCCGGAAAAAAACAAGAAATAAAATAAAAACGCTACTTTTACTCATCAATGTGCGTCTAAAACGAAGTCAACGTCAAATATAAATTTAAAGCGGAAAATTCAATAAATCAACAATGAGTGACAAATCTGTAAACGGCTGCAATTCTGGCCAGAGCTACAGTCAGTGCAACGGCACCGCCACCGCAACCACACAGCAGCAGGAAAAGGAAACCCCAACCAAAGGCAAAGACGTCCGCGTCTGGTGCGACGGATGGTGAGTCATTGGTCATACATTCATTTTTGGCAGAGGGGAAGGGGTGAAGATTGTGCCAGCGACTACTTCAATCCAAGAACCTTTGGTATTTGTATAGAGTTCCTTGAAAACGGTGAAATAATATCCACAAAAACGTACCACTAACGGTAATCGCTGTCGTTCGCTTGCGTCACTTTATTGATAGCCAGGAGGGGGGGAACGGTAAAGGCTGGCCGGCGGGCAAGTACACGTACAGTGGGTCAAAGCAAGACATTTCACAGGAATTACGTATAATTCTAGTGTTCAATCCGTCCGCTATATAGTGTCTATTTCAGGTTCAAGGTCAATTAGAACCGAAAGATCGCTCGACATATTAATGCAATAGTATACATATGTACATGTAATGGGGTAAATGCATGTAGGTATTCCGAGGAATTTGACGCATTTGCTAGTGCTCCGAGTGCTGCATGTTCTCTTTTGCTCGTATTATTGCTTTGGAGCTCTCTCCATTTAACATTTGATTGCATAGGATAGGCCAAAACCGGTTTATCTTAATCGAGAATGACGCATTCTACGGCGATAATGCTATATGTACTCCGTAGATGGATGGAATGGCCTACCATAACAAGTTTTATTTATTTGCTTTATTAGACGACAGAAATTTCCTTCTTTTTTATTGTGGCTTCCGCTGAACGTCTCAGAAGCATATATGTACATACATACATATTTACATCTCCGAATATATCAATTGTTTATCCTCTCTGTCCTCACTCTCTCTGTTGTTCCATAAAAAAAACAATGCCGCATGCCCAAACAAAATATATGTACATATGTATACATATAATACAAATAAAATCATCATCGTATGATTCTGTGTATGTGCACAGAGTGAGAAGCGAGATTTGTTCTTACCCGATACAGTGGCTGCTGGCCGCACCGGCACGTTTCTCTTTCCGGGGCGGGTGCGTTTACGTGGCCGTTGTTGACTGTGGCAACCCATCCATCCAAACATCACGTGATTGGGGTTTGCGCATGCCTCGTCCTCGTCTCCATCCCACGCCCAATTTCCAGTTCATGGTTTGGCCATCGCCATCGCCATTGACCCATCCCATCCCATATGGGGCCTCTCCTCATCGTCTGGCATTCTTTTGTGTACATTTTTCATTGCCATTTTGCAGCAGGCCTTGAGGGTCGCAAAGGAAAGGGCTTAGCTTGGCTGTGAGGAGAGGAGTACCTGTAAAATCTTGAAGGATATAATTAAAATTGGATTTTATAATCCCAAAACACTGAAAATGCTTTCTTAATTACATTCGAGTGTAAAGGATAAATAACTGTATAAAGAATATATACAAAATCTATCAGAGTGCATTAGATGCACATTTAGAATCCATGTATAGACGCCATATCCGATAACAAAACGAAGACGTCTTCGGACTCACAAATTGGCTTCCTTTGTCAATGGAATTTCCTTTTCTAAATCCGGATTTTTAAGTATAATAAATCACATGTACTTGTATTTCCGGGTAATCTCTCCCTTAGCCCCAATAGGGGTCGCACACCCCAAGTATCAAGTCCAGCGAAACATTTAAGGCTGATAAGCTGTCGAGGGATCCGCCAACCAATATTCAAACGGCACTATCAGCTCAGCTGCTCTGCGGATGTTGGGGGGGCTCCGCAAAAAGCAAAAAATAAAAAATATAAACAAGCAATTTATTTTGGTACACATTTTTGTGTGGAGGAATCAGAGAGGAATCCGCCCATTAACCCAGCGACTCTTCGGTCCGGTTCACAAAAATCGTCTCTAATCAGCAGAGATTGACGCAAGCAATGAGAATGAGCCTGAGCCTGCCTTCTCCTACGGCACTCACTCAGTCACCTCTCTCTGATCTATTTCCGATCAATGTCAATGAACTTGAGCTCAAAAACAGTTCAAAAACAATTGAATGATGCTCGTAATACTTGTTGTAAATGGTTGCCGCGCAGGTCCCTGGGTACCCGCTAAGACCCCCGGTCGTCAGAGCACAAATTCTACTAAGAATCGCGTGATATTTTTTTAATCAGCAACATTCGTCGTTGTCGCTTGTGTCGCCGCTTGTTGCTCTCTCAATTGATTAAGCGGCCCCCGAAGCCTGTTCTACATATAGAGTACAATAATATAATATATGTATGTACATACTCGTATGCATGGTACATATTACTCGCATGTTTGTTTCCCCCGCACTCGGCACAGATTTCTCTCCTCTTCTCTATGGCAGAAAATCTCCGGGAGCAAAGGTTTTTCCCTCTCGATTAATGAATGGCCCCACGTTTTTACTAGCTGCTACTGCCTGTCCCTGCTCTTCGTCTACGCCTACGGCTACCAGCTGTGTGCTGTTACTATCAGCCAAATGTTCCCCACCCCTCCATGTACCCATGTTCGAAGTAGCTTTATTTTTGGCTCTTCATTATGCTCGTATTCCGTGACGTAGTAGAGTCTCTTTTGGCTTCACTTTTTAACAATCGAACGGCCCAGCCACATCCAAAAGATGAACGTCTAAATATACCCAGAAAATATTCTCTGTTTATTGTCAAGGTATTTTGACAACCTTGATCTTATATGTGCGAAATGGCTGAAAAGCGTTAATTGTACAAATATATTATATAATCCTAGAATATATGTATTATTTACCCACATTCGTAGCAAGCTACATTCAAGAGTCTACGACGTGTACTCACATATGTGGTCTAATCAGTTAGACGGAACCGATAATGGTGACGTTTACTCACTCCTTATCATACATATATTTTCGTGTGTGGTTCTTAACTGTTTTGTTTCGTTTGGGTGCTATATAATTGCTGCATGCTATCTAAGGTGTGTCACCATATTTCTGTCTGGCCTCCTTTTTCAGACCACACCCCTGCATGCAAAATGATTTCAAACCTTAAGTTCCATAGTAAGTTAAATTCTTCTAAGTATATAGATATGCTTGTATCGTAATATTATTGTCAGCATATTTTGGTTGGACTACTAACGGACTTCTTTGCTCTTATTTATTGACAAAGTGAATCAATTCGCTTTGCAGCAGTCTGATTTGGGTGGAAAAATACTGTGTCCAATTTGTGTGTCTCGATCCGGTCCATTGCTTTCGACTATTTAAATGAAAAATGTCATTCAATAATGCACAAGTAATGCAATTTACAGACTTTGAATGGATCGTCACGTCTGTCAAGTGCCGAACTAATCCAAATCCAAAATTGGCTCATGGCACGTGTGTGCCGTGCGTATGGAAATAGCTTTAGAATCGAAACGACGGGGAATGAGTATTCGCCCTCGCATTCGCACTCACATGTGCTGTTTGTGTATATATATGTACGAGTATGTGGACACGCTGCTTGAGCACAATTGCAATTAAAAATTGCTAAATGGCACACAGAAATCAAACGTACATATCTCTTGTTGCTCCAGTCATCTCTCGCCCTCTCTTTATGTCTTTATGCCAACAGATGATCGGGTCCAATGTGCAATCTTGACCAATGCTGCTGCGGCGCTTAAGTGGAGCACAAAGCCGGGCTTTGGGGATAGCCATCAGTCAAGTCAGTCACTCAGCTACTGGTCTGTACTGGTCGGCATTGAGCCGCGCCACACAACATCAGACACTTTGCTGACGCGCATGGACTTTGCGTTGAATGGGGCGTTTTATGTAAACGATGTAGTAAATGATTTATATTATACGTGTACGTAGGTACTTTCGTATGCATTCAAGCCTGAGCCCCACCGCAAGTTTACGAGTACGGCTGCGGGTCAAAAGCGACGGCTCTCAATTACTTGTAATCCTTCTGTCAACCAAAGCTGATTTTATTGCTCCGAGCATTTATTTATGGCTACTTTGTAAATGAACTTTCATCCCAGAGATCTTTCTACTATGCATGGGGATAAAAATACTATCTAAACGCAGCAGATACGCCAGTTACGGAATCCCACGTTTTAGAGTGAGGATCTTTTGCTCAGAAGCAAAAGTTACTTGAACCCGAGTCTCGGTTGAATGCAAATCTCTTCATACTTTGTACTAGCAAGGCGATATGCCAGTATATATGCACATATAGACGAGATCAGAGCTCATATTAAAGCTTCCAGCCTGGGCTTATCAAGCGAGATCCGAAAAAAACTAATTTCTAGGAACCACATGACTCACGCAACCACTATGGGAGGTAGTAGCATGGGAAGCATTGACTTCCGATTTCCATGCTCCAAGGTCGCTCTTGTTTTCCAATCTATTCCAATTTGTTAACCGGAAGACAGTACATTTCCCGTGCGATAGAAAGTTTGTAATCTATACAGGTGTTCTCAGAAAAGATAAACAAAGAGCGTGTCGTGTCTTCTGCCACACTTCCCTCATAGAAGACAGTCGTACTAATATCTAACTAATTAACGTGCAATTCCATTCCATTGCCACAGCTATGATATGGTACACTTTGGGCATGCCAATTCTCTGCGACAAGCCAAAGCACTTGGCGATAAGGTAATTGTCGGCATTCACACCGACGATGAGATAACCAAACACAAGGGACCGCCCGTCTTCACCGAGGAGGAGCGCGTCAAGATGGTCAGGGGCATCAAGTGGGTCGATGAGGTGGTTCTAGGTGCCCCCTATGTGACCACTCTGGAGGTTCTCGATCAGAACAACTGTGATTTCTGTGTGCATGGCGGTGAGTACCCAAATATCACGATCTACTCTATTGCAACTCTCTTTAACTTGTTTTATTAATTGCAGATGATATTACAATGACCGCTGAGGGTGTCGATACATATCATCTGGTCAAGTCGGCCAATCGCTACAAGTGAGTACTGCCTGAAAATAGCTGAACTTGAGCTGAACATAACTTGGGTTCTCCTTTTCCTGTCCAATCAACAGGGAGGTCCGACGCACAGCTGGCGTCTCGACAACCGATCTGGTGGGTCGCATGTTGCTGCTGACACGCAACCACTTCCGCCAGGGATCCGCCGAATACGACATCGAGAAAGAAGGTAGCTTCCGCTTGCTATATGGCTCCGGCTTTTGCATCGAAATAAGTTTAATTTTTGTCCCTGAAATGCCCATTGAATCACAGCCGCCAGCACAATCCTTGTTTCATTGAGTGTTCCGTTCCATTGAGTTCTTTCATTTTTAACAAATACTAACTTTAGACTAAGGTTTTTTCTTTCTTTTACCACTCCAAACTCTCTCTCCCCCCGGACTGTTTCCTTCTGTTACTCTTTGTTGTACGTTGCTCTGCATGCTGCGCGTAAACCACGAATCAAATCGAATCTCAGTTCCAAGTATGAACAATTCATATATGTAGCTATATATGTATATATTGTCTACAATAATAGTATTAGCAGCAAAAAAAACCAAGCGAATGCTTTAAAGGAGAATGCAATGCAATATAACAAAATACATGGCATGTGCATGAAGCTTTTAAGAGATTTTTGTTGTTGTTATTGTTGGGATAAGGCCTACATATCGTTGGCACTCCACCGTACGCTTAGCTTACGCTGTTAGTTGATCCTGTATATTTTCCGTACAGGGCGTACCGTTTTTGACTTGTTTGATCCGTGACTAATCCTTTGACTTATGTTGCTCTCTACATTTTTACTATTTCTCTTCTTTTTATTTCTATGTACGCACTGTTTACCACTAACAAAACAAATAATCTACTACTCGTATATGCAAATCTATGCTAAATCCTCAAATGCCAAATACCAAATGTCCTGTGCGTGTGCGCGCCCGCGAATCGAATGACAAATGAAAATATGAAATGTATCAAAAATATGACCTGCAATGACCTGCTATCCGTAATCTGTAATCTGCAATCTGCAATCAAATATCAATATCCAATTCAAATCAAATCTGAATTCAAAACCAAATCCAAATCAATTCCTCTAAATGTAAACGTAAATGTAAATGCAAATTCAAATGCTCTATCTTATATACTACACTGCTCTCTCATTCGTCTGTGTTTGCTTTTCCAACCAATTACCAAACAAATTGCATAAACAGCGAAAATGTTAAAACTACTACAAATAAAATCCCATCCAGGTTCATCGAATATGGGTCAAGATTCAGCTGCCAAAAGTCCCTGGACCGGCTGCAGTCAGTTCTTGCCCACCACACAAAAGATAATACAGTTCAGCGATGGCAAGTCACCAAATGCCGGCGACAAGATTGTAAGTAAACTACTAAGCTATGACTAATCAGACTCGTTCTAAATCGAATATGGTTCTTTTCAGGTATATGTGGCTGGAGCCTTTGATCTATTCCATGTGGGACATTTGGACTTCCTGGAGAAGGCTAGCAAGCTGGGCGACTATTTGATTGTTGGCCTTCACACAGATCCCGTGGTCAATTCGTACAAGGGCAGCAATTACCCCATTATGAATCTGCACGAGCGCGTGCTCAGCGTGTTGGCATGCAAGGTACGATCTGCGTCTATCGGCTAAGTCTTAGTCGGCTTGAGCTGCTCCTTTTTTTAACACTGCTCTGGCTTCTCTTTCCTTCTATAGTTTGTCAATGAGGTGGTGATTGGAGCGCCGTACTGCGTCACCGAGGAGCTGCTCGAACACTTCAAAATCGATGTGGTCTGCCATGGACGCACTCCTATTGCGATGGAGGATGGTAAAATTGATCCGTATGCCGTGCCAAAGACGAAAGCCATTTTCGAGCTGATCGACTCTGGCAATGAGATGACCACCGAGCGGATTGTGGAGCGCATCATCTCGCATCGTCTGGAGTATGAGCGCCGCAACCAGGCCAAAGAGAAGAAGGAAATCGAGGCCTTTGAGGCGTTGCAACGGCAGAAGCAGACCCAGAAGGCGGGCTAGCAGCAGCTGGAGCAGTCCCCCGTCCCTCCTTCCGATTTCACACACTAGACGGATGTTTTATTTTAAATATTTTAGTTTCGTTTTTTAGTTTTTCGTTTTGTTTAGTGTTTAGTTTAAATTTTTATTTGGGCTTTGTTGCCCCTTGTTTCGTTATATGTTATGTTCAGGGCGTGGCAGCCTCACAACACGCAAGCCCCCGCTCCCACAAGCAACACTCAGTTACTACCCCCCTGGACAGCGGATCGGCTCGTGCACGCGCATCTCGTTTTCTAGTACAATTTTTGAATAGCTGAGGGCTCGCAGTCAGGCAGGCAGGAGGCATGCAGGAGGCTCTCTGCAAGCCTCAATGATATATAAAGTTATATAAATCGATATATATATATACACTACGATAATAGCATATTTAAAATCTAAATTGTATGTAAGCTCAAAATTGTAAATTCTATGTAATAAGTGTTGAGAAGCAAGAGTCATGAGTGAGTGGAAAGCAAACTCTCAAAATTGTACGAAATATATTAGTTTAGGCCAAAAGCAATGAACTTGTCTAATCGCTAATCTACAGTATATAGTTATCAGCCTGGCTTGTGCTTGAAGTGTAAATACAAATGGGAACTCTAGCCGCAAGTGGCCCCAAGTGGAAGAAAGTGAACGAACTCTGGATCTATCAAAAGTAATCTCTGATATTTTGTCTTCAAATACACATATATCCAACCTAGTGCAAGTTCTTGTCCGCTAATGCTACTCCTAATGTTTTATGTTCAATGTTTAGCTCTAGATTAAAATATATTTATGTACATGGCCAAAAAGTAATCCAAAAAAAAAAAAATTAAGCATATTTATGTATAAATTTGTTGTCGACTAAATCTTCTTCTGTTCGCCGAGTAACTTTAGCTCCACTGTGAGCAGCTGCTGCCACACATCCACATTAGCCATTAGCCCGCGTAGGTCTTCGACGCTGATGAGTATGGCGTTGCGGTCGGTTTTGATGAACTCCTTGCAGTCTTGGGTCGCGGAGACGGGGCGAGCCTTTAAGGGCTTGGAGTAGCAGCGCGAGGACTGTGCTGCCTGGACCTGCAGGCGCAGGGAGACTGTCACATCCTGCAGTGGAGTAGTCACCCAGACGGCCAGCACTTCATCAACGGCTGGTTTGCGGTGCCACAGCAGAGAGTGCTGGGTGCGACAGCCAAAGACCATGAGGACGCCATGCTGTGAATACTGGCGATACTCCGCCGGCAAATGAGTGTTACGGGCGCATTTGAGCGGGTTGAGGCCGGCGCGACGGTACCCAAAGACCCCCAGAAGCGTATTCACATCGTGCTCCAGGCTGCTGACATGGCAGCACAGAGAAGTCTTCTTCTCCGGCCTCATCTCCACAAACGGAAGACCCATCCCGTGCAGATGGTCCCTCAGATAATGGCCCAGCAGACCACTGGGCTCCAGAGAGCACTGGCAGGCATGGCACGGACAGCGAATCAGGCGAAGTTGGGACCAATTTGATTTGTTTCTGGCTGTCTCAAACAGCGACGAATTTTGTAAGCTGGATTGTGATGTGATTGACTTGTACTCGTATCGGTTCAGTCTCAGGAACCTGACCTCCGACGTCGAGGCTTCCGATATGGGCAGTTTGACGCTGGAGTAGGACTGGGTGTCCTGTATGTGACGTTTCCTTCTTTTGTGCCTCTGCTTTGGATCACTGGAATCTGTTTTATTTGAAGCGGAGTGAAAGGTCGGAAGTAAGACAGACATGCTCGGATGGGTACGAAAAGCTCAGTAGACAGAAACCTGATTCAACGGCATAATTTTGCTGGGAATTTGGAAGTGAATGTGACAACTTTCGCTATGGAACGCAAAGGGTCTCTTCATACAGAACGGGATCCATAACAATCTTAGCATTTAATTTATTATTTATTGGCCCAGCAACCGAAGCCGCCGGGCACTACGAAAAAATTCATTTTAGACTCATTAGAGTGCCCCTCTCCACGGAAATCTTTAGTAAAAGGCGAAAGATTTATTCGACAATTGAAGAGAAGCCAGAGTAATTTTGCAATACCAAACACGTCCAATCTTAAACAAGCCTGGCCAGAACTAGTTGGGAATTTTAAGAGCAAGCTCTCGCTACACCGAAACTGGGGTTGCCTGTTATGTGTGAGCATAGCTCGCTGAGCAATATTGTGAGGTCTAGTCTAGGCGACAAGCTGTATTAGAGTTTAACTTAAAATATACTACCAACATATATGGATATATCTGTACTACCTACGATTATGAAATTATCACAAAACAGCTACCAAAATATAGTTTGTCCATACATTTTCCTCTACCACTGATAACAAAACTTCTTGACAGAAATAATGTCTGTACTGAAACCAAAAAACAACCCTGAAAGCATACCAAGGCAGTCTGATATTTTTCAGCGTGTAATTCCCAACTAGTTCTGGCGCCATGCTTATGGTGTGGCGGCTGTTTTACCGTTTCCAGTTATCGCTTCTCGGCCTTATGGCTAAGATCAAAGTGTAGTATCTGTTCTTATCAGCTTAACATCTGATAGTTTCTCCATTGGAGAACAACAAATGTTAAACTGATTTTTGGAATCAGACGGAGTGCTAGGGGCTTGCTCCACCTCTGTCGCGGGTTGGCCCGGTATTGCAGTACCGCCGGGATTTCGGCCCAACTTAATAATAAATTTGACAAGTAGTTTTAGTAAGAGAAGAATTGTGGAGAGAGTGGAAATTCTGCGTGCCTTCGCGCCGCTGCTGTTTCTGTTTCCCCAAACCAGAAAGATAAACGAGAGTCGACAGGTTTTTAGGTATTAAGTCGTACATTTATTTTGATAATACACCTATTATTAATACAGTTTCTTTTCGAATGTGTGGGCTTTTTTTCGTTTTCGCTTTTTGGTACATTTTAATCGGTTTTAATACAAAGTTGTCCGGAGCGCGCGCACTTCTTAAGGGCGCGCGTTCAACATTTCTGGCCATAATACGCAAGTAATTAATAATAATGATAGACAATTTGATAGTAAACAAAAACAATAACGATCGAGTCGTGTCGTGTCGGGTAATGTTCAGCAATTACGATACGTTGATATACATTTTGCCATGCGACGACTATATTTGGTTTCGCTTTTTGAAAGGACAACTTCAACTACGGAACAATCTGAGCTGGCTGTGTTGCTCTCTCCTGGCTGCTGGCTAACTACTACTACTAGGTTTAGTATGTATAACTGGTGAATAGCTGCGCTGTTTCCTCTACCGATAACGTGTCAACCGGAACGAACAATGCGCTTTTCATTTCTTTTCTTTACTTTGGCGAGAGACCACTACTACGTTCAAGTTATTCGAAGAAGGAAGAGATTTGTGATGTGTGTAACGTATACAACGTATGCAATAGATCTACAGTTAAAGAGTGTGTGGTTGTTTCTTTGCGTGTGGGCGTGCTTAAAACGACGTGAGATTATGGGGACCAGACTCTAGACCTCTAGACTCCTAGACTCCTAGACCACCACAGCACCGGCCTCGGAACGGCTGACTGGCAAATCTGGGCAATTTTTCCAAGAGTCCGACAGCGGGTCATAGCATTCGACAGCGTTGATGGTGACTTGCGCTCGATAGAAGTTTACCTCGCAGGGCTGCAACGAACAACTGGATTAGGAAATGTTTACGAATGATGGACATATTCAATCGATTACCTGATCCCCACCAGCCACATAGAGCAGGCCATCGGCAGCGGCTACGGCTGGAATGGCTCGTGGCACGTTCAACGCACAGACCATTGTCCATTTGTCCTCGTCGAAGCTGTAGCGCTCCACAGAGCTGAGAATGTCCTGACTGATGCTACTGCCCCCCACCACATACAAGTAGCGGTCCAGAACGGCCACGCCCATTTGGCAGCGAGCAGTTTGCATGCGGGCCAGCTGGGTCCACTCCTTGGTGACTGGATTGTAGCTGAAAGAAATGGGGATGATCAGCGGATGCAGTAATTATTTCATATATTGGATAAAAACCTTATCAAGTCTGGCAAATGTCGGGTGGTTGTTGTGCAGCCGCCCACAATGTAGATGAGACCCTCGAAGCTGACTACGCCCATACTGAAGCGGGGCTGGGGCATGCTGCCAATTAGTTTCCAGAGATCCTGCTCTGGGTCATAGCACTCCATGGTGCCGCCAATGTCGTCGCCAATCCAACCGCCAACAGCAAACAGATTGCCGCCCATGGTGCAGAGTCCAAATTCGCAGCGAGGCACAATCATCGGCGAAATGGGCTGCCAGATGTCGTTTTGGGGGTCGTAGACTTCGCCATTGGCCAGGATCTGGGAGCCGCGTTCGCCACCCACCACGTAGATCTTGCCGTTCAAGGCCGACACTCCCGGCAGTATGCGCCCCACCTCCATGGGGGCTGTTTCAGTCCACTCGCGTCGAAATATATCGAACTTGGCCACCGTCTCGAAGATGCAGTCTGCCGAATTCCAGGTCCGTGGCGTATCCCTATGGGATCCCCCAATTATGTATATGTTTTTCTTGGCCAGCTGCCGGGGGCAGACACGCAACGGCACCAACTGGCCGCGCTTCGAGGCAATGTCCCGACAGATCGAGCGCAGCGCAATCTTCACTGACATGTCGCGACAGTCGTCTTTGAGTGCCTTGTCGATGACCTTCACAGGAACGAGAGCCATGCGCACATGAGACAGTATATCAAAGACATAGCAGCGCCGTTGAATCACATCGTGTTTGATCCAGCGCAGAGCTGCCTGAAACACCTGCGATTCAGAGTCCACACGCAGCAACTCGGAGTTCAATAGCTGCGACAGCAGAGCCTGCGGTGTCTCCAGGAATTCGTCCTCCAGTGTTATCTGAGGGTGGAATCATAGATACCGTTTAGATTCCAATTATTTATTATTAAGTTGGGCCGAAATCCCGGCGGTACTGCAATACCGGGCCAACCCGCGACAGAGGTGGAGCAAGCCCCTAGCACTCCGTCTGATTCCAAAAATCAGTTTAACATTTGTTGTTCTCCAATGGAGAAACTATCAGATGTTAAGCTGATAAGAACAGATACTACACTTTGATCTTAGCCATAAGGCCGAGAAGCGATAACTGGAAAATGTAAAACAGCCGCCGGACCATAGGTGATCCTTCAGAACCAGTTGGGAATTATTATTCAAGTCCTTTTAAACATAACTGACGGATGCAGAAAGATCCAAACATCCCCTAAAAGGGTATCCTAGCCTCAGGTACTCAAAAATTCAGGTAAAGTTCAGGTTAATAATTCCCAACTAGTTTTAGAAGGCCAGGTATGGATAACCTCTGGTTTTGGCGGTGTAAAGTCACTCTGGCTTCTCTTCAATTGTCGAATAAATCTTTCGCCTTTTACTAAAGATTTCCGTGGAGAGGGGCACTCTAATGAGTCTAAACAGAATTTTTTCGTAGTGCCCGGTGACTTTGGTTGCTGGGCCAATAAATAATTCATTTACCTGTGCAAAAGGCAACTCAACTTACCGCTGGAAAGTTAGCATGGACAAAGTTAAGTGCACTCTTGGCCAATGATTCACAATTGTGCGCTTCGGCGAATCGTAGAATGCCCAAGGCATTGGAGGCGTGCAGCTCGCGACAGAGGAACTCGCAGCAGCCGTCGACAACCTCGTTGAGCTGGAGCATATCGGCAGCGGCGAGAAGTTCCTGGACATTTGACTGCAAATAAGGACGACCGTGAGGAAAGGGCTACACACTTTGCATGGAATTGCAAACCAACGAACCTGCGTGATCTCACAGCGTCCCGTGTAGATGAAGTCGAGCAGAATGTGGAGTATGTCGCCATCGATTGTGTGCAAGACCACCGATTTCTGTTTGACCTCGTTTAGGCCGAGTTCGGGCCGAAACATGGCCTCGAAGTAGGCACTGGCAGCACTCAGCACCGCTCTGTGGGCGTTAAGGGTGGCTTCGCCTGCTACGATCTCCACGTCGCAGAAGCGAGCCTGTTCCCTCAGCTGATTGAGATTGGACAGGACTTTGAACGGATATTGGGCGTTGCAGTAGGAGGGAAGATTTGTGCGTTGTGTGGAGGCCTCGGCCCCCGATCCTGGCGTGCCCTGATTAGCCTGCCCAAAGAAGTCGCCGTCGTTGGTGGGATTTGGGTTTTGATTTGGATTTGGATTGCCATTGTGACAGTTTGCGTTGTATTCGTGGTGTATGGAGTAGGTTTTCTGCGGTGGCATTTCGTTTTCTTCCGTTCGGTATGTTTGTTTGTTTGCTCGGGTTTCCTTGTTTCGTACTCGTACTAATAAATGCACTGTTGGGGCAGCAGCTCAGCCTTTTCACATTCAATTAGATATCTTAATTAAAGTTAATTGCTGCACTCTGCACCATTTGGGCTCATTTTTCATCAATCAAAAAGAATCACACACACACACACACCCACGACTGCAACGCACTCACACACAGGAACAAAACGAGCACTGGAAAAGTTTACATACATTCCCCAACACAGAGAGGTTTTCTGGCATTGATTTTGCTTGCACTAACTTATTATTTGCTGCACTATAGCGACTCTGCTAATACAACTATTCCATATTTAGTTATTAATTAGAAACTAGCATATTTTTCTTAGCTTTTCTTTGCGTTTTTTTGTATGTAGTTGTAAATTTGATTGGGTGTGCAGCAGTGGGGCCGTAGGAAAAACAGATACTGGCAGTGCTGCCAGTTTCGCCTTTTTCAGGCTAGATATAGAATATTTAGAGTTGACTCCCTTATAAAATTTGTAAGTAGCTTATACATATAAGCTGTTTAGCATATTTAGAAAATAAATTACAGCTTTTTCTTAGCTTAAAACGTAAAATTAAAATATATTTAGTTTTAGCTTATTTATTTTAGATTCTAGCCTTTTTTTAATCTACTTTAAATTGACTCTGAAATTCTGTCAGCACTGGATACCAGATGGGGCAAAGTACCAAGTCATATGTAGTTTCGTAGCAGTCAGCTTTTGACTGAGATCCCACTTTTGTTATTTAATTGTTATTTAAAGGAACTTTCAATTAAAATTGACAAAAATGCTGCTGCGTAAATTGCTAAACGTTCGCTGTGGCTACCTGGCACGCCGCTGGGCCAGCTCCGATCCCCTCAGCCTTCAAAACGAGAAGCTGCAATCGTATTTGGAGTCACTGCGCCAGGAGTACTATGGCCTGCGTGTGAATGCAACCGGCAATAGCAGAGCATATGAACGGCTCTCCCAGCTAGAGGGAGTGGTTAATGCCCTGGAACAGAGGCGTGTTCTGGAGCGCAACATTACCAGTGCCAAGGACATCGAGCAGGAGAAGGATAAGGATATGCGAAAGCTGATGGAGGAGGAGAACGAGGTCTACGCGGATCTGTTGAGCAAGCAGGAGCAGACAATGCTGCAAGAGCTGCTCGCCATAGCCGACGACGAGGTCTATCCGGCGCTTATATTTGGAGTGAATGCCGGAGCTGGCGGTCAGGAGGCCATGCTGTTTGCCCAGGAGCTCTACGAGATGTATACCAGCTATTTTGAGCACATGGGCTGGGACTACGAGGAGTTTGCCCGCGAGACGACCGACATAGGTGGCCTGAGGCATGCCAACGTCATGGTCAATGGTGTTGACGCCTTCCAGTGGCTTCGCTTTGAGGCGGGCGTCCATCGGGTGCAGCGTGTCCCTGCCACAGAGAAGTCCGGACGGATGCACACCAGCACGGCCTCCATAACTGTGATTCCCCGACCCGCCGATGTCCATGTTCACATAGCTGAAAAGGATCTGAAAATCGAGACGAAGCGAGCCAGTGGAGCGGGCGGTCAGCATGTGAATACCACCGACTCGGCTGTGAGAATTGTCCACCTGCCCACTGGCCTGGCCGTGGAGGCGCAATCGGAGCGATCCCAGCTGAAGAACCGCGAGCTGGCGCTGAAGCGTCTTCAGGCGCGACTCGTCCAGCAGCAGCTGGAGAGCTCAGAGGCCAGCAAGCAGGCCACAAAGAAGGCGCAGCAGGGCAGCCTCAACAGGAACGAAAAGATTCGCACATACAATTTTGTACAGGATCGGGTCACAGACCATAGGATTCAAGGCGGAACACTTCACAATCTGGATGGGTTCCTGAAGGGGGGCGAGCCGCTCACTGGACTGGTGGAGAAGCTTCAGCTGGAGCACCGAAGAGCCCGGCTCAGAGACCTCTTAGAGGCGTGGCAGCCGTCCCGGGAGCCAGCTAAAAAAGAGTAAAGATTAAAGCACATTGCAAGCCTTAATTTGTTGATATTTAATAATAAAAAGTTACAGAAAACCATAATTCAACTATAATCCAACTCTGGCCCAATCAGCCGCACTGCCGATGTGCAGGAGATGCTCCCTGACAGCCGCCTCCAGAATGTCGCGAATCTCCCGACAGCCAGCCATTGCAGTCTCGATGACTGTTTCCAGATGGTCAATGTGAAAGCGTTCACTCATCTCCAGAAAGGCAATCTTCTGGGCCGTGGGCAGGGCAGCCACTGTGAGCATGGGTCCGCCGGAAACCTCTTCAGTGTGCGAGATGTCTGTTAGGGGAATGCTGTTTTTGCTCAGCGAGGCCGTGCAGGCCACAATAAACTCATTCAGACAAATGCCAGCATCGATCAGTGACAGGGTGGCGGCATTTAGTGCAACCGCATAGTTGGCTCCATCTGCTTGGAGAACCTCCACGTAAATGTCGATCTGGGAGCGTGGATACAGCTCGGACTTGATGGCCGCACTCAGGGCCTGTTCCAAGTACATTTTGAACTCTAGCGATTTTCGATCTCCTCGCGGTCGGTTCTTCCTCTCCGCCGTAGCGAATGTGGCCTGGCTGTACTGGCAATTGATGATCACATCGTTGGTCTCCGTTTTCATGCCCTTCGCTTGATGGGGTCCATATACGGCTGCCAAGACTTTTGTGTTTCCTTGTTCCATGTAGGCGCTGCCGTCCGGCTGTTCGAACACGCCCAATTTGCACTTGATGTGGCGCAATTCGTGGGGTCTCCGGCCATCCAGGCGCAGGCCCTGCTCGCTGAGCAACTCAAAGTTACCGGCCATAGGTTTAAATGGAGTTAAATAGTTTATTTAAGAAATTATTTCCTGCACGTGTGCGGCTTTTTGTTTACAATTTTCGAGCCAGTGCTGGACAACACATTATTTCTTTGGTGGCGCCAAAAAAGTCATGAGACCATATACTGAAATTGAAAATATTTTATTTACGCAAAAAAACTTAATTTTAGCATGAATTACTAATACATTAATGAAAGGAAAAAGGGTTTCAAGATGTCCATACTATCAAGCAACATATGTTAAAAGTTTTAAAAAATTCCTACCCAACTACGTTCCATTCTTTTATTTCGTAAACCTTATAAATATAAACAATGCAATAAAAGGGAGTCCTTAAAATTAGCCAATCTTGTAGAATATTAAATTATCAATCAGATAAAATGGCCATATCATAGCTATAGCCAGTTGACCAGCAATCCGACCATAGAACATTTAATTCCGTTCACATATTTCAATCAGGACACACAATGTACGTTTCATGCATTGGCCCATTTTGTTTAACCTATTTCTTAAACCTAATAAAAGAAACTTCTTTAAATCAGCCACCATTCTAGAAAATTGATTTATCTATCTAATAAAATTATAAATTCAGTGCTGAGAGGCCTAGCTAGCTGATAATATAAAACTGAACATCAAAATAGAGTAATATAATTTCCAAGCAACAGAAAAGAACGCTAGCCCATTGTCGACCAGGAGATATTATAATTTACGCGAAAATATTATGAAACCTGAAAAACAATTCTGTAAAAGGGAGTCTTTAAAATTAGCCAATCTTGTAGAATATTATATTATCAATCAGATAAAATATCCATATCATAGCTGAAACCGGTTGACCAGCAATCCGAACATAGAACATTTTATTCCGTTCACATATTTCAATCAGGACACACAAATGTACGTTTTATGCATTGGCCCATTTTGTTTAAACCCATTTTTCTAAAACATCCAATAAAAAAGACTTCTTTCTATCAGCCACCATTCTAGAAAATTGATTCATCTATCTAATAAAATGATAAATTCAGTGCTGAGAGGCCTAGCTAGCTGATAATATAAAACTGAACATCAAAATAGAGAAATATAATTTCCAAACAACAGAAAAGAACGCTAGCCGATTGTCGACCAGGAGATATTATAATTTACGCGAAAATATTATGAAACCTGAAAAACAATTCTGTAAAAGGGAGTCTTTAAAATTAGCCAATCTTGTAGAATATTATATTATCAATCAGATAAAATATCCATATCATAGCTGAAACCGGTTGACCAGCAATCCGAACATAGAACATTTTATTCCGTTCACATATTTCAATCAGGACACACATATGTGCGTTTTATGCATTGGCCATTTTGTTTAAACCTTATTTCCTAAAAAATTGAATAAAAGAGACTGCTTTAAATTAGCTACCATTCTAGAAAATTGATTCATTCATCTGATGAAGTCATATATTCAGTGCTGAGAGGCATAGCTAGCTGGTAATATTAAACGGAATATCATAATAGAGATATATAATTTCCAATCAACAAGACAAAGCGCTAACCCACTGTCGACCAGGGGGTATTTCAATTTACACGCGAAAATCATGAAACTTTAAAATGTTTACTGCAGTTCAGTTGAAAGATATTGCGGTCGTTTTTGTTTTGTTAGTAAAGAAAATAAAGGATATACAAGAAGGGTTTACAAAAAGCATTATTTTTCGTGGTTTAACTCAAGTTGTTCAACTTTTTAAATAGAAAGGGACTTCGTGGGCTAAGTTCGTCCACTCACTGAAGATTTATGGTATATCAGTATATAAAATAGTATGTTAATCAACATTTTGGTATATTACGGTATATTTCTGAGGGTCAAACAGTATGTTATATCAACGGCCACACTAATCTAAATATAAAAATAGTTCTATGTGCAAAAAAAAAATCTAAAATTGGTTAAATATAACGAGTTTTAGACAATTAAATAAACATTCTGCTAAGCAAAAGGTGCGCGTTCGACTACCCATTCCCAACAATGTCCAAGTCCAGCGCAGGTATGTACAAATCAATAGGAAAAAGATTGTAAGCCGAAGAGACGCCCGCCTCCGGTTACACACGAAACCAAAATAAATAAAAACAGACGGCACAGTATATTTCGAAAATAACCAAAATTTCCTCCACTCACAGCACGTTGGGTGAAGTTCTTCAATGCCGCTGGTATACCATCGCCAGCGGCTGCCAATTATGCACACATGTTCGTGGAGAACCGGATCCAGGAGGACATGCTTCTGGACCTGAATAAGGAGTACTTGCGTGAAATGGGGATCACGTTGATGGGTGATATAATAGCCATACTGCGGCATTCGAAGAGTGTATACGAGCAGAATGCCCGTGATTTGGTTCTCACCGATCCACTACCACTGGCCTGTGTGACTCCCTCCCCCGTTGTCAAGTCGGTGGCTGCTACAGTGTCGACTGGGTCAAAGTCGAAGGCGTCGCCACCCAGAAAGCCGGCGAGACGGGTCCTGCCCGAGCATGAGGGGAAGTATAAGGTTACACTGCCCTCAGGCACCACCGAGCGCAGCAAACAGATTCTGGCCAAGCGGGAGAAATGTAAGTGCGGCCAAACCCAGACCTCGACCCATGTTAAAAAACGAGTTTCTATGTTTTTCATTTGCTTGCAGTGTATTCAGATCGCGTGAGCAGCTCGAAGAAGTCGGACATCTTTTCACGCCTGCACAAGCCGGCCGTAAGCGACGATGAGGCCCAGGAAGGCATTGTGTCCAGCTCGGGCGAAAGCAGCGTCCGAGTGCACATCACAGGAATAAAAAAAACAGCAGATACCTGCAGCAACAGTTCGGTCTTTGCGCGCCTCGGCGGAAAGCACACATTTGATTCAGCCCAGGCCTCGGGAACGTTGACCAGGGAAATCAAATCGATTTTGAAGAACACACAACGCACCGTCGGAGCAGGAGGAGTGATTAGGAATTCGCCCATAGTCAAGGCGAAGAAAATTGCTTCGACTGCTGTGCAGCAGCCGCAGCAGAAGGTGATGCTCGTCCACAAGGTGCCACTGAAGAAGTGTGACGACAGTGAGGACGACAGCATGGATAGTGGCGATAACGATGTTCAAGAGGCATACGATTCCAGCGATGGGAGTGATGTCGAGATGACAGGTGGTGAAAAGATTGTAAAATTCGCCTCGACTGCGGAGGTTAGGGAAATCGCCCCACAGTCTGCTTACAAAGCACGGCACGGCAAAAACCTGGCCAACAATATCAAATCGCGTTTAGGAATGGGTAAGGCAATGTCTTCAATTAGCAATCCACCTGAAATTATTCCCTTGTTCAACATTCCAGTGTCCAAGCTTCATGCCACAAAGAAGACGTACAATCTGAAGGCGTCACCCTCGAAGAAACCACAGGCTCGCATCAGTCCCGTCAAGGGCAAGACCATACGCATGCGCAGCGATGAGCTGATGACCCGCCAGGAAACAGTGTCGGTGCACAAGAGATTAGGCAGTGGCCCTCCCCCAGTCCCTGCCAAAATGGCTCCTCCTCCGCCCACTTACCGTCAGCCGCGACCAGAGCCGCAGAAGTACGTGCCCCCACGTCGTCACAACAGCATGAATGCGGGCCGCAACAAGCCACGCGGCGCCTCTAGCTCTTCTGTCTTTGATCGCTTGGGCTTCAATAACTCTATGTAAAACTTTGTATGTCCGCCGACGAAATGTGTAAGTGTGTAAGCCTTTAGTTAACCAGTAAAAGTTTAAAAAGAAATATTCATTTGTTCATCATATAAAAAAACATAATTAGCCAAAACATTAGTATTGTTTGGTAACTGGATCGGACTCCCCAAAAGGAGCTATAAAGTCTGGTTAGGAATTGTTCTCTTTCCGTTGTTCAGACCTTCTGTCGCTGCTGATTTGCCCTTCCAAAACAAAAACAAACAACATCATTAAGTTACGATATACAATTTATTAGTTATGTTAAATATATGTAGCTGTTATATACAATTATGGTTTGGTCTAGAATCTAGAGTATCATATCCGTGGAATCATTTGCAAGGGCTTCGTATGTACAATCTGTCTGCAGGCACTTAAAGTTCTATATCACTGGTTGCTGGGCAAATCACTCCGTTTGTTCCATCTCGCTCCTTTCGTACCTTCTGCTTACTGCTGCAGCAGTGCTTGCAGGGCCCGACGCCATTCCACCGGCCAGGTATTGGCATCCGGATTGATGCTGAGCAGTTGGCGCATTTGGAGTACGGCTCGCTGCTTCTGCAGCATGTAGGCGAAGGCCTGATGATTTAGCACAGGTGATGGAGTGGCAGTGGGCGTCGCCAGATATTGGGGCTGCAGTTGTTGTGCATACGACGGATATGAATGCGGATGCGGATGCTGAAGCTGTGGTGGAGTTGTGGGCGGTGTGGGAGGCAAAGTATGCTGCACCTCTCGCTCCGAATCCTGGCGACGTTTTCGCGGCGTATTCTCGCTTAAGGCATATGGCCGAAACAGAGGCGTGCTTGTACTTGTGGCGGCACTGGGGGCCGCCTCTTTGCCGCCGCTCTTCTTGCCGAACTTTTTGTGTGTGTAGTTTGTCGTCTTAAATTTTTTGTGCGTGTAACTCGCACTGGCCTCCGCGCTGTCTCCTCCGATGGTGTGGTAATCCAAGTTTGAAGGTGCCATAATGTGTTGGATGATTTTTTTATGCGTTGTTCAGGATGCTGCTGTCTTGTTGGTGGCTAATGCTCGACTGTGTTCTTGGCCACTGCGCAACATTCCTTTATATACGGGCGCTGGTCCGGTCGGGCTCTGGTACCTGTGAGTCCGGAGAAATTATCATTAAGGTAGTGTGCGCCTTGTTTATGGGAAAATCTTCGTTGACAAAAGGTTGGCATTGTCGTAAAAAGAAAAGGATTTCGTGTGCAACACCTACTACCTACTGCGCACAATGTCTCTGTATGCTGTTGTGGATGCGCAGGTAACACCAAAGTCCTTTGTAATTAATTTTTCATTTGCCGCACTCGGCTCGCACCTTCTCTTCTTGTCCAGGCCGTCTTCTGTCTTCTGCCTGCCTGCTGGTCCTGTTCTGTTTTTCCTAGTAATTTCTGTTCAACATTTCACTGGAACAATCTCCTACCTCGAGACAGCAGCGCCTGCGCTTGCCACTCTTTGATGATTCCCAATGTCTCCATGCGCATAGGAATAGAAATCTTATCTCGCTTACCGCTAATCTGCCTCATTAAGTTCTGGCTTGGGCTCAGGTCCAGGTTCTGTTTTTGGCTCTGGCTCTCGAGAGAGACTGTGGGCTTAGTCATTGGTCTGTTGCTCATTGAATGGAAATTTATTGGGATTTTCCCGAATCGTTGCGTGTCTCTCGGCCAGCATACTTTCCAGATCGTTTGAGCGCATAGACACAGTATTTTAGTTTGTAGTTTAAGATGTACAAATTTATTGATGTTTGAGACCAGATATTAGACAGCGATAAAGATGAGTCAGTGTTGGAATACTGAAGAAATGGAAATACGTGGAAAACTCTTTGAAGGGACAGATATGGAATTTAGATCTAGACATTATTTGCAATTAAAGAAAGGCGAATAGCTCATACTAAATTAAAAGTATAGCTAATGTTTGCAATTTGTAGTGTCTCAGGTATAATTCCTACAAATCATATATGGAGCCAACCATCTTTATTTGCTGACCTTTCACACCCTTAATCAGATCTGATTCTCTGAATATCCTCCTGGGAAGAAATGTACATACTACGCGTACACATTCAACTCTCGATTCAATGTTATACAATGCGACATGCATCTATTTGTATCCTCAGAGAAAGCACTTCCTGGTAGGTGTTTGTCAATTGTATCCTCTGCAGAGGTCATTCCCCCTGCAAAGTACAGAAGTGCAGGAGGCAAGGAGGAGGAAGCAAAATCGATTATTTCCGTTACAGAATAGATGGCTCGTATTGATCGATATGATAATGGAACAGACAATCAAACAATATAACAATCTTTCACTGTAATACTTGAAAGTGAACAAATAACAATCCCCATCCTGCGCATTGACTCGACATCTTGAGACCAGCCCTCGGGTCTCAAACCCACCTGAAATAAATCCGCTTAGGGAGAGTGGAAAACAGACGCAGACAACCAACCATCTCTGACTGCATAAATCAATGGACAAAGGCCATTGAATTGAATGAAACTGGAATCCGACATAATGCCAGAACGGAGGAAAAATTCAGTAATAGCCGAACGAACTTCTTGGATCTAAGCCTGAAGGAGAGACGTTTTTTCAGCTGGCCAAGCTGAAGTCATAAATGCGTGTTTGCCAGATCGGTTTCGGGAACGGGAACGGGAATGGGAATGGAAACGGGACTGTGTCTGTTTCGGTGTCTGCTGCTATTCAGGTGCCACAAAGGAAGCCGAAACAAAAGCGGGTCAGTAGACAGCATGGCCATATTGAGCGCCAGGATTACACAGATCTGATCCGATCTGATCCCATACCCTGCCCATGGTCACAACAGGTAATTCCGCCGAAAATGTCTGTCGATGTAAACAGCCCGGAGAGTAGAGCGGGAGCGATAGGGACAGAAAGAGATCAGTGTAAAAGGACAACAACTGGTTTATGACACCCCAAGGCGAGTGGAGTGGAATTGAATACCAGCCGGCGGATTAAGGACAAACTAGGGACTAGGGACTCGGGACTCCCTGGCCAAGACCCTTACCTGCGCTACCTGGACCAATCGAGGTGATTAGTTCGGGCCATCTTTGAGAATGAATGAACTTTGATTGGGAAATACCTGCACGCAGTCGGGGACAGGGATGGGTGGGAAAATCTCCTGGATTTGCTGGTACCTGAATTGAGTACCAGAAGGAGTCTTGCCGATTACCTAATATTGCATAAAAGTCGCCGCCGGGAGGAGGGGCAGCACAGTCGTCTCACCGACACTAAAGCACACAGACCTCCCAGCAGAGCAGTCCAACCACCCACCGCATACCCATACCATGGACAACTACAACCACAAGAAATTTACAGGAGCCCTGAAGCGCAAGCGTTGCCAGGAAGAGGAGTCCGACGACGATGTGGTCTTCATAATGGAGCAGAGCGGCCATCGCACACCCGAACAGCCGCAGCCCAAGCGGCGCCTCTTCCGGCCCTGGCTGGACGAGTCCGTGACTCAGGAACAGGAACCCCAGCAGACACGGTCCCGCCAATCGAATCCCGGCAGCCCGGCTAGCCCTCCCCTGGTGGATGCCAGCTCGACGTACCACGCCAATATGGTCCGCTCTCACACTCCCCGTCAGCGCAGTCCGCAGGAGCAGCTGCGTCGGGACCGCAACACCTTGGCCAGCCTTCGCCACAGACGCTCCAAGCAGCAGGAACAGGCCCTCATGGAGCAGCAGTACTTGGAGTATCGGCGACAGCACGAGGCCAACTTGCAGCAACAGGTCCGGCTGAGCCTCTACTACGTGCGGTTTCTGCAGCAGACCATGGCCGCCACCAGAGAGCCTCTGCACGCTGCCAGCCATCAGCAGATGCCCAAAGCTCAGACAACGACCCAACATTCTTGGGGAGTCTATAACTAATTTGAATTCTAGTCCTAGTCGTAGTCCTATACTTTTAAACTCTTTTTAGTGACCTTGTGATGACTTTTAAAGTTTTATTAATTTGATTTGTTGACAAACAATATATGAGAAAAATTGTTATTGAAATTATTTGTATGTTTTTTGATTGTCAAGAAGTGGAGAAACCTAAACCTTGATATTTTCTATGTAAACAGTTTCTAGGAAACTCAATTTGCAATTCAAAATTCGAATACTTCCACTCATAAGTTAACTGTCTATTGACTTTTATCGTTGTACTTAATTGCAGTGATGATTTCGAAGAGTGACATAATTCCAGTGACATTAATGCCCAATTGCAGAAGCATATACATTAATTGGAGACAATAGAAATGATTTAACTTATGAGAAAATCCGCATTGCAATCAAATTAACATTTCCTGAAATAATTGCTTGAGCGTTGATCATTTCCAGAGCATAGAATCATGGGCGAAGATCCGGTTTGTGGTTGACAAACCCGGAATGAAATCATCGTCGATGACACTATGGAAATATGTACAACAAAAAATGCACCCTAGGTCAGACACAATAAATGGGTTCATCGTAGGTAAGCACAATATTTGAATAATACTGTAAGCACGGTGTATATTTCGCCAATCGGCGGGGGATGAGCCTATCCCAAGCCCTTTTAAATGTGCGCATTTTCTATATTCCCAAGAGTTGTAATATTTGTATTTGTATAGCAACAAATTAACGCTATAGTCTATGCTACTCCCGACTATTTGGATAGAAAGATGCTAGATTTTAAATATAGTTTATAAATAATATAATATAATATAAATAATATAATATATTTTAAAAGGGGGCCAGTAGCATTTCTTCGTGCGTGTTTGAAAATTCTTGATCTGTGGTCCGTGCCTTGAAGCACAGCCCCGCCCACTTCTACCAGGCAGAGTTGTTCCATCATTCTAGCTGTAATTATTATCCGATGTCGTAATAATTATTGGGGTTGTAATAAGTATCCATTGACGGGGGCCCCAACGTCTGGAAAATTGTGGATTGTCTGTCGTACTCTCTGAGTACGAAGTATTTATATGTAAATTCAGGAAAGTAAAAATCGAAGATAGTTGAAAGCAAAATATACTCAGCGGTAGGGTTGTGAACTTTCAGTACATTAGTTTTTAGTCGCCGATAAAATCTGGCAATAAAATATTGAGTGTGATGTAAGTTGTTTGTTTCGTCAGTATACTAGTACTTATATGGTTACAGCACTTAATTTAACAGGGGATAATATATGGCTTCTATGCAGTACATTTTAGATGGAATATGCATATGTACATGCTTTTATTTTGGAAGGAATTCCATTAAAGCGTGATCATTGGGAAGACATACAATGTAGTTGCAGATTATAGCATATATAGTCAAGATAAACTAGGCACAGATTCCAGTCTATTGCCCAATATTGCCAGTGGATGTAGCCAGCTGATATAGCCGCAGTACGGAAGCGATCAATCTGGAATGTCCCCGTAGGTAGAATGCAACTGGTTCACTTGATCTGAATTTAGTGCACAAATATAGTGGATGGGTTCCTGGGTAATACTGTTGATCATAAATCATGTCCTGCATCTCAAGAAAACATGAGGGCGACTTACCTATGGCATTTCCTAAATGCGGTCGATCCCTTTTCGTATTGTCTTCCCCCCAAGAAAATGTGAGTGCGCATAGAGGCCCACAGGGATTTTCACAGAATTAAGACAATGTACGGTGGAGTTGTCAGACCTGAAGCAGAAAGGAAAGGCAGACAGGAGGACCACACACACACGCAGCAAATGGCGTCAAGTAGCCCAATAAAAATACCATCGAGTGTGTGTGTGTGTGTATGCATAACGGTTGTCCTGTTCCGGTGGCAACATTTGGTCGGTCGGTGGATGGTAATCCTAAAAAAGGGATAATTAGGCAAGGCCGAGGCGACAATTAGTGAGAGCAGGTCGTAAAAAAGATTCCCCGATCCACACACAACGATTACCTAATAGAGATGCGCTAATCCCTTTGTTGACAGACCCAAAATCAAATGGCAGCGCATCCTTTTTACCTGTTCCTGTGTATACTGTGTATAAAAACAGGATAAAAGGGCAGAGAGTCAACCATTCGCACAGCAAACATCGAGCGAGCAGCAGCATCTTCAACCGAAATGGATAACTCTACGACGACCTCCAGCTACACCCACAAGAAGTTAACCGCCCACAAGCGCAAGCGGAATATGGACCCAGGCCTGGAATCGAACACGGATAACCTCATCTACCAGGAGCAGCCAGTCACCAAGCGCCGGCAGACCAAGGCATTCTTCCGTCCCTGGCTGGACAACGAGCAAAACACAGAGGCATCCTCATCCGCCGCCTGTCCACCAGAGTCCCCTGCTCCCGCTTTGGACTCCGCCTTCAGGCCTAATTGTGCCTCGACGCCACGGCAGCGCAGCCCCCAGGAGCGTAGTCTCCGGACCAGTCTCCTCAGTCGACGAGCTGAGTCTCACGCGCACAAGTGGTTGCTCGAACGAATGGCCGTGCTGCAGCAGCAGAACCTCTACTACCGCTATCTGCTGCAGCAAGCCGTTTTCCAGCGAGGAGGCGCCGTCCCGAGCAGCCAACTGCCCCAGCAGCAACAACAGTTCCTCCAGCAGATGGCCCTCTCCCAGCAAATGCTCGTCTTTGGAGCACAGCACAGAAATGTATGAGGCGAGGCGAAGCCAGGAGGATATATCTATATTGACTATGGACCACCCATGTGATTTAGACGCCTAATGTGATAAGCCCTAATTTTTTTATTGAATAAAAAAATCTTTACTAAATTCTGGTTTTTAGTGTTAATACTTAAATGCGTTTCTCCTATCCATTTGTTAGTTAGGTAAAGTTTGAGATGAGAACATTTAGTTGCATGTGAGTTTTTGGTTATATATTAGTCACACATGGATAGATACTCGTACATATTTCTTGAAAACAATTAATTTCAAGCAATTGCCCAACAAAGTTCAGCGAGTTCAGTCGAATGCAGTTTCACAATATGCTCAACGGGGCTATTCCAAGGTTCAAGAAACCACAAAGAACAATAATGTTTTGGCTAAAACGAGCTTTCGGCAGCGACTTGAGCCGCCTGGCGTAATGGGCCACAAATATTGGCAGAGAGCATACTGGGATCCGAGCTGGGGTAAATAATATGCTAGAAGTTTGTGGGGTCTCCGGGTGCGACCAACGCGTCAAGTTCAACTGAGATGAGATGTGAGACAACGTTTTGCAACCGCAATACTCGTACTCGAGGCGCAGATGCAATTTTCAATGTTAGGCAGGCCATAGCCGGAGAGCCCAGAGAGCAAGCCGAATACTGAAATTGAACAGAAAACAAACCGTAGCAAAAAGTTGGCAATTAACTGAAACCTGAGGTTCGCTGGCATGGTACAAGTGCAAAGTGGTTTGTTTTGTTGGGCTGCGTTGCCATGGCCGCTATGGGACGGAAATTTGCTGCACTTGGATTTTCCGCCGTCACCTGACGTGACGGCCGCTTCCAGCATAGGAAGTCGCGCTGCACTCTCGAGTATTATCAAATGGCCCACAATGAAAATTAAGAGCAATTAACTGCGCTCGCTACGATTGCGCAATGGCCAAAAGAGTTAATTACGGCGGGCCAAAACACTGGGACAGCGGGCACCTTACCCCTGGAGCATGAATACTCAAATTAAGCAAAGTTTTCTTGTACAGACTGTGACACAGTTGGCTGCACTTTCGTCGTCCATGTCTCTAAGCATACTTTCTGCCTACGATCAGGTGGACTTCCTTATAAACCGTTGATTTTCTACTTGGCTAAGCATGATGCAAGGGGAGTTGAATGCGGGTCGAGTGAAAGTGTCTTCTAATTTAACTATTTTTCCAATATTTATTTATTTATTGTTGTCAACTTGTCCACTTACCATATAATAATAATATATATTTATATTTATATTGATTTTGTTTATAAAATAAAATATTAAACAAATAAATAGTAAAATAAATATATAAAGTAGTGGAACAAAATTTTACTTATCATATTTGGGTATTCCTGACATTCTTTCAAGGCCTTACTTGGAAACGTTTGTATCAAATAAATACAGGTATATTACCGCGTAATAAACATAGTCATAGCTAATAACTTAAACATAAACTTATATCAGGATTAAATCAAAACGTTAGCTACATGCGTATGTACATATATATAGTAATCCGATTGTCAAACGGATTTAAGACGTGTTACCCCAAATCCATTTCCAAATAACACACGACTTTGTTTTTGTACATATAAATAATTTGAAAGATGTTTCGCAATCAGTACGACAGCGATACGACGGTGTGGAGTCCCCAGGGACGCCTCTTCCAGGTGGAGTACGCCATGGAGGCGGTCAAGCAGGGCGCGGCCACCGTGGGACTAAAGAGCAAGGACTACGCAGTGCTCATTGCCCTGTGCCGGGCATCGGACACCGAAACGATGCAGCCCAAGATCATGCCCGTGGACATGCACCTGGGCATATCCATTTCTGGTCTGACGGCGGATGCCCGATTAATCTGCCAGTACATGCGGACCGAGTGCTTGTCCTATCGTCATTCGTACGCCGGAATTGTGCCAGTTAACCGCCTGGTAACCAATCTCGGCAACAAGATGCAAGCCACCACCCAGCGCTACGATCGCAGGCCGTACGGTGTGGGTATTTTGGTGGCTGGCTACGATGACGGTGGATCGCACCTCTACCAAGTGATGCCCTCAGCGGTCGTCCTCAACTGCAAGGCCATGGCGATTGGCTCGCGTTCGCAGACCGCTCGCACCTACCTGGAGCGTAACTTGGACAGCTTCGAGAACTGCTCCATGGACGACTTAATTTGCCACGGCATTCAGGCTATTCGCGGCGCGCTGGGCCACGCGGAGAACCCAGCGCTCACAATAAACGTGGCCATAGTGGGCGCCAACCTTCCATTCAAAACCTTCGGCGAGGAGGAGAATCACAAGTATCTGGAAATGGCCAAGCTCATGGGCAGCCCAGTGGAGGTAGCAGACGAGGCGACATCCCACAGCGATGAAGATCTCTTGGGGCAGGGACCAAGTGCCAACGACCAAAGCAATGCTGCCACAGAGGACACGTAAATTCGATGGCACACAAAATTAGTATCTGTTTCGTTGATTGGTTATTAAAATTCAAGTTATGAGATGCACTAATTATGGTGTCTAACATACCCACAAGTTGATCAAAATTCTAGTATTTCCAGCTCGTTCCATAGTACCCACAATTCTAGCCCATCTGATCAGTGGATGTTATGCAAGACGCCCCAGTCCCCAAGCATGACCGATTTGATTATCATGGCTTGTAAGCAGCCGTAACTGGATTTCGCTGATATACTCGTATTTATTAATATGCAATTCAAAGCAGTAGTAGCATATCCCGGCCACAATGAGAGGTGAGTGTTGAATGTGGACGGAAGAGGCTGTTTTAGTAAATGTTTACCCCTTTAGTTGGCGTTCTGGTTGACATCCTTTGGTTTTGCAGTTGTTGGATCGGCCCGAGTCGAGAGATTATCCCAACGGAGCGGTATCCCGATGGATGGCCCCAGCGGCAGTATGCGACGCTGCTCCACAGAGCCATTGTCGACGGTATAGAGATTTTTGTACCCAATGGCGTGGCGATATCCCATGAAAATGTTAGGGCTGCGCTGGGAATTTTGTTCCACGGCTCCAACGGCTCCACGGCGGATGAAGTGCGTGAAGCAATGAACCCACCAGAGTCCGAGCAGGTGGAACCGATGGGAATTGTTGTCCAACGTCCAGCTGCGGACAAGTTTAAGGAGTTGAGGTACGTCGGGGTTTTCGTGCCTCCCGAACTAAAGCTAAGCTCGGTGTATGTGCAAAAGATTCGCGATATGGGAGTGGATCTGGTGCCTACCCATCCGACTCGCACGATTCGCAGCCTGACTAGGAAGCTGTGGAGGTTGAGCCCGAGCTTCCTCCGCAGCTCTCTGTTCGATAGAGACGACCTCCCCTTCGAATTGCAAATTCAACCCGAAATCCTGATTGTGACGGGAGCGGCCTTCTGGGCCCGGTGGGACGATGCTGGCTTCCACCGGGAGAACCGACGCATGCGCGAGTTTAATGTGGACAAGAGACGTCGCACCTACGTGGACACCATGTACAGTTTGCCCAGGAGGCGTCAGGTGGCCCGACTGAACAGCTTGCGATCGGCAATGCTGCTTCTGCCACTTGCCAAATAGTTCGGTGAAGTTCATGGTGATACTGCCACAGCGGCTGGAGGGACTGCGACAGCTTGAAGAGGAGCTGGAGTTTGTGGACTTGCGCCGCTTGCTCCTGACCGACATGGAAACGGAAGAGTACGATGTTCGCTTGCCCGTCGTGGATCTCACGACCCACATTCAACTCGCCCGCGGCATGGACTTCTTGGGCGTTCAGAGAGCCTTCCAGCAGGATGAAGCCGACTTCAGCCTTGTAACTGGCCAAACAGAGGGTCTTTGGGTGCGCAAGATTGCCCATTTCACCAAGCTAAAGCTGAACGAAGACGGCATCAACTTGAAGCACCATCACGGGCTTGCAGATCGGAACAGAGAAGTGCTCAGGCATGATAGCGAGAGAGCAGCGAATCACTTCTTTGCCTCGCATCCATTCTTTTTCGCCCTGCTCGACGAGAAGAAGATCTATGCCACCGGTCGGTATGGACAGATTGCGGCTCAACCCGATGACATATAAGTACGAGTGTGCTCCTAAAAAGGATTAATAATAAAGCCAAGTATCATGGATCAGAATTTTTATCTCTTAAAGAAACGTTGCTGCAAGTAATACAAGTCCATTATTACTATATATGGGTTCTACTCATATCGAATCATAATCAGATAGTAAGGGGTTTATGGCTAAGATCCTAAAAAACTAAGTCCCTAATTTCAAACGTATTCATTTCTTGAAGAAACTTACAAAATAACACTTAAAACAAGCTTTAAGCTAATACTTAAATCAAGTAATGTAATCACACAGTGATTAAGGCGGGAGTGGCCTCGGAGTAGCTGCACTGCTCCCGTTGCATCGCTCCGATCAGATATTCGATGCTGAAGTTCTTCGCAGCCATTGGAACCTTCTGCGGCGGCTTAGGTGTTGTTGCTGGGCCTTTCGTTTCCTTGGACTCCTGCTGGACCAGCTGCTGGAGGTGATTCAGATACACACAGGCTCGCATGCTCTGCTCGGCAATTTTGAGATGCTGGCTGGAGAACTCGTTGTACTGCTCCTCGATGGCCAAATGCTCGAGTTTTTTCACGCGGCGACTCATGCGGCAGGCAATGGTGTTCTTGTTCCGCCGCTCCTGATCCTTGGGCGTGCGCTCCTTCTTGGGAAACTTCCGCACCATGTTTCCGTGATATTTGCAGATGTTTTGCAGAGCGGCCGCGCTGATCGAGGTCAGAGAGTGCGAGGAGGATGCGGTTGAGGATGCTGTGGTCGATGTGTCCAGGCGTCGGCGCTTGGCCAGCGGCAGATAGGTGCTTCCATACTCGCTGGAACAGCGGCTGGTGCTGTGCTCCTCCTCCTCCCACTCATCGTAAGCGCTGCGACTGCTGTAGGGCGTTCCAGTGCGGGAGATGAGCTCTTCCTTTAGGAGCAGATCGGTTTTGTCTGCCGAGGATCGCCCAAAATCAAATTTCTTGTGGCGATAGATTTGATTGCTCTCCGTGGACTGCATTTTGCTGATGATGATGATGATGATGATGATGTTCTGCTCTCTGTGTCACTTGATGATTGACTGATGACCCGTTGCCGTCTCACTTGTCTTATATGCAACCGCGTGCACGCGCTTATCACCTCACCAGTGCCGCCCGCTGTAATCCGCCAAACAGTTTATGGCTCTGTTTACACAAAATCGAGTAGAAATGTTTTTTTTGCAAAACACAAACAAGATCATAAAATCAGCTGATTTGCCTGCGCCTACGCCTGCTCTCTCTGCGCTTGCGCCTGCGCACGCATATGCACGCGTCGATTGCATCCCATCCCTTTCACACAACCTGTTTTACCTACCAGTGCAGAGCGAGACGACACCCGCTGCGCTGGGCCGCGTCTCTGTGCATGTTTGTTCTTGTCAGCATTCTGGCTGGACTGGACAAATTTGCAGTCGATCTTCCTCCCCTGCACTGTCGCCTGTCGCCTGTCGCCTGCCCCTGACTCTGCCTACGCCGTAGGTGGCAAAATGCGCGCCCATTGTTTGTCCGATCTACAATACAATGGCCGATGTTCATTCAATTCGAGTTTGTTCCTCTTTTGCTGATTATTCCGGGCTTGTCCATTATCCATTGTCGCAGCTTCTTTCTGTCAATGCCGATTGTCTTACGAGTATTCGTATTCTTGTTCAATTTTTCAATTTTTCAATTTGGTTTTTGCCCAAATGTATTTTGCGGCCTCATTTGTCTATCCTCTTTTGTCCTTACCCCCATTGATAAGATATGTGTGTAGTACATGTGGCACCGCAGTGAGTTATTTTAAGGGTTCTCAGTTCTTGGAAAGGCAGTCTCTTGCAATAGATGCCGATAAGATGAGGTCGGAGAGGTTCGCCTTGGAGTGACTTTTACTTGGGTTGCAAAAGGCAGACAAGAGTTGATAAGGCTTGGGATTTGGATTGGGTTTCTCGTCTCGTCTTGTGCTAGGTCAGGGGATACATAGATCGACGTGGGAGATGGCGCGCTCTTGGAATTTTCTAGGGCAGACTGCGATAAGATATGCAACTGAAACTACGATGAGCTGTGCAGGTTCCATGATGGGGACTGTCTAGAGTTCTTGACAGGCTTTTGAATTGTAAATAGCGTAGATCTAGCACGTGCCAAAGCTTCGAAGCTCTATGGAAATGAAATGTTCACGGGGAAGTTCAAGTGCAGTTGATGTGCAATTGGAAATTCGACTTATGTACGGGGAACCTTATCTATGCAATGCCAGACAAGTGAACAAACCTCTTATCTTGAGCAACTACTCGTATATACATACATGTGTACATATGTATGTACATAACTATGCATGAAAAGATTCTCAAAATATACAAAAAATATTGGAATATACCATGCACTCGGATGCAAGTAAGATTGGCTGATAAATGTAGCTACTACTGAACTGTGTAACCTGTAAACTTTGTAGAGTAATTGCAGTGCTATCTAATTTAATAGTTAGTTTCCTCAAACAAGAGGAGAGATTTTGCACCCCTGCTAATTTGCCGATGATCCCAGAAAGACCTTTGAATAGTTGCCCCTTCAGTCGAGCAGTGACTAATCCCTAAACAGTTGGAATTGATCCGAGTGCTGGGCAAACTGTTGTAATTGAGTGTTTGTTTTAATTTCATTACCCAGAAGCGAATCCATTCCAGGGGCACACCGACACCGAGACCAAGATCTGGAGACGTTCACGTGTCGAGCAATGCAAGACGAGGAAACATCAAAAGCTGCTTGGAGTGCATCCGACAGCTGCCGGTAGTCGATTGTCGTTAGTTGGTAGTTGGATCTGATGGGTCGGGTCGGTTTTGGGTCGAGCCAAGTCGAGGCGACTCGCTGGGGGATTGGTGGCTTCAACTTCACGACTCGGGGAGGGGATTTAATAATGTCGTTTGTATTTCGCTGCTGACTTTTGCATTTGCTTTGTTATCTATAAACGACAACGACGACGTCGTCGTCATTAGTTCCATGTACGCGTAGAGATGGGCAGTGGCAAAGTTGTTCTCCGTGTCACTCACTGCAAAACTCAATTTCGTGCAGAACAAAAATAAAGTAAATATAAAGAATTCTAGAAAATTTCAATTTTACAACTGCTATGGATTTTTCATGCCGGGTAATTACCCGCGTGATCCATCCAATCCCATCCCTAGCCCCAAGCTATGACTATTTTCGTTTCGCCGGTGAACAGAGGCATCGCGCCTCCACTTCCACCTCCGTCGCCTCCTCCACCCAATCCCTATTATTTGTTATTGCCGCGCATCAGTGTTTGTGTTTGCATTGTCGTTTGTCTTTGCAATTTCGCTTTTATTGGCTTTGATTTGATTTGCTTTCTGGCCATAAATAAAAGGCCCCCTCTGATCGAAAGTCTCAGAAGTCGACTCGCATTTGCATTGGCCAGGTTCATTTCCCTACCCTGAGAGTAAGCCAAACCGGAGCAACCACGAACTTATCATCAAGAGCTATTAATTAAAACTACCAAAGATTATGAATCTATTGTGGAACTTCGTTGTGGTCACACTGTGCGGAGTGTGCCTGGCACAGAATTTCGGAGCGGAGCTGCCACCCGTTGAGTTCAAGCCAGTCCGAGAATTATGTGAGTGCCAAAAATGATATATAAGTGAAACAAAAACTGTGCCCACTAAATATTAGATTTACAGAGAAACGATATTTTGTGTAAAACTATAAGCCTTGTATTTCATAGATGTTTAAACAATAGTCACAGTACAGTACACAGATGCTCAGCGCAGATATTAGATTCTTAGATTTATTGTTGCAAGTGCTTCAGGTAGCTGCTATGTTAGTTGTGACATTGACAAAACCACAAAAAAATAATAATAGCTTGGCATGTTATAACCAATAGAGTCAGAAATAGCAGAAATTACATTTTCTGTCACCATATGGCTTTACCATAAAATTATTAAATTCTTTACGCGGTAGCTCTGAAGAAAATCTGTATAGTAGAATGGAAAGAATATTTTTTTTTAATTGTATGTACATTTAAGGTAAATGATACAGTGGAAGAACGAATAATTGGTCCAGTACTAAAACGATATATCAAATATTTTTTGCTTCAATTTTGAAATTTTTCACGTAATTGGTTAAACGTAGTTTTCGATATTTATCCTAAGTAACACTTTTCCCATTTGTCACACATTTGTAGCAGGAACATTTGAGACATCATCTTAAAAGCTGTGGTATTAGCAGATAAATAACGAAATTCAAGAGAAGCGAAAAGATCGCCATCTTCTAATAGCAATAATCGTGTGAGGCACGCAACGTTTGTGTGAATTTTATAACAAAGCAATCAGCCTACTTAGGAGTCAAAGTTCATACAGTTTTCCTTAAAACAATGGGATTGCACAATAAATACGTACATGTACGTAGTTGTGGGATCGCAACGAAATGTGACAAATTGTATTAGCTTTACGGTAGAGCTAAAGCTAAGTGCACAAATTCATACAATACTAGTATACAACAAAAAAAGCAAGATTCTATTTACTTTTATTGATTACCATAATTAATCCTTATTTGTGGAATCTATTAATGGCTTGCAGGCGGTTCTATGGGCAAACAAAATATATAATATCATGATTAGTATTCTAGAAGTGAAAGGGGGGGCTTTTAAGGCCCAGAAGCTTATAAAAAATAATTGATGCCTAGAAGTGGGAAAATATATATATTTTTCTGATATTCCACAAAGCGTATTCCATTTGCAATTTTCGGAAAGCACTGATCATATTCACTTGCTTCGAGTTTATTTTGGTTTGATTCAGATTCAGATTCTATTTAATTAAATTTGAATTGTCATGCTGACCATTTGCCAGCCAAGTGGTTTAGGTTTATTGTCATAAATATAGCTTGTTCATGGGGGTAAATAAAAATAGAATCGTTTCGTTGGCGCTTGAAATTGCCATTTGCTGGATGTTTCGGCAAGTTCGTGGCCTAAGTCTTTTGTGTGGAATTGTCACTTCCGCTGAACGGCCTTGCCCACGGCTACGGCTGAGCAATGCAAAAAGTCTTAATTACAAGCAGAGTCGAGGCGAAACCAGCTGGATGCGAACAACTGAAGTGTAGTCAGTACAGTGGAAACTCTTTTTAATTGAATGTAGTAATTCTCGTTCGGAGCATAGGCAAAAACAAAAGCCAAACAGCAGATAAATTGCGCATGACGTTGACAATTATGTGAGCAGCAAAGCGACGATTACACAAACTCAAACCGAATATTCTCAACTGGAAAAATGTCACGTTCTGAGCATAAGCGCATAGATCGTAGACGATATAATTAACGTTTATGTGTAGCTAAATATGTCAGGGTCTGCCTAATCGCGTTCTAATCTGATTCGTTTGACCTTCGACAGCCGGCGACATACCGACCTGTCGGGAGAGCGATCTCAATATCAACGAGTGCATCAAGCAGGGCCTCCAGCAGATTACCCCTCGCATGAAGTACGGCATCAGCGAGCTGAACATACCGCCGCTGGATCCGTTCGAGATGGGCAAAAGTTCCTATACGTACAGCTCGGGTCTGCTCCAGGGACGCATTGCCATGAAGAACGTCGTAGTGCACGGCCTCAGCGAGGGCATTGTGGACAAGGTCAACTTTCGTATGAAGAACGGACAGGTGCGGATGGAGATTCTCTCGCACGTCCCCCAAATGCTGGTCGAGGGCGCCTACAAAGCAGACATCAAGCTCAACGACCTGAAGCTTACCCCAAAGGGCACCTTTAACGTCACCCTCAGTGAGTCCCACAAAGCTACCCCCAGTTCAAAACTAAATATAATTAATATTATGGCATTTACTTGCAGCCGATGTCACCATGAGGGCGAGGCCCACAGGGGAGCTGTACGAGCGCGACGGTCACACTTACTTGCGTCTGACCAAACTGGAGACTGAGCCCAAAGTGGGCGACCTGCGTTTCTACGCCAATGGCCTGGTGCCCGATCCGGCTCTGAGTAAGCTCCATTACGACCAAATCACTTAATCTACTGTATAAAACTATCTTTTTTTGTGCGTGCAGACGATGTCATCTTGGACTTTATAAACCAGTACTGGCGCCAGCTCTATCAGGCAATGTTGCCCGAGACTCTGGCCACCTGGCAGCCGCTGCTTCTGAAGTCCTCAAACGATTTCTTTGCTGCCCTACCATTCGATATGCTGGTGACCAAGAATTGAGAGAATTCTTTGACTTACCTTACCATTGTTATAGTATTTAAACACTTCGCTTCTATATGTTTTACTCAAGGTGTTAACATAGTTTGTGTCCCAATAAAGAGTATCAAATCCCACAAATGCCTGATCTATCTGCAACCAATCTCAGGATACAGAATAAATTGTATACAACTAATTTGAAAGAAATTGATATGCAAATACCTGCCACTAACCACTACCATGACTGGTAACGCAGCTGCAAGCCTTCATATCATATTTTCATAATCAGGATAGAAAGTAATTATCGGTATTTGCCATTGACTTGATTTGGTTGCCAATACATCATATTTATCGTTTGGTCTCATGCCTCTAGATTTGATTATACTTGAGTGCACTCTGAACGTACATTAGTTTAGCCTTAACTATGTCGATTTTGTTGATAATCTTTTGATCTTACTCTTGGCAGAGGAGTGGCTGCAAAACCCGAGTAAATGTGATACAATCCCGAGAAATATAATTTCCTCCTTATTTTATGTTTATTATTATTATAAAACAAACCAGACTTAGCTATCTACTCGGAGGCGATCGTAATGGGCTTCAACAAAATTTAAATGTGCACTAATACGATTAGAGGGTATAACTTATTTGCATTAAATTTCAACACGATCTGCTCGGCGATAATTAATGATTGATTGCTTGACGACATCTGTGTCAGTATGCCGTATAGCTACACTGGGAAAATTGTTTGAAATTACATGACTAACTCTAGAATTGACATTTAAATATAATGGTGGGCCCGGGTCAACTTAATCTACGTAAGCTCTGTTACATCTAGGCACTATCCAAAATGATTCCGCCATCAGTGCATGAATTAATTTTATTTGTGTACGTAAAATTGAACACAGGCTGAAGAGCTCCACAAAATAATCTAGCTGAGAAATTTCAGAAGTCCAGATTAGTGGCGGCGGCATTGAGTCAGAAGGTTGTTGCACAGTGTAACGACTTCCACTCGTACAAATCAGAACGGCATATAATATAGTATGCAAGTTGCTCCGTTTCTGGGGCGTGCAAAAAGTAAAGTTCATAGTGGAATTGTGCATATCTAATCGAACATTTATACGGAAATGACTCACCAGCTCTGAAGCTCGCTTCTGGCTCAATCTGGCAGATACCCTTCGACGGTGTGGCTATATCCCAATGTATGGCCAAAACAATTCATCCGTGATAAAGGGGAGAAGGTAATTATTAAAATGATTTGTCGCAAATCATCGTTGTCGTAGGCTATTACATTTTCAATAATTTTACCATTTAATAATACGACATTATAAATCAGAGGGACGGAGCCGGTTTTGCGATCAGTCAAAGTCTAACTGTCTGCTGGATTTGCTGATTTACAAGTAAAATTTACTCAGTTTAGTACGAGCTAAGCGGCGCTCCAGTCTCCAGTCACCAGTCGCTATTCTCTAGTCTCTGACTAGGAATGTGCAGCGTTGTGCTAATTTCGAGAATAAAATAGCTCGACTTGTTGAGTGAGAGATTCAGTTGCTCGCAAACGTTCTAGCCGCAAGTTTGGACAGCCGATCAGGCATAGAAAGGATACAAAATAGTTCATCAGAATGCATTTCACTATTGGATTAATGTGCCTGATGGCTTTGGGAGTCAATGCAGCACCCTCTCCCGCTGATAGTAGCAAATACTTTACGGGTGTGTACCATTTTTCAAGACACGAGAGTTTGCATTATCTATCGGATTTCCACAGCGAAAGATTTGCCGAAATGCTCAACGAACGAGGACCAGCTTGGGGAGTGCATCAAGCAGATATTTAATACGATGACGCCGCGTCTCAAGGATGGCAATCCCGACCTGAAAATTCCGCCCTATGAGCCCTTCCACCTTAATCGCACAAGTTTCCAGTACTCAAGTGGCACTGTCAACGGCCGCATCACCGTGCGGAATGCCAAGATCTACGGATTCGCGTCCAACACCGCCAAAGATGTGAGCATCAAGGTCGATGGCGACAAAGTCAGGATGCGCCTGATCACCTACATGCCGACGATGAAAATTATAGGCAGCTACAAGGCCGACATGCAGGTGAATCAGCTCCAGCTGAAGCCCAAAGGCGAATTCAACGTAACGCTGAGTGAGTGTGCTGCTCTAATTTGCTCTGTTCTGGGGTATTTGTAATTAGCTATTGCTCTAATTTTTTCAGAGGATGTGGAGACGACGACGCTAACTGAGGGTGAGATCTACAGGAAGGATGGTCATCGGTTCCTGCGCCTCAGCCGCATCGATACAAAGCCAAAGATTGGAGATTTAAAAATCAAAGCCAATGGAATTTTCGCAGATCCAGAACTGGGTGAGTAATAGGAAAATGGTAGTACATTGTTCCAGCGAAATCCAAATTTAGAGGATTGGTGGATGGTGTAGATCTGATAGATCCCGAACGTAATTTTCGAATCTCTATTTACAGATGAACTAGCTCTCAATGTCGCCAATCAATATTGGCGCGATATCTATGGAATAATGCTGCCTGAGACGCGTCAGTATTGGCAGCCCCTCATACTGCGCATGTTCAACGAGTCTTTAGAACTGGTTCCCATCGATCAGTTTATCGAGGAGTAGTTCAATTATTTATAGATTTACAATTTGTGATGATGGCTTTATAGTGCATATAAATGATTTCATTGCATTAGGTGAAATTAAATGATAATTGTTGTATGTACAATTTATATGAGCATTTCATTCTAGGCGCCAAGCAAGCTGCAGCTTGCCCTTTATGAGCCCAGCCAACTAAAAGAATGGAAATGTAAAAAAAAACTAGTTTTAATTGCCCATTACATGCCCCATGCCGGCTCGTTCAATTCATTCAACTGTTTTCGAAATCACGCCCCTGGGTGACCTACCTCTAATGATAATAGCGTTTATAGGTTAAGTGCACCATAGCCGCAAGCTGACTGACCTTAAACAGACAATGGGGGATGTATGTCGGTCGGTACGAGTATCACAGGCCAAGTGCGAGCTGTAAAGTGAAATTGAGCAAGACTCAAACTGGGCGAGTAACTACTATTCGTAACTTCAATTAACGATTACTGTGTGAAATTTATTTATCAGTTGGGCCGAAATCCCGGCGGTACTGCAATACCGGGCCAACCCGCGACAGAGGTGGAGCAAGCCCCTAGCACTCCGTCTGATTCCAAAAATCAGTTTAACATTTGTTGTTCTCCAATGGAGAAACTATCAGATGTTAAGCTGATAAGAACAGATACTACACTTTGATCTTAGCCATAAGGCCGAGAAGCGATAACTGGATATGGTAAAACAGCCGCCAGACCATAGGTGATCCGTCAGAACCACTTGGGAATTATAATGTAATGACTAGCGCTCTTCCTGCTTATGCGTCCTTTCCTGTGTTAGGGGTTACTTTGAGGTAATTTCCATTGAGAAAAATTCCACGTATGAAAAATATAAGGGAGGAGTGTATGTGGGATAGAGCTAAGAAGTAGGATTACTAAGGGAGGATGGAAAATGGATTGTTTGGCATAGAAGATATTTCAGGTATGTGGTCCTCTGTTGTAGGATGCAGGAAATGCTCTTAAAAGTGATTCTAGGGAGACGAGACGATTTCACCCGGGAATCTTCAGGTATTCTTAAGGGCTGCACCTTTACAGTACTTCTTACGATTCCCAACTAGTTCTGGTGACACTTATGCCAGCTTGACCGTGTTTGGTGTGTCAAAATCACTCTGGCTTCTCTTCAATTGTCGAATAAATCTTTCGCCTTTTACTAAAGATTTCCGTGGAGAGGGGCACTCTAATGAGTCTAAACAGAATTTTTTCGTAGTTCCTGGCGGCGTCAGTTGCCGGGACAATAAATAATGCATTGAGCAGATGAATCGAATGGGGGGCTTTCGATTTTAGACAACTGCTTTAGTTGCTGGCAATTTAAAGTTATGGGCATAAACAAACAAATAGAGGCTGACCAGACCGGACTCTGGGGGGCAATAGTGAGATAAAAAGTGCATTTTATTGTACACTTGCCTTAGCATAAAGTGATGTAATTGTACTTGGGCAAAGTTTGAGCCGTGAGCAGCGCTAAGTATGCCATAAATCAGCCCACTATATTGCCAACAATTATTTATTCTTATTGCTTATAGAGTCTGCTCGGTGACTCGCATACTAAAAGCAGTTGAGGAAGGGAAGCCAACCCCCGACAAACAAACACGCGAGTGTCGTCTGCCCCGCGCCTGGCGAGGCATAATAAATGGCCAGATTAAACATTTTAATTAGGCATTTGATGTGACTGTACGAAGAGTGGTTAGACGGATGTGTTGCTAAAAGGAAGTGAGCTCCCAATCTTCTAGAGAAATCATACGTTCTGATCTTGGCTATCCAAAACTCGGACTTCGCCTAGCATCACGTACTCAGGCAGCCTTGAACATCGATTTGAACGCCACATTTCCCAAGTTCATGAATAATTTTATGCGGCCTATTCCCCAGCACGCAGTAAGTACAAATGGCTGCAAAGATTTATAGCTGACCCACATTTTTCATGAATAACACCCACCCCGTAGGAGAGGTGGCCCGACAATGGCCTGTATGGCCTCACTCCCGCAGTCCCTCGCAAACTGCAAACGTGCCCTGCAACTTGATCTGAAAACAGGGATTGGAAAGATGTGCCAGATCCAGGTGTGACAGTTTCCTCATTGTTCCTCTGACAGATTTGTGGGTGCAATCGTTAGATGGATGCTGATGTGGTCCGTGTGGGTATGCGGCTGAAGCTGGTGTCTGAGAAAACAACTTTTAATTGTTTTGAGCTTTCTTCAAAAATACTTGGAAAGTAAAATATTAATTTAAATTACATTCATATTTAAGAAAATCTTGGTTGATATCCAAATTAAGCTTAACAAGATTTTTAGATTTTATGAATTAACTAGAGACTTCATGGATCCACAGTAAAGTCGCCTTCATTCTACCAGTGCAAAGGTAGGATCATTGAATTGAAATGTAATCAAAACAGGACTATTATGTACACATAAGAAGCGTGAGGGAGAGGTCCACCTGCAAAGGCATCTTATGCTTTGACCCCTCTGTTTTATTTGAAATTTTAGATTCAAATATTTTGGCTAATGAAATGACTCATGATCATAAAAGCTAGTTGATCAGTCACTCTCCAACTGTAGCCACGATTGTTTTGTTCTCTCGAAAAGCGAAGAGCTTTTGCCTATACGAATTTAGCTGTTTGGATGGTTGTTGGTGTTATTGTCGCTGTCGGCTTCGGCTTCGGTTTCGGTTTCTGTTTCGGCAGCAGCATGGAAAAACTTTGGAGCAAAAAAATTCAAAAAGTCGTGTTGCTCGGAAACTATAAATAAACGTGGGTTTTATGCAGCGCTCATTTCAAGATTTGCAACCGACGCGCCGTCAACACACAACATTTTGCCTGCAGATTTTTTTGCGCAGATGTTTGGCAATTAGTTCGTCCGTCTCCGTCTCCATATCGCGTACTCTCCCTGTCATTTGTGTGTAGTTGTAGTTGTGTGTGCGCGTTTGTATCAGTGTGCAATTGCAGCAACAATTGCAGTTAACCGAGAAAACCCAAAAGCAACAAAAACATCAGAGATACTGTAAAAAATACACTCGTGTAGAAATAAAAGTGAAGCCGGTTTGAAAAGTTACGCAAAAAAAATAAACAAGGAGAAACAACGGAGAAAACAAGATTATTGTGTTAAATCAAGCCGCGCAGAAATAGTATAGTCAAATAGCGACTCAAAAAGAGTAGCGCTAGGTAATCCATTCAAACGGGTTTTCACTGTGTGTGAAAGAGTTCGAAGGAAAGCAAAAGTGCTGCCCGAAAATGCATTTGCTCTGCCTCTCGCTGACGCTGACGCTGGTGGCGCTGGCAATCGGAAGTGGCTCAGCGGCCACTCTGTCCACGGCACCACCGAGCGTGTTCAGCAGCGATCCCAATCAAAATTCCAGCCCCAGTGCCAGCCCCAGTCTCAATCCCGGCCAGGAGTACGTTGGGACGTATGCGGAGGGCGAGGCCGAGGCGGGGTCATTCGATTTTGGCGGCCTGCAGTTTGATGGAGGTAAACGGGATTATGTAACTAAAACAAGAACTTGATATTCAAACAACACACAACACTCCACACCCACTCCCTGCGCCACCAAAAAAAAAAAACCAGAAGCCAAAAACCGCTAAAGGAAAAACAAGTTTGTTGCTCAAGTCTTTTGTTTGCTAAGTGGCAATTGGAAAATGTAATTGAAAATGGGGCTGCCGTGGCCCGTGTGGCATTCAAAATGGAAAATCAATTCGGTGTTTTTCCTCGCTGCAGCATGGAAAATGTTGGGGAATCGGCGTTCTCAGGAGGAAAAGGGAGCAGATATGAGCTATAAAAAAAAGGGACAAAACTCCAGCGAACTAATTCAATGTGAACATAAGCATATAGAAAGATATAAAAGCAGACGAGAAATCATTTAATAATGTACAGATAGATCAAAGATGGTGCTAAGGGAAGAACTAAACTGAACTGATATCGAATACCTAAATATTAGCAGGGAACATTAGAGCTTTAATTTATATAAATTCCAAAATCGTTTTTTTCCTATCGCTAAGTATTCAGCACACAGATTTGCCCGTTTCCTGCTATTCAAAACATTGGTGTACTTTATTTATTGTATTTGCTGTATAAGCTAAGATGATTCGCCATTTCACTGTCCACCTTTGTTCCAGAGACTTTGAGTTCTTCATTTGAATTCCGCTCAGGCCATGCCTCGTGCGCTGCCCATTAAAAAGTGTCTCGCGTACCCAGGCCAACTCTTTAACAATACACATATATTTTTAATGCATACGTATTACAACCCTGCAACCTTCAGAAAAATACAAAAAACTGGAAAAGTACTCGGAAGCAACAATAATAAAAAAGTACTTTTAAATGAGATTTCCAAACGGCTGTAGAAAATGAAATTGCAATAGAAATTAGCAAGTCTATTTGCACTAAAAACATTTTATTTATTCGAGTTTTAACACTTTTGTGACTGCAAGGCAGCAAATCAAAAAAAGATGTAACAAAAAGACTGGCAAGTCACCGCCTCTGCCACTTGAACTTGACACACTTAAAGACTGGAGTAAAAGCCGCACCGAAAGTTGATGACGATGTGTGGACTGTACACAAAACGGTGCAAATAGAAATTCACCGACTACGATTCAAAACAGGGAGCGGAGCGGTAATAAATGCAGAATCAACAAGAGAGCTAGAGAGCAACAGGCTCGAAAAAGTCACATTAAAATATTGCCAATTGCATTAATTTTATCGGCAGCATGGTGTGATTGCGTGTGCGAGTGTATCTGTGTGCTGTTTGGGACATTGCGAAAAGAGTTCAGCGTGAACAAAACCAACAACGAGGCATAAATTCGAAACCAAACCGGCTGCTGTCGGCGCTACGGCAGCCGCTGGCAAAAAGCAAAAAGCGTAAGGCTGAAAAACTGACCTACATCAATGCGTAAGCGTCTTTTTGCTGGGCTTTTGCCGAACTGAAAGCTGCAATTGTAACCTGTTGCGCAAAGAAAAAACTTCACAAAAATATAAAACCAGCGGTCATTTATTGACATTTACTTGAGCAAACAGACAAACAAAAGACTTAGGCAACAAACTTCACTTCACTCGCTTGTAAACTAGTAAAACGAAGTGCTTAAACTCATTGTGTGTACCTTTTAATTTTGGCATTTGGAAGTGTTGATGTGGGGCTGCCCCGCCACTCGGTTCACCTTTGACATTGAACTTGTCAGGCAAACCAAAAGCAAAACGCCACAAAAAGAGCAACAAAATGAGAAAAAAAACACCAGGCCCTCAAGCCAAGTGAGTCATTAGGGTTACTCACGCGCTTTAATGGCTTGGAAACTAGCCAAAGTTTAACTGGGAATTAACTAAAAATTGACTCCTTCTTCGAGTGCTTAATTGCAAACTTTATTTCATATTTTGGTAATTTGGCAAAGGAACATTAAATATAATTGTGCTTTAAATGCTTTCCGCATGTCATTAGAAGATGAAGAAACCATGACTAAATATCGCTTCTTCTGAGAGAATAAATCCTGAGAATAAATCCTGAGAATAAATCTCAATAATAAATAAGCATCGCCCAACTGCTTGTTTTGCAACAGTGCAACAGAGAGACAGGAAAGTGGTTTACAGAATTAAACCGAGTAAACTTCGAAGATCAATGGAAAGCAAACAGGTTGAAACCAATAAATTAATCACATAATATTAATTGGAAATACAATAATTGTTAGACCTGTTCTTGAGAATATTAAGTGCTAGTAAGATTATATCAAACAATTAAAGAAAATTGTCGCAAGTCAGTGACATCTATGAGATATTTTATTTACAAAAAAATATAAGTGAAATAAAATAAACTAAAGATCGATTCTTCTGAGGAAATAAATCCTGAGAATAAATCTGAATAATAATTAAGCATCGCCCAACAGCTTGTTTTGCAACAGTTAAGAGACAGGAAAGTGGTTTACAGAATCAAACTAGACCTGAACAAATTGATTGCTTGAATATAGTCGCACATCCAGAAGTTTACTTTAAAATCGATTTTGATTCAAGGAAAGTCTTGACTCTCAATACTGCGGGATTCCTCAAACATCACTTAAAATGTTTTGCACGGTGGATTCACATAGCATTGTAACTGCTTACGCGGTTCCCTTCTTGGCATTTTAATTGTTTAAAACCTTGACAGGTGTTGTCACCCTGACACAAACCCCAATCGGATGTCAACGCAGCAGAAAAGCGGGCAGTTCATGTCCAACACGTGAGCCGGACCACGCTTGGACGGCTGCCACAGATCACAAAATATAATAATTATAATCATAATCTCCTCGAAGCAAGGCGCTATGCCATGCCTCGATGAACTTAACGACTGAGGCTAGCCATGACTTAACCGATCGTGAACTTATCTCCCATCACTTTCGCCTTCCAGTTACACCACAGACGACACAGAGCAGCGTCTCGAATGGCGTGACACCCTGTAGTTTCAGCTCGCCGGAGCTCAACGAATGCATACGCGGACTGATCCAGACATTCGCCCCGAAGCTAAAGTACCATGGAGTGCCGGAGTTCAACATGGGATCCATTGATCCGTACTTCTACAAGCGGGGAATCTTCCGGTACACAAACGATGGCATCCAGGGTGGACTACTGATCAAGGATATGGAGATTTATGGAATCAGCGACCTCCAGGTCAACAGTGTGGTGTCAAACTTTACAGAGAACGGCTTTGTGATCAAGCTGGGCGTGGGTCTTCCTCAGCTGAAGGCCGGCGGACACTTCAAGGCGGACGTGAAGTTTGGTGGACTGCGTCTTGTGCCCAAGGGTCCATTCAACATCACCGTGGGTGAGTACAGCCCCCCAAGCTATGGCCTAAAGTGCTTTTTATTTAACTTTCGTGAACTTCCAGACAACATCAAGGCCACAATTCTCACTGACGGACACATTGAGCAGCTGCCCAGCGGACAGCAGCGCCTCAGCCTTCATCGCCTGAATGCCAATGTCCACATCGGCGATGCCAAAGTGGTGGCCAATGGGATCTTCTCCGATCGTAACCTTAGTAAGTTGCTAATGTTGAAGCAAGCGGAATTTGTGTTTATTACCGAATTAATTTCACCCACAGATGGCATGATCCTCAACTTGGTCAACGAGAATCTCCCAGAGATCACCCGCGTCGGGATACCAGCCACCCGCGAGCAGTGGGCCCCCATTCTGGTGGCACACATAAACGAGTTCTTCGCTAAGGTTCCTATCGAGAAATTCCTGGTTCAATGATGCACAACCACAACACGTTTCTCATGGAGTGTTTAGACCGTAGCTAGTTTTAGTCTAATAATTACAACTTTAAATTTATCTTAAAAGCTACTTCCAAATAATTTTCAGTGCTCAAAACATTTGGCAACCATTTGGAAAGAATTTCTACACATCCAATTTGTATTTATTTATGTCATCCATTCTGAAAGGAGAGAAGTTGTGTGAAAACATCAAAATAAATATTCTTTTCAAAAACTAATGTCTCCCTCATTGTACTAGAATTTATTTGACTCTCAAATTTAAGTACATATGTATGTTACTATGACGGGTATGTGATCGTGAGAATATTACTCAGCTAAGTATTAGCTACTGCAGCGATGATAATGAGTGTGGAAAGCAATATACTTATAGGCGTAAAATAATATGACGATTCACCTAAATCCCGCAGTAAAACACTTATATGTACATGTAACACCTACATCCATTTATGTACATGTATTGCTACATGTGTAGTATGTAATTTATATTGGATTGAAAAGAAAAGTTTGAATACGTTCAGGCTGAGCTTGATACAAATGTAAATGTATTTGCTAATGTAAAATTCATGTATGTAGATATGTAGAGAAGTATGTATGTATGCATCGAGCTGTGTAAAAATTCATATAGGTTTCACTTTATTTGATAACAAAGAATTCTTGATTACTGTTATTTGTTCGTGCCTGAGGAAGATGCAAATATCTCCCTGCAACTAAAACGCCTATGGGCTATAGGTTTAATTTAGTTAATAGTTACTTACCTATACCTACCTTTCTTTCAAATACTGTATTTATATTCCATTCCTTCCTAAAGGTACCATTATAAAGGACCTAATTACTTCATTCATAATTACGATATGTACTCGTATCCAGAGTTCAATTGGCAGAGCTTTCTTCGGCCCTTGATCTTGCTGCCCCTTCTCCATGTCGTGTCCGGGCTGAGAACTCCAATTTCGAGAGCTATCCCATTGAATGGCTGTTCAAAAACCATATTCAACACTCGCACTTGACGATCAATCAAACAGGCGAATGTGCCCCAAAGCACCAATTACAGACAATTAGTTGGCAAAATATTGAAATACAATTATCCCGAAAAGGTTCATGGGGCCACCATGGCCGTGACACTTAGCTTCCCATCGATCAGCATTTGAGACGGGGATCAAGTGTGCTTATTGCAATGATCTGGGCAATACCGGGCAACAATTGACTTCATTTCTGATACTTCTAACACCCAAGGCGCCCTCAGTTCTTTTTTAGATCCAATGACAATGCGCCGGCGACTCACCACTGATTAATGTGGTTTTTAATTGAATCCTGAGTTGCCAGTTCAATGGACGCCCAACGTCGTAAATTTTGCATATTATTTAGCAAACAAATTTGCATCGTCTGGCGATGGGACTGGTACTGCAGCTGAGACTGAAGCCGGCACCCTGGCGGAAACGCTGACTAGGCAATGAAAACGAATCCAAACGGGCTTTGGTCTATTTCATGTGGTCAAGTGGAAAATGAACTACCAAACGAAATGTGCGCCACGGAATTTAAATGGAAATTTAATCTGGCAATGCACCTGAAGAAATGTCAGCCCAACTAGAAGCAAATTTAACGAAATATAAAGAATAAAATTCTCCAAGTGCATACAATTTCTAGAGGTAAAACCGCAGCAGGATTTTTTTAGTATTAGTATGCAGCCGCACAACTTCCAGGCGGCCACTGTTCAGTTCCAGTTGGAGCCTCAGTCCCTGTTGGTGCGTGTTCGGATTCGGGTTGGAAGAGACTCTGCCCCGTCCCGGTGCCTGCTGCTTTTGCTGCTGGCTGCTGCTGGTGGGCAAAGGAAACGGAGGTGTTACTGGAACTAGTTTAGATGTGTTTACTCCGTGATCAGCGGTAGTTGTCATCATTGCGTTTGACGTCGCGTGTGCATTAGAAGGCGTTCCGGCCCGGCCCGGCCCGTCCCAATAAGTTGGCCAAAAGCGAACCAGTGAAGGAAAACGCGCTAAGAATTGACATTTCGGCTGCTTCGACATCCACATTGCGGCCGGCGTCGCTGTCGCCGACGCTGTTGCTGCTGCTGCTGTTGTGTGGCAGCATAGTTGTTAACCAAACCCCAGAGACGGCTGTTGGCTCAGAAGCGATCGGACCTTACTACCCAGCAGACGGTCCTGCCTGTCTAACGCACGAGAACAAGAACTTCGTTTCGTCTTCGCCGTCGTAGTCGTGGTCAGGTGAATGCCATCGGGGCAACGTGCCTCGCATTCGAAAAGATATTCCGAGTCGCGATTCGTTGTGGCGGCTCCATATACTATTTAGCAGACAACTTATATATGGTATCCCCAGTTCAAAACGAAAACAAATTGGGAAGATAACAGCAGCAGCACCAGCTCCAGCTCCAGCCAAAACAACAGCAAAAATGTTTGCATTTATACGGATTTTATTACTTTGTGTGCATTTGCTGCATTTTAAAATAATCTCGGGAGTGGATCTGGATCTGCCAGAGGTATTTGGCGGGGAAGGAGCAGCAGGAGGGCCTGTGTGGCAAAATGGTGAAATCAAGGCGGCGCCCGGGGCAGGATCTGCCGTAGTCAATGCCACAGAGGAGCAGAGCCTTGGTGTGTCCGTGGAAGGTGAGCAGATTCTTAGTTGCAAAATGTGAACTTAAAATTAATAAATTGGCTATGGGTGTGCATACATATGCATTGGATTTGTTGACTAATCAAAAGAATTAAGACACGAACTTGACTAAGTTTTTAGTGAAAAAGTATATTGGGACATAGCTAAATGATTCATTTAAAACCAAAAATAGGATAAACATTGGACAAAGTACGAGTAGAAGTTATTCGATTCCCGTCCTCCCTAACAAATTGACTGCATTCAATATGGAATTCCGTTTTTTCATCAGTTTCCCTGAGTGAGAACCATCCATCTGTGAACACCCTAACAATGACTACTCTAGAGTATATTATATCGCAATGTACGTCACCCAATAAGTTCAACGACATCGGGGGAACACATTTCATGCCTGGCACGCACCGGGCATTACTTGTGTGACCTTCAGAAATCTATAAATGTTATATGGCAACCAACCATAGAGATAATGCGAAATTTGTTCGCTGAGTGTGCATAGCGTCGTTTGCTTTACAACATCGTCGGTCTGTTGATCTGTCGGTTCTCCAGCCCTTTGTGTCAGTTACAGAAAGATTTCTAGAGCAAACAAGAGCTCTCAATGAGATCTGTGTGGGCAGTCGTGGACTTTCAGATCAACTTCCACTTCAGCGCTTGTCGTGGCCTGTCGCCTGTCGCCTGTCGCCCGTCCATGTCTCCTGCAATCTCTCCCTTTTATTTATGGCCAACAATTAGACAATTAGACTCTTTATTACGTTCTTTTGATGGTAAGGCGTGATCTGCGATGATGTTTTTTTTGTTTTGTTTGGGCGACGACATAAGCCTATTAATTTGGGATGGTTTGGGGCTTGGCCTACAAAAAAAAATGCCATATAGAAGCTCTTAATCTGACACCTCCCACCGATTTATCACGCAATATTCATTAAACAATTTTTTTTGTTTGCCTTTGGGCTAAATTTAGTTAAAGAAAAAAAAAAAGAACTAGAAAATAAAACAATAAAAAATAAAGCAATTAACATTAAATAGCCGAAACGGCTGTTATTAAATTGAATATGTTATTTATTAATTGCAATCGGAATAACTCGGATGAAAATCAATGGCATAAATATTAAAAAGATGAAATTATCATTTATATGTCTCTTGGTCATATAAAATTTAAGAGTCGCCATAAAGTAGACCTCCAGTTGAACATTGCAGTGGTCCTGCCGCGGAATTCAGGTTTGCGTGCACACGCCCCGATGCAGAAGCAGGCAACCTGTAACGGTCAGGCAGACCTTGAACTTGCTACTTGCCCCTGGATGTTGTTTAATCTTTTGAGTATCTGCCGGGCACAGCCAACTTGTTGGGTGGGTCTGAAGAAGCAGACCACACTTAGGCACAAGCAGAAGAAGGGCCGACGAAAATTATCATACAGCAGATCATGCAGCGAAGTTTCTGTGAATGTTTTAAGTGTGTCAGAATTCAGGCAGGACGCTTTGATCAATCAAGCTAAATTGGTTCCTCTGATTTCAGTTGACAGCTTGTCATAACAATTTAAAAGCCATCAATGAAATGTCCAATAAACAATGAACATTGAAACACAAAAATGTAAGCCACTATTTGGGGCGAGTGAGTAATTCTTCGTTGGCTTTCTTTAGGCTTAAAATTCCATTTCACTTGTGACTCAGTGTACTAACATTTTTGCTGAGGGTGTTTTGGGGGTCTTGCTTTGTAATTGTAATATGCAAATATAACGTGCAGAAAATAAAATTAATTATTGATGCGGGGCACGACCCGAACGTATTCTTCATTACGAGTGGTGTCGGCAAGGCAGAGACCACGTGCAGATCTCCAGGCCCCCGTTCCCCTACACGAAACATAACGAATTTTATGCTCGATTTAATATCAATTAATTTTACACCTTGGCGATGGCACAAAGGGCGTGATAGCTTATGCTATAGCCATCAAGAAGCTCGTTTAAATGAATCGCCACAAAAGCTAACAGCTCGTAAACAGCAATGTGTCTTAAAGATAAACTGCCCAAATGGCTTATTTAGGCAAATTTCATGCGAAGACGCAGCCGCAGAACAGAACTCCAGCTACGAGTGGTATATGGGCCAAAACGGAGACAGAGAAATGTGTAATAAATTAGGGAAATAGCAAATTCATGCTAAATAGCAGCAACAAAGAGCCGCAGATCGGACCAAACAAAGGCCTAGACCAATTTTAAGAAGCTGCCAATGGACCTGACAAATACATGACAATTGACAGTAGAAAGTTGCCGCAGTGGGGGGGCACGACCACGGCCACGGCCACGGGTCTCTCCGTCTCTCGAAAGAAATGGCACAGCAATTGTCATTCAGTTTGAGAAAAAAAAGCTTAAGTTTATTGTCAATATTCTGGGAAACAACAAAAACGACAACGAAAAATGTCAAAATATTGAGTAATCACTCTCGCGGCTCGAAGAGGAGCGTGGACCCGAAACCTAAACCCGAAACACAAAATCCGAAACGAAACGAAACGTGAACGAATGTTGGGTAAATATTGGTTTGTCTTTTCTACCCATTTTTCAGTTATTTAGGTGCTTTGTCAATAGCGCAACAGATTGGCTAACAAAAAAATGGGTCTTAGGAGGGAGTTCGAGTAGACCACAGGCAATTGGCCGGGCAATTGGGTATGAAGCTCTTTCGAGAGGAGAGGTTAATGAACTTTGCTTTCAGAAGTACTCCAAGTGAGGCACAGATTCTCAGATGAGGTCATGGATCCCATCGATGGCAGTTCCTTTTACAATGCCCTGAAGCGGATTTTGATTCTTACAGATCCCTCGTCAGCGAGCCTGCACCGGAGACACCGTCAGCTCTTCTTCGACCCGAATCTCTTTCTGCTCCAGGCCGGCATGGGTGGTGGATGGGAGGGATCCAAGTGTCTCACGGCCCACGGTCAGCCCGGGGCTTGTGTCCGCATCAACAACTGTCGCCAGTATTACCGAGTGGCCCGCCAGCTGACCTTCATCGCTCTGCGGCAGTGGCCACAAAACCCTGCCCTCGGCTTGGGCGGAAATCTCTGCAACTTTTTCGACCAGCTGGGACGCATCAACAACGGCATCTGCTGCACGGACATGGATGCCAACACTTTCGGAGTGTTTCCGCTGCTGCCGACTCCAACGACGACAGAGAGACCTTCGCCGGTTGCCGATGAGGGAGATAAAGTGGATGAGCCCGAGGAGGAGCAGGAGCCAGTCAACGTTGACACTGTGGATCAGCCGGCGGACGCACCACATCCAGAGGATCATCCCATCGATAATGGGAACAGTGTGGAGGACACGCCAGACTTTCAGGATGTGAACACAATCGAGGCCAATGCCCCAGGACCGGAACCCGAACAGGGTGCGGAACCAGAGCAAGAGGCGATACCTGTGCCCGCCACACCTGTCTACCCATACCAGTGGCCATTCGGCTCATTTGCAGGAGGTCCAGTGGCTCAGTGGCCCCCACCGCTGCCCACACATCCTCCTACAACGGGCGGCTGGCCGCCACCGCTTCCCACCCATCCGCCCAACCACCACTATCCGACGCACCCCTCTACGGCCGGAGTGCCCCGACCCACTGCTGTGCCCAGCACCAAGCGGACTACCCCAAGACCTGCCGCCAGACCCACAACCACCAAGCGTCCCACCTATCCAAGCTATCCGGTGACCTCGGCACCTGCGCCGACGACCACGCGACGTCCAGTGAGTGGATCCAGTCCGGAGGGCTTGCCACTGCAGTGTGGCAACAAGAATCCGGTGTCGCCGGATCAGGAGCGCATTGTGGGCGGGATTAACGCCAGTCCGCACGAGTTCCCCTGGATAGCGGTGCTCTTCAAGTCGGGCAAGCAGTTCTGTGGCGGCAGTCTGATAACCAACACTCACATCCTGACAGCAGCACATTGTGTGGCACGGTAAGAAACCTGCGTTGGATGCAACCGCAACACCTGCGCGAAGGCTCTTCTAATTTCCCTTTCTTTTGCAGCATGACATCGTGGGATGTGGCGGCCTTGACGGCCCACCTGGGTGACTACAATATCCGGACGGACTTTGAGGTGCAGCATGTGGCGCGCAGAATCAAACGACTGGTGCGGCACAAAGGCTTCGAGTTCAGTACGCTGGTAAGATTGATTGATACCGAGGATACCGAGGCATCTCATAAATTCTGATTGAATCGTGCTATATGTTCTTCCTCCCAGCACAACGACGTTGCCATTCTGACTCTCAGTGAGCCTGTTCCCTTCACGCACGAGATCCAGCCGATTTGCTTGCCCACGTCGCCGTCGCAGCAGTCGCGCTCGTACAGCGGCCAGGTTGCAACGGTAGCCGGCTGGGGCAGTCTGCGGGAGAACGGACCACAACCATCTATTCTGCAGAAGGTGGACATACCCATTTGGGCGAATGCGGAGTGTGCTCGCAAGTACGGACGTGCAGCGCCCGGTGGCATAATCGATTCGATGATATGTGCTGGCCAAGCCGCAAAGGACTCCTGCAGCGTAAGTGTCTTCTAATTACCATGTAGGCTTCTGTACTTTAATTGCATGTTTTTGCATAGGGCGACTCTGGTGGTCCAATGATCATCAACGATGGCGGACGCTACACTCAGGTGGGCATCGTTTCGTGGGGCATTGGCTGTGGCAAGGGTCAATATCCGGGCGTCTATACGCGTGTCACGTCGCTGCTGCCCTGGATCTACAAGAATATCAAATAAATATAGTATTTTGATTAGTCTAAGACGTGATATGCAGACATGCAGAGCGAATAATGTAATAAATCGACAAAACTTTAAACGAATTTACCGACTGCCCGAAAGTATGCAAACATTAAATGGATATTCTCCATCGTCAAAGTCAGGTTGTTCCAGCTTTCTGTCGGTTATGTGTGTGTAGGTATATATATATGGCAGTGAAACAATCATTGGATATAGGAAGATATATTTTCGGTTAAAGTAGTTTTAAAATAGTCATAGTGTATGTGTCATTAAATCAGATCATTGTGCTACTACTCAGTATAAAATCGAGTCGAAATGACTACACTACGAGAGCTTGTGCCAGCTGATCTGTTCAAGTTTAATTCCATTGTCTTTGATCCTTTCGTGGAAGGCTACCACACGGACTTTTATTTACTGAAGATGATCCAAAAGCCCAAGCTGTGCCAGGTGGCAGCTGCACCTGATGGTCGGCTCATTGGCTTGCTGGTGGGAACACACGGTGCGAGCAAAAACGAAAAAATAAAAGCTGAAAATGGCACAGACTTGTGTCCAACATACGGACACATTTCTTTGTTGGCGGTGGCCTCTGACTATCGTCGCCTGGGGCTGGGAACGTGCTTGATGGGAGTGTTCACGGAGATTGTGGAGCGCTATTCAGACTGGTATGTGGACCTCTTTGTGCGAGAAAGCAATGTCACGGCCATCCAGCTATACAAGTCCCTGGGCTTTGTGAAGTATCGCTGGCTGCCCTTTTTCTATAAGAATGAAAATGGCTTCGAACTGCGAATGCCCCTGTCCCGAGATGTGGAGCGAAAGTCGCTGAAGGGCATCACAAAGAACAAATTCTATTGCCTTTACCAGGTACTAATTATGCTAGTCAACGAGTTTCTGATGTGGCTGAAGGATCTTGTATACTGGTAGCATGATTAGAAATTATAGAAATGTACCACACACAGAAAAAAAGAACACTAATAAAACATTAGCAGAGACCCAGAAGAAAGTCCCATAAAGAGTTCATTGCACTCGGCGAGCGTTCATCAAAAATTGAACTAAAAGCTCGAGCAGATCGCCTGAGGGAAAAAGATAAAACATGAAAATATATGTCAGAAGGCATATGGAGACGAGATTTGTTTATATGACAACAAATTTTCATTTAAAATTCTATGCGTTTCAAGTTGCGCAAACTGGCCAAATGAAAAGCGAAAATTGAAAATCATTGCGCGTGTTTCAGCCATCAGGGAAAAGCAATACACTATACACAATTCTATTCTAATTTGTTTGCGTTGAAACATTTTTTGATAATTTGCAATTGGGTTCTTGCTTGCCATCGAAGGGAAGAGAAAGAAGTGCGTTCAGGCGAAAGTATCTGCTCGTATACGTATCCGTATCCGTACTTATGTTTGTATCTTCTTAGGTTTGCGTTTGTGCGTCAGCGGAAATTCGTCTGCCGCCAAGCATTCACCGCAATTGAGTTTCTTTAATTAGCTAGCTGTACACAAATATGCTCTTGAATGTATGCCGAGTAGTACAGGGGATGTTTGGATCAATGATCATCCTCGTCATCCTCCGATAGGCACTGGGGCACCTTATATATGACAGCCACCGACCTACGTAGCACATCACGTGCCAACGGCATCCTCATATCGTATGCATTCTCCGGCATCGGCACGTCCGGATAGTAGTCCAGTACGGTCCTTCGCAGGACATAACCCAAGGAGCTGTACAGCGCATGGGCAGCACTATTGCTGGAGCGCAGGAAGAGATCCACGTAAACGGCTCCCTTGGCATCCAGTGCCCTGGCGATGTGGGCCATCAGTAGTGTGGCCACGCCTATGCGGCGATAGGCATCGGATACGGTCAAGGCGCACACATGACCGTGCCACTCGCTGAGTTTACTCTCGAAATATTTGCCAAAGATGTACCCCATTGGCCGACCCTCAGGCCCAGGTGCCACAGCGATTTGTGAGAGCTCCGGCCACTTCAGGAGATGTGTCAAGAAGAATTTCAAGCTGTAAACCTCCGTCTGGGGGTCGAGGACGAGAGAATTGAACTTGAAGAGATCCTCCAACTGCATCTCCCTCATGGTGGTCATAATGGCTGCTATTTTGGTGAAATTTTAATAAAAACTTGGGATTTTGATTGAACGTTTGACGGAAAATTAAAATAACAATTGATTTCGATTTTGTGACCATGAAAAGCAATTTATGAATTTCATTCAACAGGCTTTTCCTTCTATCAAGTGTTTGCTCACTGCTTCACCCCTCTACCCGGTTCATTGTTCATTGTCAGGGTTGTGGATACTCAATGACCGCATCCACCATCGAGCCGGATAGTCGACAGCCTCCAGAAGAACCGAAGCACAGCACAAAAGAAGCGCCGAAAATCATTTGACGCTCTTCTAATGAGGTTAATGTTCGAGGCACTCGGTGAGTTGACTCAGCGCCCTGTGCGCTTTTCAAATATCTATTTATACCACTTAATGGCGCATTTTGCACAAAAATAAAGAAAAGTACGAACCGATATGTACATATGTATATACACACGCGCATACATACATGTACATATGTAAGCATATATATATATATATGTGTGCATTTATATCAATTATATCGGTAAAGAGCCAGCGATCTATTTATAATCGAGAGCATCAGGCAACTTTGTTGTGTTCTCGCTGCCTGGACAGGTGGTCCGGCCGAGAAGACGAAGAACTTGAATTAGACATTATACGAGTACTCGTACATACATACATACATTCTCGTACATTAAATGTTAATTATCAACTCGAAATACAAAATTTGTCTACTGCCTGCCTCAAGATGAATGAGTTGCTAATTCACCCCAGACATTGCTCTTTTCCATTTGCCATACATCTCCCCGCCCATGGGGTCTATGCTTTGTTTTAGGCACATCTGCATACATATATGATATATCTACTACATATAATGGATGTTTGCTTAGTGGTCTCCCAGCGCTATATAATCTTTCCTTCTAGTATTTATTTTCCAAGCATGTGTGATTTATTATGATTTATCTCAGCATCTGTCCGCAATGCAGGGCCAGCCCAACCAATGGAATCATTCACATCGTTTCTGCATTCTCTGTGTATCTTCGGTTGCATTTGTAAATCAGGGTGAATATTGGGGGGCTTTCCTTATATTCTCTTTTGGCGCTCGATCAACTCAACTAACGACAACGTTTTAGTGCTACGTTCAATTAAATAAAATAAAAACTACAGCCGGGGAAATTAATATAGGAATTAGTTGAAGGCTAGTTAAGAAATTAATGAAATATTCCTTTAAATTGGCTAGCTGTAAGGGTATTTAAAGGGTACGCTTCTTTCTTGAATAAAATTATAACTAAGAAAAAAAAATAAGCAAAATACATACCATTTGATTATAGTAAGTCCAAAATTCCCAATAGTGCTCGCACCTAGCATCAAATGCTTTCCCCACAAGTTTTCGAAAATGTTTCGACTAGTGCAGAAATTTTCTAAGTTGCCTCCGACAAGTGTGAAAGAATCGAATGAAGAGTAATTTATTAAATGTTTTGAGAGTGTTCGGCGCCCCAGCAACAATTGCTGACTGGGAAGGGAAGGGATGGAAGGCGTTATGAAAGGAACAAGTACAAACAACTGCGGGCTTGCTCAATTTTTTGTTTCTTTTAAATAAACTCAAAATTCATAGAATAGAATTTTCCAAGCAGACGCACTTTACACATGCAAACGGAAACCCAGACACTCTCACTGCCAGTGGCACGGGCTTTCGTATACATATAAGCAGATATACGTACTAGTATATACACAGACATGACCGATGGTCGAAAAATATATAGGAGAGAAGAAGGAGAATTTGTTTCGAAATGTGAAATGTGTTTTTCGTCTTTTCGGCTTTTCGGCCGAGGAAATTTCTTGTGCGAATTCAGTGCGACTTGGGCTGCTAACTTGAACGCGTTGCAAACGAGAAAAACCATCCGAAAGAAAGAAAATTTTCATCTAAAACTAACACATAGATATATCTATATCGTCTATCTATCTGGCTGGGCTGTCTATATATACAAATATATATAGATATAGATACGAGTATTTTCTCTAGCAAAAGTGAGCAATGCGTCGTGCCGCGTTTTATTAATAGAAAATTACAAAATTCGGAACCGAACAATTGTGAACGAAAGGGTTTTCGAAACCCTCAAATATACCTCGGATCGATTAGGGAGGGCTCTAAACATAATCTTTAAACACTCAATAAACGTTATAGTTTGAAAAATGTACATTGCGAGTATATACATATGTAGGAAAAACTATTTCCCAGTGATTTAGTAGTGTTCGTGTTCGTGCCGAAAGTTATATAAGAAGGCGTGATATTTTGTGCAAAATAAATTTCAATTCATTATTCATAATTTTATTTCAATTTTCCATGAATTTTTCAGTGTTTCTGTGTGCATAGGTTTCCCTTGCTAAATCTTTTCGTAGAACTTGCGTGCGATTTGGCATAAACCAACGCCTACGACAGAAAAATAAATAAAAAGAAACCGAGATCTTCCTTTTGGCTGCTGTGTGGAGGCGGTGTGTAAAAGTGATTCAAAGTTGATCTTGAAATATAAAGCAGTCAGCTAAGATGAGTTCTGGGTAAGTTTCAACAGAATTCGGGGACATGGCAATAAGTTAAGAACAATTGAGAACCTTTTCATTGATGGATGTAGTATATATTCAACCTTTTGGTACATATGAATCTAGTCTAGACGCGACTTGTGGCAGCTGCACTATATTATTCCCAATGTTTTTCAAGTGTGGCCAGAAAACTAATAAAAAACACAACCCAATGCCGGGCGAGCTGTTTGAAAGAATTAGAAAATAAATAAAACATGTATGAATAGATACATATACTTTGAAAATACCTATATACCATATGCATAGTATATACAGAACATCTTTATGATGTCTTTCACAATTAAGGCTTTCACATGAGTTTTTATTTTGAAGGCCATCGATTCGCCCACGCTCACGCCCTCCCTCGATGCTCTCTCGACTCGGCCCCATGGTGCACGCGCTTTTTGGCAGGCGACAATTTTTTGCCTTTTCCCCGCTATCCCTGTCTGTCCCACACTCTAGGCGAATTAATTAATTAAATATCGTATTTTTCAACGAGATTTTGGTGCAGAATTTTATGTTCTACCCCCAGCCGCCAGCTGTCTCTCGGCCGTATCTAAAAGCATTTGGCACACGTGTTGGGAATTTAGACAACTGACGGCATTCACCGGAAGTTTTCCTCTGGCCACGCACTTCACTCAGACAATGCTCGAGAACATCTCAAACAAACAAAAAAAAGTCGAGAATTTGGCATAAAATGCAGTTCATTTTTTGTTTGATTTTTTCAACACTTTTCCTCGGAGAGTATTTTCTTTTTTTTTGCACTGCTCTGCTGACGTTGATGTGTCGCGCATAAATGTTCAGCACCCACGAGAATCGGCGATAATATATTGAGGAAATTGGGTCAAAATGATGCAAAAAAAAAGAGAGAAAAAGTAAGAAGTATGGACAGAAAACAAGAAATTAATAATAAATAATTATATATAATTATAATTATTTTTTCCTCCTAAAATGTGTATCTGCTTATATTGATCGTTTCCCTTAACAAATAATATGATTCTCTGTGAAAGACCATATATCTTGTCAGTCAATGTGCTTCTGTGTGTAAAATCTAATTATTTGTCTAGCTAAAAATGTTTAACTACGAGTATAATCACATAATTTAATTTCTTGCACAGCATATCAAGTATACGACATGTGGATTCATACTTGAAATCTTTAAATCTTGTAAAATCCCCAAAAACATACATAAAAATGAATATTGTCCATTAACTTACGTGTGAACTTGAAGCAAATATTGACAAAGTAAAATATTTCGTATATATTTTTATTTATTTAAGTTTTCGCGTCTCAACGACCGGACTTTTGATGCATTACCAGACATGACTTTGATTTTTGTCAACGACACTTATTTTGACACTTCTTTGTCGGTTGTTTTGCTTTTGTAAATTGCGTAAATCAGGTGTGAATTTATTTGTTTTACTCATTTTTGCATTTTTAATGGATTTCAATGGGTTTGTTGTTGCACGAAGTTCAAGTCGATCGCAGTTGACCGTGAAATTCGAATGTACAGGGGGAGAATAATTTAAAGGAAGATGCGTACCGTCGATAAGAAAGAAGACATAAAACTGTCATGAGAAGACCACACCCAAAAGACATCACACTCAAAGGCCTCTGGGAATATGATTATATTTAGAGCATTCCGAAGATACTTGCTTCTACGGTTCATAAAATTAATTGAACAAGGAGTTGGCTGCTTTTTACTTTGATGCTTTACCGTCCGTTTTATTACGTACTTTCACTTAAAAATAAAAAAAGGAACTCTCTTAAACACAATTTTCGTGATTTAGTTTTTCCATTCCACAAATCAATATCATGGCAATTTGTCAGCCAACACCAATTCAAAGTCAATGAAAAAAAGCCAAAATCGAAAAAAGGCGCTGGCGGGACTCAGCTGCCCGTCTGGCCATAAACGACGACCACATGTGGTTGTGGTAGGAAAAATGTACGGGTATACAAATTACGTATCCTCCAATCAGCCGAAGAAAAAATATTGCCGCAGTGCATTGTGCAACGGGCGCTGTCTCGGTTTCACTTTCACCTGGAGTCGCGTTGACCCAGGCCAGATTAATATAAATAATTACAAGCCCAGACCCATACCCAGACCCAGGCCAAGCCCATGCTCAAGTCCAGGCTCTCCGCTCCGTCTGATGTGCTCATGTCATGCAATCAACGCAGCGCAGCGGCAATCGCAAATGACAAATGCAAAACGAGCTGCACACTCAAGTAGTCGTAGAAAGTGATGAATGGGCTCCCTGATTGCGATCCCCTCCCCATACATATACATTTACTCGTATACGTACGCTTTTTTCCCCTTTTCGGAAAGTTTCGCCCCTCGGCGCATAACACGTTTTTCAAGGTCAGTCCCAGCAATAGGAGGCCTGAAATATTATAATCTTACACATGCCCGTGTCCGAGGGTGTGGGTGGGATATGAAAATCAGCTTTTTATTTATATATTATTAGCTTTCCCTCGCTTTGTTTTACGTTTTCCTTAGAGATCTTTTTGTTGCTTCCGCATTTAATGGCATATAAACTTTAGTTCGTTTTTTATGTTTGCACATTGAGGATTATTTATAAATAGGATGATCGTACGCATTAGTTATACCTACTGCATACATATATTCTTTTTTAGTTGTTTTTTGCGTTTCCCTTATTTCTTGTTTAGTTTGGGATAGTTTATGGGCACAACAGCTAGACTAAATGGCGTTGCCATTAAAGTTTTGGAAGCACTTTGTGCTTGGATTGATGATGAATCAACTTCTATTGAAATTATATTGATCTAACTGGAAAATATTAAAGCTAAATTTAACACTTTGAAACCTGCTCTGCTTTGACTCATTCGAAGATTTATATGTATGCAAGGATAATCCATTATAGCGCCACCTGTTAGTTGTCTGAACCCTAGAATCCGCTCTCAGCATCAAAGTATTTTCGGAAATATATTTTCCAGACAAATTTTAACCTGATATGTTTTCGATCATTTTCCACTTTTATTTTAAGAGATTGCATTGAAATGCATCATAAAATAAATCAAATAAAGAATACTAAATTGGGTCAACAAACCTAAACAAGCGCCAAATTAAATGATTCGAGAAATTGTTTTGAGAAAGAGAAACACTTAACACATAATTACGAGAAAAGAGAATATTTTCTAAGAGTGAAGAAGCCATTTTTCTCATATTATTTCCCACAATGAGGGGGCCTGTGGCTAACTAATTAGATGGCCCTCGTGATTGATGGCTGCACCAGACCGCATAGCTCTGTGTGACCCACTTTTGAGGCAGCCAAAAAATACAAATTACTGAATGAATAAGTGGAGACCAGAGACCGGATACCAGACATTTGACAGTTGGTTAAGGAAATATATAGTGTTCATATAGTATATATGAAAAATCGAAAATTATTGACAGGCACTCAGATTACAAATTTCAAGTGTGCGTCAATTGGGGCCACGTCGTGCCGGCTCTAATGTGTCTGTCAATCCGGATGAGTCACCGCAGCCGTGCAAAACTATTGTGGATACTATGGGTGGCTCTGCAGTCCCAACGAATTCGGCTCTCCAGTCAGTACGACCTTGACATGGAGCTGACGCTCCGGATCCATATCGATGAGCTTTTGAATGCTGGTGCCAGAGTACAGAATGAAGTCCATGTGGATGAAGAGCTGCTCCCCGTGCCCGTGAGCCCCCATCTGGGTGTACGGAGAAAACTGACATAGGGCTTTCTGGCCATGCTTATCCTGTTCGCCATCCAGGAGCGAGATCTGGACAGCCACCCCCAGTTCCGTGGTGATCAACGGACTGACCATGTAGAAGATGACGATCTGTTCCACGTCGTCTACCGGCGGAGTAACGTACATTACGAGCATCACAGGCAACTGATGGACGACTTGCAGCTCCGGAGTCACCGGAGTGCTGAGTCCCGCCTTCGGTGTGCCCTGGTAGGCCAGTGCACCAATCACATAGCTTATGCCCGCCTCCAGTTCGTTTAGTTTCACATGAAACAGCTCCGGCAAGTCGGCCACTGCCTCCAGCATCGACTCGCCGGGGCTGTGAGCCATCAGAAGATGGGTTAGCATCTCAATTGGCGTCAGCGCGGCCTCACAGAGTGGCACTGGGCACTTCAGTGGCGTGTTAAAGATCCGCTCCACATCGAGAAAGGCCTGTCCCATATTGTTTTTCAGTGGAATGTTGGACAGACTTGTACTTCATTCGCCACTTACCAGCATTTCGCCAGTGCATGGATCTCCATCGCCATGTTTTGCCATCATGTTGTAGTCAAATCAAATTCTGCTTGAATTGAAATGCTTGTGCTGTAATTTTGACAGAGTTTTCATCAGAAACTTAAATTCATATCTCAAATGTATTGCATTGGTAGTGCTGGAAGAAAAGCTCCAATCAATCCATTTCTATTTCGATATTTTGTCTGTTATAAGTGAACGATCGTAGGCCTTGTGGACATTGCTAATCGGATTAAACGAAAGTTATTTCTCCAGCCTGAAATAAAGTTTCAATGTCTAGAACCATCTGCGACCGGCAATCGGAGTCGCAGACATATGGATGTATTTTCTATAGTCATTTGTGTCGGTCGCAACTTTCCCCTTCTTTGTGCTTCATTCAGCATTTTACACCGTGGCAGGCGGCAATTAGGAGCGCACAAATTGTGTGCCAGATGAAAATCATTTTCGACCAGTCATTCTGCATTTAAAATTCTTCAACGCTTTCTTGCCAATTATTATTTAACAGAGAGGGGGGGGGGGGCCCAGGGCATTCCCAAGGCAGTCAGTCGTTGGAGAGTTGATAATCTTATTTGTCTGTCAAGGCTAGTGGGACGCGCTTCCGCAGATGCTTGTGTTAATTAGAGCAGAGAGGTGTAGGTACATGGAGCGTAGCTGGGATTCGATTAAGAAATCCCCAGAAATGTGAGGGAGGGACGCGAAATACGTGACAACAAGAGAAGAGTGCGAGATAAACGGAAAGCCACCAAAGCAATAAGCAGGCGACATGACAGCCGAGCAAAAACAATTAGCTGCACGATAAGAGTTGCAGATACAGCCGGGAGATACCAGATATAGATAGACCCAAACGTCGAAAGTATTTGGCGTTTAGCTTTAAATTTGTCGTCGGCATCGAACGGCTGTGACAGACGTATAAATTGGTCTGCTCTGCAGGTCGCTGGCACTGGCAGGCCGTGTATCTTGTAGATACACAGGCACAGACAGCGGACAGCCGCCGCGTGCCAGCCGAACGTTTATCATGAGCTCGGTTTTCCTTTTGCGGCAACGAAAAATGTATCTGCAACAAGTTGCTGAACAACTAAGGCCCCCAACCACAGCCACAGCCGCAGCCGCAGACGCAGTCGCCAACCTCCAGCGAACTCGACTTCAATGCGCGTCGAGACTCTGCTGCGTTCAGTCGCCCAGTCCAGTGCGCTTTCAGATACTCAGATACTAGATACTACGAACACCCGACTTCCAGATACTTCTGCGCTGCGCGTGTGCCTAAACTTTCATGTGTGTCCATGTGTGTGGTGTGTCTGTGCGGGTCCTAAGTGAGAAAATTCGTACCCCAAAAATAACAAAAACAAAAACCAGCCAACTGTAAGATGTCCCCTCTCTCCCCTTGGGGGCCAAGCAAATGTCGCCAGATAATCGTTCTACCAGTAGTTTCTGTTTAATTTGAACAAACTCTTTAGCTCATGGCTAAAAATAATATATGTACGTAAAGCTGCGTGAGCGTATCTCTGAGGCGGAACAGCTGCCTGCTCTATATTGTTTACGCGCCTCTTTGACTTCCCCAACCGTCCGTTGATACTTCTCGGCTGTTCTGAGTCATCAGGCAATGATCATTTGCCGGCTGGCCTGCACCGAAAAAGGTTAGATTGCCTGCCCCATCGATTGCTGAGTCACTGGGCTCCCATAGTGTCTGTCTGTCTGTCTGTCTGATCTGACTGCCAGTCAGTGCCTTTGTCTGGTAATCGATTGAACAAACAAATTCACTCTTTGTTTTCGCACAAGCCAGATAGGTAAATAGGAGTAGTATCTCCTCTGGGGGGCGTTCATTGACATTCATTTGTGCTTTGTAATTTGAATTAAAAGAACAAATTACGAGCAGTGCTGATACAAATTGGCCCATCTTGTGGACATTTGCTTGGGTCATCCCCATCCCCCTTTCCAATTGCTATGCCAGTTTACTCAACTGAACAACAAATTTGAGATTGTATAGCAATAAACAATATAAATAACAGAGTTTAACAAAAACAATGGCCACCTCAACGCTGCAATCTCCGGCCGCGTCGCCTTCCCCATCTTCCACGCCCTCGTCGGTGAAGAATCCGCAACTGAAGCGCGTCGTCTACTCCAAGTATCGGGAACTGCTGGGATCGTACAACGATAAGGCCAATGCCATCATTGACACGCTGCCTGCCTATATGGTGCGTCAGGATCGTGGATTTCAACTGTCAGAGTTGCCTCTGAATGCGGATGGCAAGAATTGCTTGGAATCATCGTAAGTCTCTGTCTTGGGAACCCAACAAAGAAAACTTTCGTCAGACAAACGTCCCTGATAAGCATTTAAAAGCGCAATAGCAAAAAAGTTGGGGGAAAAATACTCGTAGCGTAAAGAACAAAACAATTTCTTGGCAAATATTTATCACAAGATTAGCTCAACTGTGGAATGTGGGCGGCTGGTCGGGTCGGGGCACCCTGTACTCCAGCTACAGCTCCAGCTCCAGCTCCAGCCGTGTCTATTTATAGACACGCTCGCATACTGAGAGATGGCCGGACAATGACTATCATTATGTCATGTTGCATGTGGCAGCTTTCAAGTTCTTACTTCCACTGCTGCGGATGGTGCTGCTGGGCTGCCCTTGATCTTGAAATATGCGCGGGCAGCTGCAACTGCAACTGCAGCAGCAGCGTCGAGGCAACAAGTTTGCTTTTTTTTAGAGGGTAATCTAAGGAGTGATGGACTTAATAGATGGGGTACATATATAGCAAGTCTTAAATATCTTTTGGGCATTAAATACTCGTTAATAAATTGAGTGTGAAAGCTTGCCCCCTTGGCGGAAACATTTTGAATTTCCATTGATGGGAATACCCATTTATAATTTTCCTCAGATCTTTGTATCTTTATATATTTTCTCATGTGGTATCTCTCAGTCGATTCCTCGCTTTCACAGCCCTCGTCCAGCCCTGCTCGTATCTGGCGAATCCAACCGACTGCGAGCTGGCCGTCGCAGTTGACTGCAGATACATATTTGCACGCTCATTTGCATGCGCAGGGGCAAAATCCCAGTCCATGCCCAACGAGTCGAAAAAAAAAGTGAAAATGCAAATTGCACAGATGTTTTTCTATCATTTGATTTTCAGTTTTTCTAGCATGTTTTCTCCTCACGCACGGACAGCTTTCCGTGCTAACAAGAGCAAGATTTTTTCGGTTTTTTTTTTACATATTTTCTGCTTTTATTTTCGGCATGAATGTCATGCCAGCGAAAGGCTACATACAGATATACTTGCATGTATTACAAATGTCTATTTATGGCGCAAAGTGCAATTCGAAAATGTCACAGAGAGTGGCGCATATAATTATGATTCACCGGCAGCAGCAAGGGACTTATGTACGTCGTTCAATGTACAAGTTAATTAGTCACGTCGGATTATGGGGTATGGGGTATGGTATGCAAATAACGATTATATTTTGAAAACTTTGGTCTGCACTTGACCAGATATTGCTGCTTCCCTTCCCCAGTGTCTTGGCATGGCTCTCGGTCATGCTAATTGTCAAATCTGTCAAGCAGTTTTGGTCAATTGCAGAGTCAAAGGTACTGACGCCATTTATCAGCCATTGACGTCATCGGACGACATCTGCCATGGGATGGGGCGCCGCGTGTGCTTTCAGTTTCGGCCCAGCAGTTTTTTTTATTAATGTTTATTTTTGAGATGGAGATTTTGGCAACAGTTTGTTTTAGTTCAGCATGCGTGATGGCCAGAAACAGTGAGAGAATAGAATAAAGCAATTGATCAGGAAATGCCTGCTGCATGCACTTACTGACATGAGGACTGGCATTTTCCTGGGCTTGTCGGGATTTAATAACTTTCATAACCCGATGGCCGCGGCCAAATATGGCAGGCCAGCTAGCGTTTAATAAACAGAAACAGTTAGCGAAACTGTTGTGTAAATTGAGTTTCCTACCCTGCCATAAAACAGCGAACGCCGCTGCACCGAACTGAACGACCTCACAATTTTGGGCACGCCTCGACAATTATGGAAGCTGTCGACGTCGATCGCACATAATCAATGGCAAGTTCAGCCGACTTGGGCATGAGTGTCTGCAACTTGTTGGGGCATATCTCTCCATAGTTTTTCTCCGCGCCGTCCTACTATAAGGAGCAGACAGCATTTCTTTGATCGCTCCTCCTATGGGGGCAATTACCGATTTGTTTTTTGTTATTTTCTGTCAATTCTGTCACCAACCGCAGCGCGGGAGTTGCGTCATTTGCATTTGACTTTGATGCACGCGCTCCAATTTGCATCTGAGGCACTCTGTGCTCTGTGCTCTGTGGGTGAGTGTTGCAATCGTTTTCCCACACTCGGCCTTCGCATTTGCGGTTTAGCTCGGCCGAAGAGGGCAGGGCAGCGCAGGGGCAGAGGCAGCCGCAGAGTACATGCGAATATACCTCAACCCCATACATTTTGCCACACTTTGGCTGTGTCAACATTGTGGAACGGAACGGAACGGTCTGACAGTAGACGCAAAGACGTCACCTGTTCCTGTTCGCCTGACCCACTTGGAGGCGAATCATTCACGCACTCTCCTCGCACTATAAAAACTAATGAAGCTGACTGACAAGAGGCACAGCCAAGTGGCAAGTGGCAAGAGGCAAGAGCATACGAGTAGCATGCAACAGGCCTGACAACTTTTCAGAACCCGAACACGAACCAGAAACGAGCGCGAGTACACCAGATGCCTGCCCATCACTTTCTTTCAGCATAACAGGCTTTCAACATATGTATGTACATTGTACATATATACATGTATGTACGTGCATCCATCTATGTACATATCGTACATATCTCCTCACATGTTGGGCCCACCGGTACCGGCCTACGAGAACGTCGCCGAGTGTCTTCGATTTTCGCTTTTAATTAGAAAATTGTCAACGCTAAATGCATTTAAAATTAAGCAAATTATGTGGAGAGAAGTCGGCACTAAATGTTGAGCGAAATGTGCGTGAAAAATTAATAAAAAGATTATGGGGGAAAGCAGCGTAAACAGGAAAGAGAATAAAAGGGTACATATATACATACATACATATGTATGTATGTATATATGGGTAAAAATATAGGCCAGAACATTTTTGGGGTTTAATGAAATTCTAATTTACGACTTAATCTTTCGCAATTTAAATTTATATTAAATTTAAACTAAGCAACGAACTTATGCACAGGGGTCCGGTTCCGTGTTCGCTCTTCAAACATGAACAATTGTCTCTGCCATCGTAAAATGAATTAACTAAATCACATTTTCTGCCCATGGTCCAACGAAAGTAATCTAATTCAAAATTATTGTGATGAGAAAAAACAAATGCATGGCATTTCTGCGGGACAAGACGAGACGAGACGAGACAATGTTTTCTGCCATAATATAATGCCCCATCGAGTCTTCTCACTTTCAACCTTTCAAATTTGGCACTCCGTCGGGCGCCTCACCTTATATGGGGACGGTGGTGCCGGTGCTCCGTAACAACTTCAACTCACTTTCCCCCTCGATCGTAAAAAAATCAAAGCATCAGCCAGTCGATGGCTGGCTCATTGAACCATCGATGAGCGACTCATAAGTCAGGCAGCAGCAGCAGCAAAGAAATGAAAATAAAATACACACAAATGAGGGCTCAGCAGCGACCCAGAGAGCGGAGCAATAAATTAGAAAAAGATTTAACAAAAATTATGATAAATAGCCCAAGAGAATGGAGGGATAAATTAGCATAGCTCGAGGGGAAGTGAAAATGAATTTGCCAATCACTTTTTTGGCTGATCAAATTTAATCGTTGTGTTGTGAAGAATCTCATTATTATTGTTTTTGTTTTCAATATTTACTATTACTATTATTGTTAACATAATTGATGTAAGGGAAAAAAGAATTTTCCAGAGAATAATGTCTAATCTTCTCTTTGCAGCTATGGACAACGCGGTGGAGGAGGAGGAGGCGGCTCGGGAGGCGGGGGCTACGAGGCCCCAGCCTGCGTACAGAACGCGATGATGACAAAAGACAAGAAGCCGTTCACCTACACCCCGGGCGGCATAGATCTCTCCCAGATCCGGTCGGAGCGCATGGCCAAGCGCTTGGCACGCAACGCGCAGTCGGAAGGCGCCACTGGAGCCGCCCAACAGAACAGACCCGCCCAGCCACAGTCGCCAGGCGGCGCCACCAGCGCGGCCAACGCGATGGGTGCCGCTGCCATGGGGATGCCTTTCCAGGTGCTGCCGCCGCCGCCACCACCACAACCACAGACACAGGGTAAGAACGGCAATCAGTTTGGTGCCGCTGCAGCACCCCCACCACCGCCCCCCCAACAACCCAGCACACTAGCGCCACCCACTGGCCGACTCAGTGCACCAGGGTCGCCGGCCACGGCCCGCAAGTCTCCGACCCCGCAGCGCTTCGAGCCGCCACCATTGGGCTTCCGTCCGGAAATCAAGATTCCGACGAACCCAATGGCGGCTCTGCGAAAGGTCCCACCGCCGGTGGAGAAGAACACATTCTGGAAGGATGAGTACGTGAAAGACCGCTCCAAGAGTCCCCTGCCAGAGACCAGCAGCAACCAAAACGGAGACTACAATGGCGGCAGCAATTACAGCAACTCGGATGCCGTCGATGGTGAGCAGAGCTGCAGGACTCGCTGGCTTAATGATCATTGGGGTTTTTGGTTCCGATACTGACTACGAAATACTCTTCATGACACCTCGCCAGCAATTACTAACCGGTTACGGTTGCTTCTTCTAAACCACATTCAACTAACCCCAGACATGGAAAAGGCCCTACAAAAGCCTGGCTAAAAATCTCCCACTAACTGCACTAAACGATGTTATTCAAGCCACAACGATGTTCGTTTTGAATGCGATATCTAATTCAAATATTTCCTTTAAATTTAGGTCCAAAATCGTTTGACAACAGCAACAACAACAACAACAGCAACAGCTATAGCCCCATGCAACAACAACAACAGCAGCAGCAGAAATATCCTACGCCGCCTGAAACTCCGCTACAGCAGCAGCAGCAGCAACTGCAGGAGCAACAATCACCGCGTCAGGAGTTCCGGAGTGTGGCCATGCCTACATCGCCGTCTGTCAGCGTCTACACACGTCAGGCAGAGAGTCCTCGCTCTCCCTTTGAGCGTCAGACGGAGAGTCCACGTTCGCCCTTCGAGCAGCAACGTCCACCAGCAGCCAGCTCTCCCCTGGCCCAGGCACCACAACAGCAGCAGCAACAGCAGCAGCAACAGCAACAGGCAGCCCAATCCGTGCCCTGGCGTACACAGCGTGCTCAGCCTGCTCCACAGCAGCAGCAGCAGCAGTCTGCCCCACAGCACCCACAACCCATCTACAACAACGTTCAGCAGCAGCAGCAACAGCAGCAGCAACTGCAGCAGCAACAGCAACAAAGATCTCGCGATGTCTTCAGCCCAGGACGGATTGAGACATCAGCAGCAACCAATTTCAATGCACAGCCGCAGCAGCAACAGAACTTTGGCCAGCAACAAGCACAATATCCAGGAGCAACAAAGCCGGTGAGTAGTCAAATACTGGTATACATATATATATGTGATAGTGATTCGTGTTTGCCGTCTTGTGTTTTCCCAAGCCACTCAATTAATACGAGTCGCTCATTTCGGAATAATTTCCACTTCTATGTGACCTCTAACTTGGTTACTCATACGCCATGTTGTGCAACCCCTTGAACGCAAGTGCGTGAGTAATATTTAAAATCATTAAATCCTTGAATCAGCTTAAAGCTGTTAATACTTTAAATACATAACCTGTGATACATTTTATTGTGCATTGAGGTTTTGTTAGTTTTGCAGTCAGCCAAAAACATTTTTCGCACTGCAAATCATGTCAAATGCGTGGCGGAAGCACAGCGAGCTATTTTTAAACCAAAAACCAAAAGAAAACTGAAACTAAACATTGAACGCATTCGCCAAGTGCAGCGGTGAAAGAATTGAAGCTAAAATTAGAAAACCGCAAAGGACAAACACGAATTTTGAACTTGAGGCAAGGCAAAGACCCAATTTGTTGTCGAGTGGAATATCTAGAGATGGAGAATATACATATAGATCTCTTGAATGATTCTTTCTCTATAGACCAACGTTGGATCGCTGTATATTGCTCCTCTGGCCCAGCCCACAGAGCCCCAGGCACAGCGCATTCTGCTCCAGCAACAGCAGCAGACACCGTCCCGCGATTCGCCCATGCGCCAGTTGCCACAACAGCAGCAGCAGCAGCCGCAGTCGCAGTCGCTGCCCCAGCAACAGCAGCCGCAGGGTAACCAGCCGCTGCGTTGGCTCAGCTCTCAGCCAGCGAGCAAGGAACAGGCACCCTGGGCTCGTCCCGAGGAGAATGGCAATGTGCTGCCCTCCACCTTGAGGCAGACCACACCGGCACCCCAGCCCCAGCCCCAAGTTGCACAGCAGCAGGCGCCACAGTCGCAGACATCTTTCTACCAGCCACAGCTGGTGCAGGGCAATGGCTATGGGCCCACTCCAGGTGCAGTTTCGGCAGCAATCAGTCAGCAGAACTTTGGCTCGCATCCCCAGGGAGGGGGACTGCGTTTGCAGATCAACTTGAACACGAATGGCAGCAACAATAATGCCACTCAAAGCGCTCCAAGGGTAAGCTAGCATCCTCATCAAGGTAGGATCTCTGTTTGAGCTGTTTATCCTTTTCTAGGAGCGCATCATACCCATAACACTGGAGCAGACCCCAACTTATGCCGCTGCACAGCCCAACTTTGGTGGTAAGTCGCAACAACGCAAGAGCTTTCCATGTGTTCTGTATGATCTCTGTGGCGCTTTCCTGAAACCCGTTGATGTTTGTAACTAACACCAAAACCTGGTAGATTTTTCCCCACCCAACCCCAAACCAATCCGAACTGAAACAAACAACGAACCAACTCAACACTCCCATGCACTCTCCAATGACTCCTGTATACACCCTCCCTTACCCTCCTATGTTCCCTGCTCTTGTCCAAATGTGTAACTCTCCATCTTCTATATCAACATGTGTCTATGTATACTCTCTCTTTCCCACGAAAGCGCCTGGTGGGCACATAATACGCTCAGCTAATCAATTTGTCGATCAAGGTTACAACAATTATCCAGCCCAGTCCAGCCCCACGCAATGGCGTGAGCCCAGCTCCCAGCGTGTGCTGTCGCCCAACCTGCAGCCTCCAACGGGCAACGGGATCAGCAGCAACGGAAATGCCAATGCCAATACCAATGCCGCGCGGATCATACCCATTTCGATTGAGGGCGGGCGTGGAGGACCCGTCTCCCAGTCTCCAGTGTTGCTGCAAAAGTAAGTACAGTGCTGCGAACCGAATGCACTCGCCTCGGTTGGTTCTCTTTGTGCTTTACCAACACTAAACACTAAACAGTTAGCCTGCACTAATGCGTATTAATTTTGTGCTTCTTTACAAACTAAACCCAAACCAAACCAACCAACCAACCAACCAACGACTATTTAGTGGCAATTACAATGTGTATGTGCATCAGTGTCCGCTCGAGGCGGAGATACTCTACAGAAAGAATCGTCTCAGGTAGTACGAGAGAGCACAGTCGCCATCGCCATAACAATCGTTCAATTCCCATCATGCACAACTGTACCGCTAAGTGTTGTAAAACGTAAAGTGAAGCAGCAAAGAAAGCTGGCTTTCCACCGAAAGGAAAGCTTTCTTTCGGCTACAACTTTCCTACTGAACTGTGGACTGTGAACTGTGCCTTGCATAAATCATCTGCAAGTACAGTCTCGTACATCGCTGCTAAATTCCCAATAAAATCATGTCATCGTGCCAATCCAAATCAATCATATAATAACTAACCCGTAACGTTTCGTTCGCACAAAAACAAGAAACAAAAGAAGAAAAGAAACAAAATCGTTGTAATTTGGTTTATTTGAGACATTTTTCGATTGCATGCTAACCAACGACATAACCTAACATACGCCTATATCTACTTGCAGCGATCCGCGCTCACCGCCCATCCAATCGAAATCGTTTAGAATATTGCAAAAGATAACCGACACGGTGGACGATGGCAGCGGTGGAGACCCCCCGCGCCAAGAGTCCCCGCAGCAGCCAGTGTCCCTGGACGGGGCCGGGGTGCCGCAGCTGCAGAGGCCCCAATTCGCGCGACAGATGAGCGCCCAGCAGGCACGGAATAGTCCGACCATTGAGCAGATGCGGCGCCTGCAACTGGCCCAGGATCAGCAGCAGTCGGGTACGCCTTTAGCTTGGTCCCCGCAAGGTGAGATTTGAACGGTCCCTCCTCCTGTCCTCCTGTCCAAAACCAGTCTCAGATCCATACTCAGCCTCAGCCCACTCATACGCCCCTCTTTTCAGCCATGCGGGTGGGGATGGGGGTGTTGTCATGGTGAAAGTGCGTGTCTCTTGGGAGGGAAAGGGTTTCAGGTCTCTGGTTGGTCCTTAGTATACTAACAAAGCTTCCTGTGTGTGTCCCCACCATACGGTTATTAAAAATGGTGCCATTTAGTTCGATTATCAAAATTATTGCAGCAGCACTACTAAGTAGACTAATTTAACGAGCACTAAATCCTCTGGATAAGGTTTGCCAATTGGTTTGAAACTTGAATTTTTCTTGCAGGTAACGGAGTCTCCGCCCAGAATCGCTTTACGCCCCAACATTATGGTAGAAAAAGTATAGGAAAATCGTATACAAATTTGTACTAATCACATATAAATCCCATCAACAGATTCACCCCAACAACAGACACAGCAATATGTGCCGCCAAGTGAACAGCAGGTGCCGGAGCCGAAGAAGTACACCGGCAGCGCTATACCCAGTCGATCATTCAAGATCCTACAGGCAATGACAACACCCGAAAATGCCGGTAAGTGCTCGTAAAGATATAGTTCATAAAAAAAAAAAAACAAAGACTACTCGGAAAGCAGTTTATCGTTGTCTGAAAATGAGTTAAAAGTTTTGATACCGAAACATCATACTACACACCCGAGACAGATATCATCGCTGTATATACTATTTGCATATATTCCACAATATCACAATACCCACCACACCCACCCACACACACACACAAACGCATTCCACATGGATACAAACATATGTACCAAAAGACATTGCATCTAGAGTTTTAGTTTAAACCCTTTTTTTTTTAATTGAGAGATTTCACCTTTTGCTTTGAGTATTAATTCTTGCCCTGGTAGTTGAGCGATGCTCATACGATTGTGATGTGAAGTGATGTATGGAAGAACACGGTCAATCAGACTAGACTGATCAGCATGATGTGGTTTTGTTCTGTTGTTCTGTTCTGTTCAGTTCTGTACAGTTGTCAGTGCATCCCACTCCCATCGTATCGTAAGAAGAACAACAATAAAGCATCCCCCGTCAGTTATTGATTGCATCCCTCATTCGCCATATACAACCCAACCTGTACATACAATAAATAGCCTTGCTTGATCGTTTAATCAATGAATCAGTCAATCAATCGAATCAAATCAAATCAATCAGAACACACACATAATACCGCACTCTCACCGTGTCTATTTCTCTTCTTCTTCTTTTATATCTTATGATAACCGTGCCTCCAAAACAATAAATCCAAAACCAAAAAACCAAAAACCGACCTCAGAACATAAAATTCACACCGAGCTGGACTCGGATTTGGAAAATGTTGAATTGAACGAAATCCCAAATAATAATAATAATAATAACTATAATCAAAATACTGAAAATAATCATCATAATAAGCATAGCAATGAGATTAACAGTAAAACCAATAAACGTCACAGTTACACATCATCCACAGTCCCACCCACACCCACACCTAGTACACCCAGCACACCCATCACAGATCACACCCAAGCCACATACTCATCCAATTCATCCCTCAGTTCTGCCGACAGCTCGTGTCCCCCGCGCTCGCAGTCGGTGCCTCCACACTATCCATATGCCTATGGCTATCCGTATCCCTGGTACATGCCACCGCCCCCGGGAGAGGCAGCTCCCATGGCCAACTGGCCGTATCCCTATCACTATCCCGCACCACCACCACCGCCTCATGCGGTGGAGGGAAAGCCAGCCGATGGGTATCCGCCCTACCCTTACTACTATCCGTACCCGTATCCGCCCACAATGCCGCCATACGGACAGCATCCGAATGGCTGCGATGCTCAGCCTCCGTCCGGGTATCCCCCGTTCCATGCCATGCCCCCCTACGGGCCGTACCCGTATCCAGTGGCTCCCAGCTACAGTCAGAGCTCCAACGAGGAGAGTCGCGCCAGCAGCGTGCTGCCGGACATCATTATCACGCCCAGCACCGATGACATGCCCTCGCAGGTGATCATGCAGCATCACGTCAAGGTGGAGCCACGCGAGTCGCCCAAGCGGGCCCACTCCGTGGAGATCGAGGAGCTGGTGAGCAGACCCAAGACCCGGAACATCTGCAGCAGCAAGCACGAGGTCATCGATATGCTCAGCCAGCGACTGGCCAACATTAACAAGATTGCCGGCGGCAACACCCAGGCGAATCTCTCCAAGCAGCTCCAGAAGGACTATGCGGGCGAGCAGTCCAAGGAACTGGTCGCTAGATCTCCCAGCGAGAATGCCTCGATAGACGACAGCGATTCAGAAGAGGAGACCAGCGATAGCGAAGACTCTGAAGACACTCCAAAGCACGCAAGTCGCCCAGCGCCCTTGCAGGCAATCAAGTCAGTGACCAATGTGCAGGTCTACAAAGGCAAGGCATTGGATCAGCATTTGGACTCGGAGAGCAGCGATGATGAAGGTGACGAAGGTGATGAGGATGTGACCACTGCGGATGAGGAAATGGACGAAGATTATATTGTCGAAGAAGACCTGAGCGTCATATACGAGGAGGAAAGCGAGCTGGAACGCAGCAGCGAATATGCCAAGACTGTCATCCGAAGGGATGACTCCAGATCCACCCTTGTGGACGACATCGAGAAGCAAATTGAGGACAACGATCAGTCTGATAACGATGATGATGATGGGTCCAACTCGGTGACCGTTCGCCTGCCGCTGCGTTTCTCCTTCAGCCGCAGCTCCAATGATGAGAACATCGCCACCGTCCAGGTCGGCAACACCACCCAAATCGAGGAGAGGCGCCAGAGCATTGCCAGCAGTGCGGAGAGCAAGCGCAGCTCCTTCAGTGTGGCCATGGTAGAGAGCGCAGACGAGGACGGGGAGGACGACTGTGAGGTGAGTGTGACCATAAGTCTGTCCAACTCGTCGCGTTCCAACTCGGTGGAGAAGTACAGAGCCAGCGGGGCATATCCCATTGAAGAGATTGCCGCACCTCTCAGGGCCAGCAGGGACGATGTATCCGCCTCCTTTTCCCTGGGAATGCGTAACAAGTTCTTGGGCGAGACCATAGCCAACGATGTGACCAACAATATATCTCCGGCCAAACCAGAGACGGACACCAAAGCCAAAACTGTCGAAGAGACTGTCACCGCACCTGCAGCTGCACCTACGGAGGAGTTTGACTTCTTTGCCACTTTGATGGCCACCAAAATGCAGGCACAGAAAATGATGGAACAGTCCAAGAACTTCTGGAAAACCACCTCAGAACCAGCACCACTAGAGCCAGGGGTGGAGGCTATCGAGACACCCAATCTAAGGGCCAAGGAGAACTGTTCCGAAGCCAAGCCACCGAGGCCAAAGTCGGCTGATATGTCGAAGACCCAGGCATCCTTGGAGGCAGCAAAGAACAGCTTCTGGTCCACTTTCGCGACAGCATCCCAAGAGCAGGAACACACAGCCCCGCCAGAGGAGAAACAAGAGAGATTGGAGTTCTACGGGAGCATAGAGAACAAAGAGACGGCTGAGCTGGAGGACAAGCAGTGGACAAAAAAGAAGAAAACTGTTACCTACACGCCCCTAAAGAAGGAGACGGCGACCAGAGTGGAGCACTGGACCACAACTCTCAGGGCTCACGTGGTATCCATGCCATTGCCCCAGAAAGCTGAGGTTCATTTTGTGGTGGAAGAAAAGCCCAAAGAGATCGAGAAACCAAAGGAGAAAGAACCGAACGAGGACTTCTGGGCATCTGTACAGGCAGACCAACCACGGACCGCCTGCCAAGAAGACTTGCAGATGGAAGATACATTTGAGTCTCAGATGGATATCTGGAATGGCCAAGAGGCAGAGCAACAGGATGGGGAGGACGCAGATTTCTGGGCCGACAACAAGTCCACAACGAGCAGCAGCGAGGAGGAGAAGCCTTCGGGTGGCTTTGCTTTCGATCCAACGAAATATCCGGAGGAGCCTCGGGAAGTTGACACTGATGAGGAAATTGATTTCTGGGCCGAGATCGAAGCAAAGAGGCAGCCAGACGATGACGATGATGTCACCTTCCACAAGTCTGCCACCTTCTGGGCCCGGAAAGAACGCCAGAATTCCGTGGAGGAAACCCCTTACAAGCCCGTGGAAATCAAAGCCTTCAGAGCCAAGCTGCCCGACGAGCCTGCTGTGGCAATCGATGTGTGGGCCACACTGGAGGCAGCTCGTGGCGCAGAGCCGGAGATTGTCGATCCCATTGTGGAGCAGGAAAAGGAGCTCGCAGAGCAATACGAGGAGTTGCCGCATGACACTCCCGTGGAGAAGGAAACACCGGAACTGCCCGAGGAAGTGGTGCCCGAGAGCAATCTCCATATGGTGGATACCATGTCGCTGGCATCCATGCACGAGCCGGCCACAGTCTATACCTGGGCTGCCCAGCCGCAGGAATGCTCTGAGGATGTGGGGCAGACCGACTTCTGGGCCGACATCGAAGAGGATCGCGCCAAGAAGGAGCAGGTCGAGGAAGCCGATCAAAAGCGTCAGAACTATCGCAAGGCCATGGCCTTCTTCAACACCTCCATCGATGGCCAGCAGTCGCCACCGCAGCCCAGCACCAGTCCCACGCACACACCCACGCCCAATCGGCACAGCGTTATCCTGGAGGAAGCGGAGCCCCAAGAAGTGGACCTGGGTCCCCCGGGTGAGTACGAGATTGTAGGCGAGGATGGGGCAATTATGGAGGAGCACAAGCCCCAGATCGCTGAGGCAGAGGCAGAGGAAGAGGAGCGGGGTGCTCCCACTCCGACCAACTTTGAGCCGCACCTTCCGGAGGTGTATGTGGAACCCGAGCCAGAGATGAAGCGCCTGGCCAATGGACTACCCGACCTGGAGGTGGAGAAGTTCTGTGAGGCGCCCAAGATCTCGGTACGCGACCGCATCAGCGTCTTTGAGGTGAGTCCCGAGCAGGACGCGCCCAGCTCGAAGGCACTGTCGCTGTCCGTGGACAGTGGCCATGGCAAGGGGACGCTGTCGCGCAACAGCAGCACGCAGCGTTCCGAGTCAGAGATAGAGGAAGATGATTCGGGCGTGACGGACATGAATCGACAGCTGTCAGAGACGGACACCGAGTCCGAGAGCTTCCCGGAGCTGCGCAAGATGACCAGCTACCAGCGTGCCGCCACACATTCCAGACTCTTCAAGTTGCTGCAGGACGAGAACGACCTGCCCGAGGCAGCGACCCAGGCTGACGAGTTCCAGCTGAAGCCCAGCCGACGCAGGATCGTCCACAATGTGTCCATCACCCGCCGCCAGAATCCCAACGCGCTGGGCGAGGCCGAGAGCATGTCGCAGCGACGGGAACGCCTCTCACTGCCACTGCGCAAGAACACCAGCATTGATGCGGACAATCCATCGACGCCCAACAGCCCGGCCTCACCCATCATGGGGCCCTCGGCCAAAAATCAGCGCGTGGTCAGTGACAAGCTGGTCAACGAACTGGTCCAGAGTCTGCTCCTCAAGAGCGACAGCACGCATCTGCGCAATCTTCCCATGGAGCGGCTGCAGGCAGCCGCCAAGCGAGCTCTGGTCGAGGAAATGGACTCCGCCCAGGAGAACAGCTCTCTGGACAGCACACCCGCACCCACGCCCAAGCAGGACAAGGACTACGCCGACTACTACAACAGCTGGTGCGATGCCAGCGGCAGTGGCGAGGAGGTTGTGCCCTCGAAAGCCTTCCGCGCACTCCAAGATGCGCGTCGCAGCCCCTGGACTGTGCGCTGTCCGCGAGTGCTCAGCTCGAAGACCATCAACAGGGATCTGGCCAGGGTCACGGAATCGCCAGAGATCGCCAACGGTCGCGGCAGCAAGAGTCCGGAGTGCTTCCGACAGCAGTCCCAGTCCCAGTCCCAGTCCAGGGAACGGTCGGTCAGCAGTTGGCGCAGGGTCTAGAGCTGGCTGTGGTGATCGCAAGGCAAGAGATGGCCTGTTGTATATATAAGGGCGGGATCTATAGTCTTTAGCAGGGATGTGAGACCGGTTCAAAGGGGAGACAAGTTCTTCCCAAACGAACCTTGACCAAATCGAACGAAGTAAAACGATTCCGAACAGAAAAGCTTAAATGGGCTCTAGCGGAAGCGCTGCATCATTTTGAACCGATTTTCATTCCTGATCCATTGGTAAAGTAAGCGCCTGAGGCGATCTGCCCCACCCAAAACGGGTGCTAGATAGGCTCGGGTCGGGGCCAGTTATTGCATTTCTCATCCCAACCCCATCACACAATCGCACACACACGCACATTGTACATTTTGAATATTAATAAACTAAATATCTAATAGATACCATAATGTAAATAAACCAATTGAGACCAATGACAAAGAAAGAAAGTCGTTCATTCGTTCGTTCGTTTGTTACCTCAGTAAAGCGCAAGATCTAAATCATTTCTAAATCGAACCAAAATAATACCAAGCATATAAAACCTCAAAAACCGCAACAACCAAAAAAACCAAAACAAACCAAAAACCAATCGAAACCAAAAACAAAACAAAAATATCTATCAAATCGCCACAATAAACAGCAAAATAAAAACCAATTTCATCTCAACTCAATGATTTTGTAAAACTCGTTCAAAATCCTAAGGTACCTAAAAATTGCAATTTTTATAAGAATTCCCCCCAAAAAACAGTTTGAACTAATTTTCTATTCTATGTAATATATTAATTTTATTTTCGCCGCTATTTGATTTTTATTCTGTTCTGTGTGCCGTATTATTCCTTTTATAATTTGTTTATAAAAATATTTGCGATAGTTGAATTGAAATGAATTTGAAACAGGTTTGTATCCTCTGCCCCAATCAAATGTTCAACCATTAACAAACTTAAAGTAAATCGTAGCAATCACAGATACTACCTGCACACATTAACAATTTACAAGGTGTATTAACATCTTGGCTCTGATTATAGTACTTATTACTCTGATGAAATTGTTGTATCGCAAATATTTTTATTAAAATGTTGTAGTTCCTATACCATTCCCAAATGCTTTCCTTTCCCTAGTTAAAACTTGAAACTGGAGAGCAAACTCCACCTTGTAATGAACAACGAATGATGATTACTTTTTGTTGTTGTGACCAATAAATAAATACAATCCGAATAAAAGAGTGAAACCATAAAAAAGAACAATTGTACAATATAAACTTTTCGAAGAGTCGTTCGTTACATTAACCATTCATGAGTTACAAATGCATAATTCAATGTTTCTTTTCTTATACTCGATTAACTTGTTCTACACACCGTAAGAAATATATATAAATATTTTAACAAAATTAATCGTTAACTTTAATGATAATTAAAATGACAATGAAACCAACAACAAACAAAAAAAAAACCAAACAAAAGAAATAAATTACAAACGAAAAGGTGAAGTTTTCTCTCAAAATTAATTTGGCTGCCTGGCACATGCACTTCCTCAGTTGCTGCTTTTATTAAGTTTTTATTTTGTATTTGATTTTTTAGTTCTAGTGTTCATTCTCTTTTCTGTATATATGTATGCAAGTCCGGTCCCGGTGCTTGTTGTCTTGGTTCCAGGACCCGAGACTTGTATATTTCCACAAATTAGTGTTAGCTTTATCTGTTTGCTGCCCCCTAGAGATATGGGCAATCGTATAATCTGTTCCATTTGATCTTTTTCAGGACCTGGACAATCGGATCTATAATTATTTCTCAAAGCCATAGAAATCAATTATAGCAACAACAAAGCAGCATCGAGATAGCAAAACAATCAAAATGCTTGCTATACGATTAGATATCTAGGTTAAGTCCAGCCGCACCTAGGATCGCAAGGGAACGGCAGCAGTTTTTAGTCAAATTTTCTTAAAACTAACCCACACCATTGTAGATGAAGAGGAACAATTTTTTTTGTATTTTGTTTGTTAAACGCGATTTGGTAGCAGCACTAAAACCAAACAAAAACAATTCTAACACAATTACGAAACAACTAGCGAAAGCGAACCTTACGAATACTAATCCTAATCGTTAAGCTCTGGAAGGCAGGTGCAATGAGGTAACAACGAAACGAATCAGAACTACACTGAATACAACATACATACATATACATACATATTAAAAAGGCAAGAATCGACTAAGCATGCATAAATATGATATGAATCCGGATAATACGAAACACGACTAATAAAATACTGTAAGGTATAATTTTTGTTATTTGAGAGATATGGCAATTTCGAAAACAATTTCACATTTGACGAGATCCTTTTTGTTTGTGTCATTCATTATTTATTCATTTACTATATTCGTATGCATACGAATCAATTATTATTTGATATCCATTTAATATACGATATATTTTGTGTTGTATGATTTTTTATGCAGTGAACATTTTTTAGTAAATAAAGAGAGATAAAACCAACTGGGTTTATATTTGATTGAAAAAGTACCCCAATCCCAAAAAAAAAACCGCTGGCTAATGGTACAACTGTCTTTTATTATCAGAAACTTTGTAGGGGAAAGAGTTTGGTAGGGTTCTTATATTTACGGATTTACAGATTTATAGTGTGTGTAGATTGGAGTGAAACAGTAAGAGCTCAGAGCAAGTTCGTTGAGGTACAGAGAAGCCGAGTGTAGCAAAAACCGTTGTATACTTTTATATTTATCTTAAATTTAACTCAATGGAAATTCGATATATGTATATAATATATATTATCTGTATATGTATAGTTTTATATTTACTATCTATCTTTTGCAAGCTAAACTCTTGGCAAATACAATATATGATCCATAGTGTGGACAACGTTGATCGTGTAACGCCAACAAAACGCATTCAAATTTCAACTACAAGCGCTACAGTCAATAAACATTTAAAGCTAGATATCAATACAATATATTGCCACATATGTAGTTATAGTAGTTTGCTAAATTAAATGCATGGTTATACATACATACATACTCATAATATTCTGTAAATACTTTTTCAACACTACGTTTCTTTTGATAGTTAACTTTGAGATACTTTGGATTTGTACAATTCATCCCGCTGGAGATCACGTTTTAAAACAATAACAAATTAGCAATCAACTATTTTAAATATTAGATTGCTTAGTTTAACACAGTAAACAGAGCCTAAAGAAATAATCTGAATAACATATGGGTGTATACATATATGTATATATCTTCAGTTATTGTTTATAGTATTGCTTGGATAGGTAACTGTTTTCGAATCGAACCCTTTAACACGTGGTTTGACTTGCCCCCTGCAGATCCATGAGCTCCTGCACAATCCGGTACTCATGACAATCCGGACAGAGCAGGCGACCATTTGAACGATTTGAGCGTTGCACCTTCTCATGGCACACAATGTGCACTAGCTTTAGGTTCTTCAGGGAGAATATTTCTAGAAAGTACTCCAGCACAGAGATGTCTACCACGCGCTTGTTGTGGAACGAACATTTGAGCTGCGGCTTGGTGACTAGCTCCTCCACATTGGCCACCAGGGCGGGCAGAATCGTGCGAGTGAGTTCAATTTGATGATCCAGATTCCAGACCTGAAACAAAATGAGATTTTCGCGCGAGGCATACGGATTGATGGTATGCTGCAGGGAGCAGCAGTTGCCATTATCCGAATAGGCGCCCTGGCAATAGAAGTCCCCCAGATCGGAGCACAACGAAACGGACCAATCGTCGAGAATGGAATGCTGCTTGGTGTACTCCTTGATTAGTTGCCTTAGTCTCTTACTTGGAAGGCTTCCGGCGTCGGGCTCCTCCTCGCCCGTCTGCCCCAGCTGCTGAAGAAAGGCGTGCTTTTGTCCACACTTTCTGTTGAACATCATTGAGAAATAGTCGCATCCGATGAGGAGGTAGCGGAATTGCTCCAGCACCGAGTTGATGACTTGCCGCGCCTTGGGATTTTGCCTGTACAACGGATTGCGTGTCAGCTCCTCCTTGGCCTTATAGTAGTAGCCGCGCACACGCGTCTGGGCACGCACGGCCATGGCCTCTTCCTTGGAGTGAAAGCGCTCCTCGCCGCCCTCGAACCATTCCACGTGCTCGTCCTTCAAGCTGAGATGAGCCTTGCTGTTGTCCAGGACCAGTCGCTGCTTCTGGTGCTCATAGTCCGAGATCATGCGTCGAAACTTCTCCGGGTGCTGTTCGATGAAGTCATAGAAGATGTCCGCCACCTTCAGCAGGGGCGATTGCTGGCGCATTTTCTCAAATTCAAAGTCGGCATCTGTCGGGTATAATAATATTCGTAAATTAAATTGCTCTGCTAGACAAGTGCACTGGCTCTCACCTGTTGTTATGACTGCATCGGGACCAGCCACAATGAACAACGTCTGGGCGGGCAGGCTATTCAAATAATCATCATCGGACACCTCAAAGCCATCGGAGGCCAGATAGATGTGCAAGTCCTGCAGCTTAACATTTGAATGAAACTAAATTGTATAAATTGCCCTTGACATGGCGTTACAACAGGCCAGAGCGAGGCCAAAGCCGAAATGTCTCGGCCAATTTGGAGGGAAGTTCACTGGCCTTCAGAGAATTGTTTTTTGGCTAGGACAAGGACGCGACAAGCGACAGCAAAGGCAACAGGTTGTCTACAAGGTTTCCTCTACTCCAACAATTTGCCAGACATGCGCACTGCGGGTACCATTGAATTGACAGAGAGACAAACGGAATGCGGAAGCCACTGCCAGGGACATTGGCCTTGAATGTGCCAGGGCCAAGAACATTTTGCCCCTGCGTGGGTGCATGGGTACGTGGGTGGGTGGAACGCAAACATTTTCACTGGAGTTTTCCCTTTCTTAGTTATAGCAACACTCACCGGAAACTTGTTTTTGGCTTTGGTTAGCAGCATTTCCAATGAATTGGCTCCAATCCCGTATTTTCTCGTTCGCTCGTTATCAGTTATCTTGTAGCCCCGCATTGGAGCAGTTGAGATTTCCTTGGTTGTGACAGTTTGTTTGCTGCTGCTGCTGCTACTGCGTGTTGACGGAGCCATAATTGTATCTCTAATGTAATTTAGCATCGTGCAAACTCATGGAGCTGAACACCTTGCAGCCAGGCTTCCTTTTAAGCGGACTTTTTGTTTGTTTTGTTTTTGTTTTGTTTGTCGAGGGCTATATCGATGGTATCGATATACTCTACTATCGATGGATTTGAAACTATCATGACAGTATCGATTGTTTTTTCAAAACATTCAACGTTTATATTTCTCGATTTTGATATTCCGTTTAATATTACTAGCTAGCTGGGACTCTCAGCCCTAAAAAAATAATTTTATCCGATACATACATAAGTTTTTGTACAAGATTGGCAAGTTTTCAGAAGTCCTTTTCATTGGATTATTTACATATTAAGGTTCAAACAAAAACAACATAAAACGAATTTGACGTCGTTTTTGTGGCGTTGCCAGACTCGTGCAATTCGTAGTTGAAGGCCACACCATGATATTTTGCTACCCGTTTCATTACCGATTCGCTTTGAACCGATCTGGCAGCCCTAAAACAAAAGTAGGCAAACAAGAAGAAGAAGATAAATTTTCCGCAAATAGGAAGAAGAAGAAGATCAATTTTCCGCAAATAGGAAGAAGAAGAAAATATATTTTCCGCAAAAAGGAAGAAGAAGAAAAAACAAACAGAAACAAATTAGTTGTCAAATATCGATAGCTGATTTGCTAGCTGTGGCAAGCTAGCTGCTCTGACTCACAATGCTATTTTACTATGCCGGACGTTTACCAACACTACACCAGAAAACCGCGGTGTATTATATTATTTTCTGGATAATTTGACGTCGAAATGGCGTTCAAGGTATATCTACGGTCTATCGGTATATAAGGTATAATTAATTATAGGTCTAAGAACCATTAACAAACAGTATTATTAACCAGTTTAAATAGAGGGGCTTTAGTGGGCTAAGTTCTAAGGGTCTGTCACACTGCAGAAAACAGCTGTTATTTTTTTTTGTTAAAATTCATTGCGAAAAACTACAACAATAGTTAATTTGGTGGACAATGCACTGGGTAGCCGCAAGATCGTAACGTAACCGGCATCCAACCCCTCTATCCACTGTTGCGATGAATCTGCGGCCGCGCTGCCGAAAATGGTTGCCGCTGGCAACGCAGCAGCTCCGTCTCCGCAACCTGACGCGTATACAGGGATTCAATATTGTGTGTCGGCAATGGAGTGTGGCGACGGAGACGGTAGTGGAAACCGAGGCGGAGGCAGAGGATGTGCTGCTCTACTATACGCTGCACTCAGATAAGGCTAGTGAGGCGCTCTACACGAGCGAAAAGCTGCCGCAGCGCCATCAGCAGCAAAAGTGGGCGGAGATCGGGGCAGACGGCGATGCCTGGCGAAAATCTAACGCGCAGTGTGTGTGCGTCAAGGTGTGGAAGCACTGGCCGGCAGCCAAGCGAGCTGCTGGCCAAACAAGAGAGACTGACGCCAGGACGAAGGACATGTGCGGGTAAGAGAGATTTTGGTTTAAGGTTCTTTGTAACGTTCCGTAACGCTTTTGTCTTTTTCAGGGAGCCTGGGAGACGCCCCGAACTGCTGTTCAGCTGGGGCGTGTACTTCTCCGGCCTGATACCCTTGGCTCCTCTGACGATTGGCCAGTGCGGCCAGAACTGTTTGATTTTCCAAATGAATGGCGAGCAGTTTGTGTCCCCGTCGATGATCAGCGAGCAGGGCCTGCATGCGCAGCTGCATCTGCACTATCAGAACTACGGAGAGGAGGAGAAGGAGGAGCAGCCCAAGGACCAGCTCGGCATCAACTCGCCCAATACCAGTCGCAGCGCGAGCCCCGTCCTGAAGATGAGCACGATGCGGTACGCTCAACTGAAGTGCCATCAGCAGGAGATTCGCCGCAGCTACAACCTGGACAAGCTGCTTCTGCTGCAGCGACTGCAGCGGCTCCAGCAGCAGAAGCTGCGCCACATGTCTGAGATCGGCAAGGAGATTGCTCGCCTGAGCGTTCACTGCGTGACCAGGAACGAACTGCGGCTAAAGCCTCGCACCACATCCCTGTCCGGAGACCACTCCCACCACATCCACCATTCCATGGGGCGTACTCTCAGCGTTCTGCTGGCCGAGCAGCAGCAGATTGCCCCCTTGGCCCTGTACAATGCCCAACAGCTGACCAAGCAGATTGAGGGGCTGCGCTGCAAGCAACGGCTGCTCCAAGCGGAGCGGGAAACCTTCCAGCAGCGCAACAAGAAGGCCAAGCAACGTTTGGAGGCACTCGGCGAGACAAGGGAGGCCCTGCAGCAGCAGTTGCACAGGCAGCGGCATCAACTCGAACAAGAGCGCCTGGAGCTGCGAACGGTGCAGCCCCAGCATCTGGCCCAGCGTGATCAGCGACGCCAGATTATGCGACAGATGGACAGACGCATGTCGACCTTGGTGCTAGAACTGCAGGAGATCTACAATATACAGAGCGTGGGCGGGGGTCAGCAGCTCAGCATTTGCGGCATTGCCTTCCCCCACATGGAGCAGTACACAAGTGATTCGCGGCAGGCGGCCAATGCCCAGGTCCTCGAGAATGTCTCACCGCTGGCGGTGAGTGCGGCCCTCGGCTATGTGGCACATCTAGTGCAGATGCTGGCCATTATCATGGACCGGCCCCTGCGGAACCGCATTCTCTACGAGCCCTCCAAAACGAGGATTGTGGACGAGATCAAAGAACTCACCTACACCACAAGAGAGTAAGTGGAGGCATACTTTACAATCATTCTCATCTAAAAATTGTCCCCCTCGTTTGATCAGGTTCCCCTTGTATACGCGCTCCATTCTGCCGTCGCAACAGACCAAATATGCCATCTACCTGCTGCGTCAGAACGTCTCTCAGCTGTGCTTTGATATTATCGGCCACTGTGATCTGCGCAACACCTTTGGAAATCTTTTGGAGCTGTTCAGCACCTTGCGATACATCGAACGCACCCAAAGGGGTGACGAGACGGACAGTGGCAGGACGCGGCTGGTAAATGGTCTGACCACGCCAGCGAACTCGCACTTGTCCCAGTCCCATTCATCGGTGGATATGAATCATGTGGCGCTGCCCACCACCGCAAATGCGGCCAAAGATGCCCTGCTCCAGCAGCTGCTGCCACCGGGCGTGAGTCAGGCTCTGGCCATCGAGGGTTATGCGTCAACGCAGCGGTATGACGAATGGAGTTATATTTACTCTATGCTGGGTCAACTAATAATGATATCTTTATAGCATTTGTCGTTCCGTGGGCTCCTACTCGGATGGCGAGGATGAGTTTCGACCCAGATTGGAACACAACTATTCTAATTCGGACTCAAACATACCGCTACAAACGGAGCGCAGCTGAATACCAATATATCTGATGTATCGAGCGTCTATACTCGTATTTATTCCGTATGTACCCTTTACCCGTTACCTAGCCTAGCGATTAAAGCCCCCTCCCCCAGAAAAAACAAAGCAATCTGCACAGCTGTGTCCCAGAGTGCTGATTCCCAGTTGCGGAATGTATTAGGTTGAAACACATTTGTTCGTCTTTAAATTATTTGATCGGATGTGTGATTGCTTTGAGACAGCGTCTACTGTGTGCATATTATTTTTAGTGGTTTAAGATCTCTATGTAAATGGCCGTTTATTGTTTATTTGCTAAACTAAGCTATAAATAAACATTAAACATTTTATACAAACTTGCTGATGCTTTAATCTCAATTCTTCGTAGATATAATTTGAATTTACCGCCAATCAGTGCTGTGTAATTTTAGCAGGTTTCATTTATAGCACTATTGCATTTTACCTTTTTTGTTTGAACGCCATTATGTAAACATTCCCATAAAAGGGAGTTCTAAAGTCTAGCCAATTTTTTAGAGAATTGATTCATGAATTGGACAAACTTATATGTTGAGTGCTGAAAGGGCTAACTAGCTAATAATATTTAACTGAATATCAAAATTGACGAATTTCATATCACAAAATATCACGGTATGACATCCCGCAGCAACTACGAATTACACGAGTCTGGCAACGCCACAAAACGACGACAAATTCGTTTTATGCTGTTTTTGTTTGAACCTTAATATGTAAATAATCCAATAAAAAGGACTTCTGAAAACTTGCCAATCTGTTAAAAAATTTATGTATCTATCGGATAAAATTATTTGTTTAGAGCTGAGAGAGCCAACTATCTAGTAATAGTAAACTGAATATTAGGAATATCAACGCATCTTTTCGTGTCCTTCAGAATACTTACGGTAGATTATTTAATCAAGTTCCAATTTATTTGTTTATATATTAAGATACGCTTCAAAATGACCGCCAGACTCCACTTATCGCATAAAAATATCGATATTATTCACTCTCAATTCGTGGAGAGTTTTCAAAATTTGCTCTCAATTCGTGGAGAGTTTTCAAAATTTGCTCTCAATTCGTGGAGAGTTTGCAAAATTCGCTCTCAATTCGTGGAGAATAGAGTGTTTTTGTGGAGACTTTCCCCTCATTTTCGTGGTGTGGCAGCATGTTGCTGAAATTTTTCCCATACAAAATCAAATGTATCTTACGGGAACGCGTATGGAATAAAGATTCATTGTTGCGTCATTCCATACGCGTTCCCGTATGATACATTTGATTTGTATGGGAAAAATATCAGCAACATGGGGAAATGAAGTAGCAGCATTGCTGTGCAACTTTGGCACGGAATGAGCAACAGTCTGCATACCCTGGGAAAATGGATATTGTGGACTTGAGATATTGTTTGTAATTTCAGGCTCCAATTAATGCAGAAACTACTCAGTCTCTGTTTTAAAGATATTAACGAAATTTTTTAGCTCACGGGTTCCAATAATAGGTATCAGAACAGGGATAAAAGTATATATAAAACACAAACATATGCATTAATAGGTAAAAAACATGGCAATCTAGGATAAAATCATAAATAATGTTTCAATGGAGCTTGGAACAAAACATTTAACACCAAGTAAAAGAAATAAGGTATACAAAAGCCCATACGCATAAAAGATACTTGGTTGACCAGCAACACTGACGTCAACATTTACGTGTTATGCTTTGGCCGCTTTTGTTTGAACCTTATTATGGAAACAATCCAATGAAAACGAGTTCTGAAAACTAGCCAAACCTGAACAAAATTCATTGAGGAATTGGATAAAATTCCTCTTTCAGGGCTGAGAGGGCCAACTAGCTAGTAAAGCCCCCCGCCCCCCCCCCCACCGGAATGTTTAGGGCTGAGCCAGCTAGCTGGTAATATTAAACGGAATATCAATATCGAGGAATATCAACGTCGAATGTTTTGAAAAAACAATCGATGCTATCGTGATAGTATCGGGTTGAAATAATTTTTAAAAAACCATTGAAACCTTTTAGGAACTTGTCCATTGTAAAAATTAGATGCCACCTGTCGATTTTTTTTACAAATTTGTCTTCGTATTTTATAGCAGCCAATCCAAACATATCAAAAGCGCAACGACTGTAGCTCGATACTATCATGATAGTCTCAAAACCGTCGATAGTAGAGGCCATCAGTAAAATATCGATACTATCGATAGTGCCCTCGATGGTTTGACACCTCTAGAAACGTGTCAAAAAAACAAAAATTCGCAAAAATGTGCAATAGAGAAAGACTAACCAGTTGACGAAATGTGAAAATCGGAAGTAAAGTTGCTATTGCTGTGTGCACGTGTGAGCAATGGTCTTTGGATTTTAGAAGCTATTTGTATTAACAAAAAGCATATAGTCCGGCTCGATTGCTCGGTTTATACTAGTGCGTTTATGGTGACGAATGGTAGCCGGCATCCGTTTCTGATGATAAGAGGTGTAAACTGTATTTGACTCGGGCCACGCCGCCACGAAATAAAAGTGTTGATAGTGTTGTTGATAGACGTGATTTACGGTTATACGACAAACACGCACCCACATGTTTACCGTTCAAGCAAATCGAGAGATAAGGACAAGGAGGCTGCTAAGGAGCAGAGCAGGCGACTACCAGCACGTGAATAGAGTCGTGAGGGAAGGGGTCTCTCCAATGGAAACGTGGCAAAGAATCATTTGAAATCAAGAGAGTGAGACATCGAAATGTATACAAAATAATATGTATGCAAATGCCATGACATGGTTTAAATTAGATTAAAGGCAAAAAATATAAAAATTCACCGAATTGAGGCAGGCGCGCAGCACAGCAACAAATAAACACCTGTGTAAACTCTCTTTCGCTCTCCTAAAATGGCCGATAGCAGTGTGCCGCTACGAGACTTTGACGAAGAGAGCGAAACCGACTCTGAGACAGAATTGCTCATACGCAGAGACGTACGGACCGCGAGTGTCGCTGCCGTCAGCAGCAGCAGCAAGAGCAACAGCAACAACAACAGCAGGGGCAGACACCGCAAAAGCTCAACTGGTTATAGCGGTGTCGCTGACGTTGGCGTCAACAGCAGCAGCAGCGGCGGCGGCAGCTTTCTGGGGAATCTCTTTGGGCACAGTCTTGGCTCTGCCGCCGGACAAATACGTTATAGAAATGAACGGAGTCGCGAGCGCGCGAAATACTCGAACAGCAGCAGCAGCGTTTCGAAACTGGCGCAATTAACGCACACAATTAACGCGGGTGGCAGCGGCGCGGGTGGACACGGGATTGGTGCGGCAGTTTCAGGCTCCGCTGCTTCCGGCCCCAGCGGGGGTGCGGCCACAGGTGTGGGCGACAGCGCGGCAGTTGCAAGTGATCTTGACAACGGGACACACAGCACCGTCATCGATCCGGAGAATGGCTCGGCCACCGTCTTCTACCAGAACAACCGCCGGAGGAGCAAGGGCCGTAGCCTCGGGAACATCTGCAAGCTGTGCCTCTGCAGGTGAGTGAATTTTTCAGTGGCAACGCTGCGTATGCGCAATAAATACAGCGAGTGTGGCGACAAAAAAAAATAACAAAAAAACAGATTTTTTCGAAAGAAATGTGGTATTGGATATATGTACATGTGGAGGTGCCCCCAGATGTGCTCTTATAAGCGGAAAACCTCAGTTACAATCTGTCAATACAGTGAAGTGGATACCAAATGTTCCACGAAGTAAATTCTGTGTTCCCAGCCAGGAGCAGCAGAATCTTCGACCGTTGACCTTGCTTCTTGACTTATTTCAATCACTTTTCCTCTGCCAAATTGTTCCCTTCTAGACAACTTGTTGTTTTCCTCCCTGCCACCGTTTATTATTACAGTGAAATCTCTGTCGAGTGGACCCATAAACAGGGGCACGAAAGATGTCTTTCCACATGTGATTCACTGTATTTGGACTTCGAAATTGTTGCGCCATAAGAACAAGCAGCTTCCTCTGTTGCAATGCGATTTAGTCAAAAGCTTTTACGAAAAACATTTCCAAGAAATCTTTCTGCTACGCTCTCTCTATGAATTTTGAAATGTGAGTCGCAATGTGCTACACATTGTAGATATGTATAGCCGATCCCGAGATATATTTTTAATTTAGCTAATTAGAAAGGAAACCGCTAGAGAACATGGGAATGGCAGGGCACGGCACACACTTGTAAGTGGTTCGGAAAAATAAATTAAAAACATTTCGAACTGCAAATCGATAAACGTGACAGACGAATTCCCGGTCCGTAGACCGTTCCAGCTTTCTGTTGGGTACAAAACATTTAAAAAAATAGAAAGAAATATAAACCAAAACAAGTCTATAAATAGTGTCCGAGCGACGACAGTCGGGTGACAAACAGAAAATAAAAGGAAACGCTCTCGTTGGACTCCAATTGTTGCAAGTCCCAACCTGATTCCCTCCCCCACATCTCTCTCTTGAATCTAATCGATGTTTTCCGTGCCGTGCAATTCGTTAACTCGTAAACAGCTCGAGAAATCACATCAAATAAAGACTCCCAAAAACAAAACCAGTTCCCATCATCTCCATGGGCTCTCGTTTAAAAACAATACACGAAATGTTGTTTTCAAGGTTTCTAAATTATACAAACGAGTTCCGCAGAAGCAGAAGTCGCTTAGAGGTGTTTTTTGTCCCCCTCTTTTTCTTTTTTGTCGGTCGATTCTTTTTGTGTCGAAAAATTGAAAGTTTTGTTCCCTCCTTGCGGCAGCTAATCAGAAGCAGGTCATTCTTTTAGCCACAAAAAACGAAGCAAAGAAATCCGCATTGCGTCGAGAGACAGCTCGTAAAAATTATTATTGTGTGTGTTTCGAAAAAGTGTTGGGCATACTCTAAGTTTTTTCATTAAAGTTTAAACAAATCCAAATATCGTCTTTAACTATAACTGTATACTGACCGATTGTATTCATTATTTATTTATGTCAAAGGCTTATTTATTATGGGAGAGGATAGAAAAAAGAGTAGTAATAATGACAAAACCAATTCTAGTTGACCGCTTTCAGCACTGGCAACACTTGTGACATTTTTATCACCGAATCGTACAGAGTTCTCTTATTGAATTGGGTCAGCGATAATTATACATTTATTTTTGTGCATATGTATATAAGAACTCTTTTGACCTTTGAGATGATCCCTGCTGCCAGTGCATACAATATATTGTACCTATCTTTAGGATTAAAACAATTATTTGTAAAAACACTTGTAAATACCTTTCAAAGAAATTCTCCCATGTGATGTGCTGTGTTTAACATGATTCACAATAAACATTTACTCATTTACCCACAATGTTATATTGCAACAAATAAATCCGTGAGAGACAGATAATATATCAGTAAATATTTATAAAATGAAAGTGCTGCAATCTACAGCTGAGATTGTCTCTGGCTTTGTGCTCATGTGAGTAGTAAAATGTGTAATTCACTTTTATTATTGAACCTACGATTGGGCTCAATGTCATCGCTTTTGATTATTTATTTAACCATTCAACAAGCCTCTTTTTCGAGACCACTGACCATGAGGGGAGTCTTGAAGCCCTCGCACTGGCTTTAGCTTCCTCTTCAGTTTGTCTTCAATTTTTCGACACTCATTTGGTGGAAGGTTTTGTTACTCTGCGGCCTGACTGTTGCCTGGCTTTTGTCTAGGTCTAACTTTTGGTTGGGCTCTTCGCTTGAATTTCACCGCTCGACTCGGCTGGGCTCGACTCCGATTGCCGTTTCGGTTATATGAGGCTCAAAGATTTCGACAGCCCGATTAGAATTGCAAAGTGAGGAGGCGCCATGCGGCACATTCGTTGTTGTTGTGGCACCACTCTAGTGGAACCAACAGAGCATTTATTTCCCTCATTTTCCTATTCCCCCCACACATAGTATTTACAGGTATACTTTTTTCCATACACAACAGATGTGGAAATAAATTCCATTAGTGCCGAAAACTCGTCAGCCGGTGATAAGCGTTCTCCTTTATTCTCGGATTATTGCACTCTATATTGTTTCTGTAATGCATCCAAAAACTTTAATTGAACCCAGATGCACATTCACATCTGTGGCTAATGTCTGGTTAATTTGTTGCAAAGCGCACCTTTGATTTGTACAGCGTTTGCCACAGCATATATTATGTTCCATATATATGAACTTGCAATTTTATTTGAAATTTCTGAAAGAAGTTGGCGGCTCTTTCTTGTCAATTGAGTTCTAAGCTCAAGAAAAAATATAGAACATGAAATTCATTTTCTTAATTTGTGTACGGAATTAAATTATTTAATTGAATCGCAGTCAACGTATGTGTGCGGCAACTAACATTTAACATTGGAATTTCTTTCTTTTTGCTGTGAAAATATTCTCTATATTGTACTCTTCATTTACTCTTCCATATACATTTTTTATTTCCATCCCCAGGATAATTTTAATTATTTAAGCTACTTTTGCGGATTTCTATAAATCGCCCTCCCACTCACGGAGCTAACTGGAATTGGCATTAAACTGGCGACAGACTTTTCCCGTGCTCGTTTTACCACCATCGCATGGAAATTAGTGCGCCGGCAGGCCCCCACATGCCCACATGCTCCTTCACCCTCGCATACCGCTCCACGTAAAACTGTCAATGGCAACGCCTCATGTTATTATTTTTAGTTGTTCTGTTGGCTGTTTGCAAATGCAAACAGGTGGGGGAAAAAGGGAAAAGCGACAACGATTGACGCCCGCAACTGGCACTGCCACTGCCTCCGCTCTGCGCCCCCCACCGGGAATGTTGGTTAATAGCCAAAAGCCAGAAGGCAACTTGCGGGCCCACTCGTCTTTCATGCCCTTTTCGAGGGCATCATATCCAGAATGAAGAACACCTGATCCCAGTCGTGGCTGATTCTACCACCTCACGTTCTTTTCAGAAAAACTTTCTTAGCTAAACTTATTCAAAAAGCTGACTTAGTAAAACGATTCGATATGCGGCGGTATCAATTGGTATCGTATGGATGTTTATATACGTGGAAGTCAGAGAGTACAATCTGTGATGGATGTACAGCCAGATACATTTTTTAAGCTAGGAAGGATTGGAGACACCCTCTTGAGACTGCCAAACGAATAAACTGTACTAGAAACGGTTCCAAATGTATGCATTCCCTCTCCATTACTAGGTTATTTGTTTCTTAACAAGAATTTGTGCAAGTGCAGATGCACCGCGAACGTTGGATATTTAATGGGAAATGGGGGATGGGGTATGCAATATCGGATTGAGCAATCCCATCATCCACTTGTGTCATAATCTGCTGATGTCTACGAATCGTTTTGAAATTTCCAGTTAATTACTCAGACGGAGACGTGCAGCGGAGTGCAGTGCAGTGCAGTGTACTTGTTTTTAATGTCAGCGAATGCCATTTTATTCAAAACTGAACGAGTACGCGCTTCAGTTGAATCACAGTGGCCGATAAGTGAATCAGGAAAGGCAGATACATAAATGTTCTAGGCACACACACTCGTATTTAATGACAGTGACACACTTTGTGCTTATGGCAGAAACTTTAAAGTTAAAAAGCGGCTTTCCGTCCCTTTGAAGTGCCCTGTGAGTCATTTACTGAGAGGCCAGCAGATGTAAAAACAAGGCCAGATGGTAGTTGAAGGTAGAAGGCAGAAGGTGAGCGAATTCCTGGCCCTTTTGTCTGGCCAAATTCTTTTGGCTGTCGCCAGTCATTGAACTCTCGCTGTGGCTGTTGCTGTGGCTCTTATTTTATTTTTTGATGGCGTTTTGGCAACTTTTTCTTATGAGATCATAACACGAAATGGTCTTAGCGCGATGTGTCTGCTATTGACAAAACATTCAGTCGCAAGAATCCAAATAGAATTTATATTCTATGGCCATACAAATCTAGAGAGAAAACAAGTTTACACCGAGAATAGTAAGAGAGAGAGAGAGAGGCGTCGGATGATGGTTGGCACAATCACTATGGCACAATATTGCGCTGATCTAAGCAACTGAAATGTAGGCAACCAACCCACCGACAAAAGCTTATTTAATTAACGTCTCGGTGCGAACGAAAGCGATGTGAAGCTGCTCCGTCAATCAGCGACAGCGACAGTCGTAAATTTCCATAACCCGTCCGATGGCATTTAAATGGAGCGCGCTCTACAGCGCTGCCAGTGCCCGGGCCTCTGCCATGTGGCAACTCTGTCATCAATGGTTCGGTATATTTCGGTATATTTATGAGTATCAGATGGTATATTTTATGATAAATCAGTCTTCGGTCACACCGCAACGAAAGTTTTCATGTTTTTTGCAAAAGAATTTTTTAATTTATTAAATTTCAAGTGCTTCGTTTTGTGCGTTATGTGCCTGGACAACAATCGTGTGCCCTGAGCCGCTCGTTCACTATGTGAAATCCAAGATTTAACGAAGTTAAAGCAAATCAAAACGAAAAGCAGCTGCCACAAAGAACAAAGACCTGCCAGACAGCCAAGTGCATTAGATTCCATTGGATAAAAGGAAAATAAAATCCGCATCAAGCCAGATGGATGATGCCACATCGCAGACCTCGGCTGCAACGCCCATGACACGGGAGAATATTCCGCTGCTGAATCGCCAGCGTAGTCGCTGGTATCTATTCAGGTGAATCATCGTCATCACCCCCCTGACCCTCGTTACGTTGATTTTCGCACTACTTCCAATAGTGGGAGGAGGGAAGTGTGCTATCATTTTGGTACACATGAAGACTTGCAAGCAAAAAACAATTACAGTCAATCGGCTCCCTGTCTGACCCCCCGCTCGTGTCCGACTTTCTCAGCCACACATTTTATTAAGCACTATTAAAAAGGTGTCTGTTTGGTTTGGCCAGTACTTAATGGCTGTTGTGTGAGTTTTCACTTTTGTTTCTTTTCGAGTTTTTATTATTGATTTTTTTTCTGTTCAAGGTCGCCTTCCTTTGCATATTGCTATGGACTCGAGTGGAAAATGTGATAGAAATTTTAATTAGTGTGAGATTGTGGGTGGAAAAAAGGGAACGAATGATAGGTTCTGAATTGATAGAAAGTAAATTTGTAAATGTAATAGTAATAGCTATGTCTCTTAGCGCTTTTCACTTGTTCATCCATGCAGAATCGTGCCCAGCAAAGTATGCGATATTGGCTGACAGATAGATTGAAAATTTGGAGACCTAATATGTTAATCTGGGGCAGGAGAATGCTCCTTGGCTTTGGTCGGATTAAGAGCATCTATATATTGATATTCTTGTGTCTTTTCAGCTGCTGGCGAAAATGGTTCAGGCCACGGGAACTGCGAGCCCGCACCGTCAACCTGGGGAGGGTGAACACGGAGAAGTTCCCGCCGAACGAGATCCGGAACCAGAAGTACAACTTCATCACCTTCCTGCCGCTGGTGTTGTTCGAGCAGTTTCGCTTCTTCCTCAACCTGTACTTTCTGCTGATGGCCCTCTCGCAGTTCATTCCGGACATACGCATTGGCTATCCGTACACATACTGGGGACCGCTGGGCTTTGTGCTGATGGTGACTATATGTCGTGAGGCAGTCGACGACCTGAGGCGGCACCAGCGCGATCATGAGGTCAACTCCCAGAAGTACAAACGGCTGTCGGCGACTAATGGAAGCGGCTACGAGATGGTTCCCAGCTCTAAGCTGAAGGTCGGTGATGTCATCATTGTGGAGAAGAACGAAAGAGTGCCAGCGGACCTTATTCTGCTGCGTACCAGCGATCGCAGTGGTTCCGTCTTCGTACGCACCGACCAACTCGATGGCGAGACGGACTGGAAGCCCCGCCTGGCTGTGCCCTATACCCAGAAGCTAAGCCGCGACTCTGAGTTGCACACCATCGATGCACACTTCTATGTGGAGAAGCCCCAGAACGATATACACAGCTTCATTGCCACCTTCTGCATGACGGACGGCAGCGAGGACACCGGCCTCAGCGTGGAGAACACTCTATGGGCCAATACGGTGGTGGCTGCCGGCACAGCCACTGGCATTGTCATCTACACGGGCTGCGAGACCCGCAGCGTGATGAACAACTCCCAGCCCAGATCCAAGGTGGGTCTCCTGGATATGGAAATCAATGGATTGACAAAGGTAAGAGAAGCTACCTACCAAGAGCAGATTTAATTTGTTTTTGCCATTCTTTCAGGTTCTTTTCTGTGCCGTATTGGGCCTGTCGCTGGTCATGATGATGCTGAAGGGATTCGGTGGACCCTGGTACAGATATATGTTCCGCTTTGTCCTGCTCTTCTCGTACATCATTCCGATCAGTCTGCGGGTGAACCTGGACATGGGAAAGGCCTTCTACTCGTGGCAAATGCAGAACGACTCCAACATCCAAGGAACAGTGGTGCGCTCCACAACCATACCGGAGGAACTGGGCAGAATCTCCTATGTGCTGACGGACAAGACGGGCACCCTCACCCAGAACGAAATGGTATTTAAAAAGATTCACCTGGGCATTGTGTCGCACGATGCGGACACCTTCCATCACATTGGCCATATCATACAGAAGCTATCGGGGAACATACTGCAGCAACAACAGCAGCAGGGCAGCGTATCCAGCTCCAGCAGCGGGGAGTCCAACACCGCCACCAAACCGATTATGTTTGCAGGCAATCGCATGCGGCGACCCGAAGGCTGGCGTGAGTGGGAGGCGGTGCGCGCTTTGGCCCTGTGCCACAATGTGACCCCCGTTAGTGATGAGGAGGACAATAGGTCCGTGTCCACGGCATCCACAGTCACTGGCGGCAACAACTCTCCCACCAAATCTGTTATAAACATCGAGGCCCCAGGTAGCACAGACACAGAGCATCAGTACCAGGCTGCCTCGCCGGATGAGATCGCGTTGGTCAAGTGGACAGAGCAGGTGGGGTTGACGTTGATTGCCAGGGATCTGAACACCATGACACTGCAGGTGAAGACCCCCAGCGAGGACAGTAAGTAACGACAATCGTAATGCAATCGTATCCCAAGTAAATGGCTTTTTTCCAGACGATATCCTGTTGCAATATCAGATTCTGCAGCTGTTCCCCTTCACCAGCGAAAGCAAACGCATGGGCATCATCGTGAGGGAAAGCAAGTCCGGTCAGATAACGTTCTATTTAAAGGGCGCCGATGTGGTCATGTCCAGTATTGTCCAATACAATGATTGGCTCAGCGAAGAGTCGGGTAACATGGCCCGCGAGGGACTGCGCACATTGGTGGTGGCCAAGAAGGTTCTCACGGAGGAGCAGTACTCGGACTTTGAGATGCGGTACAATGCGGCTCGCCTGAGTATCACAGATCGCGTGGCTAAGGTGGCCGCCGTGACCGAATCTCTAGAGAGGGAACTGGAGCTGCTCTGCCTCACTGGGGTGGAGGATCGCCTGCAGGAAAATGTGCGCCCCACCTTGGAACTGCTGCGCAATGCGGGTGTTCGTGTATGGATGCTGACGGGAGATAAACTAGAGACCGCCTGCTGCATTGCAAAGTCCTCGCAGCTAATTGGCCGGAACCAGGGTCTGCATGTGCTGCGCTCCGTGAAGACGCGTATGGATGCCCATCAGGAGCTGAATAGCTTCAGGCGCAAGCAGGGCCATGCCCTTGTCATCGAGGGCGAATCACTTGAAGTTTGCCTGCAGTATTATCGACCAGAGTTCCTCGAACTGGCCACCGCCTCGCCGGCTGTCGTATGCTGCCGCTGCTCGCCCACCCAAAAGGCCCAGGTGGTGGCGCTCATCCAGAAGCACACGGGCAAACGCACTTGTGCCGTGGGCGATGGTGGCAACGATGTGAGCATGATCCAGCAGGCGGATGCCGGCGTGGGCATCGAAGGCCGTGAAGGCAGACAGGCCTCTCTGGCTGGCGATTTCAGCATTCCGCAATTCTCACACATTGCCAAGCTGTTGCTGATCCACGGCAGGCGGAGCTACAAGCGCTCGGCGGCTCTTTCCCAGTTCGTCATCCATCGCGGCCTAATCATCACCACACTGCAGGCAGTATTCTCGGCAGTTTTCTACCTCAGTTCGGTGGCTCTGTATCAGGGCTTTCTCATGGTCGGCTATTCGACATTGTATACCATGTTCCCGGTGTTCTCGCTGGTGCTGGATCAGGACATCACCTCGGAGACGGCTGTTACGTATCCGGAGCTATATAAGGATCTATCAAAGGGTCGCAGTCTCAGCTATAAGACCTTCTTCATTTGGGTATTGATTAGCATATACCAAGGCGGCGTCATCATGTACGGGGCCCTGATACTCTTCGTGGACGAGTTCATACACATTGTTGCCATTAGCTTCTCGGCTCTGATCATGACTGAGCTAATAATGGTGGCTCTAACCGTGCGCACTTGGCACAGGTGAGTTCTTAAAAATAATACGACCAACGAGCACTCCTAAACCTACCCATCTTTTCTGCAGGCTAATGGTGCTAGCAGAGCTATTCAGCTTGGCCCTTTATCTCATTTCATTGGCCGTCTTGCACGAGTATTTCGGTGAGTCTTTTACACTTGAAAGGCCAGAGCCTGCGCCGTTACTAATTTTGTGTTTTTTTCCGCCCGCAGACTGGGAGTTCATCTGGTCTTACGACTTTCTCTGGAAGGTGTCGCTCATCACGCTAGTGTCCTGCTTGCCCCTGTACATAATCAAGTTCTTGCGTAAGAAATGTTCTCCGCCTTCATACTTGAAGCTCTCTTAGATCCGATTGCTTCTATTCCCAAAATAATTTCCCCCGTCTATGGTTTTCCTTTCTGTATTTGTTTATGGTTTAATGATTAATTATTTGCACGTGCTGTGTTACAATCTGTCGTCTCGTTTTGCCAAACGCAAACCCAGCCCCACACTAATCCCATTACCGAGCCTGCGTCCCCGACCCCCATATGCGTGATATAAAGTTAAATTGACTCTCCTTCGACACCTTTGCACTTTGCTTGTTTGTTGTTTTTGTTTCATTTGTAAATTTACACAAAAATGCAGAGTAAAAGTGAGGGATTCGACTAACGTACGATTATTAAAACAAAAACTAACTTTAATTTATAGGCGTGTGAGGAGTAAAAGAAAAGTTTATTATTATATTTCCACATTTTTTGTATACCTGTGTGTATTTGATTAATATTTAAGTCGCAGTAAACCAAATTATGTTACTAATTATTTAATGTTAAAGTAAATTAAAATAATACTAATTGTATCTATGACTAAACTAAAACACTGAAATCAATTATGAGAAATGTACGAAACAAAATGTAAAACGACAAATAGATTTTTGTATTAAGGTTTAAAAATCGCATTGGATTGTGAAATAAAGACATAAATAAATAGAAAATATATCGAGAAAATTTCGGAAGTCCGTCCAAATCGGTCGGAATTACATTATTTACTTAAAACTGCAATTTTTAATGAAAACCCATGCAGAAATATTTTTCAAAAACCATGGCATACTTTTGTGGGTTCCTTTATAAAAAAGTGTAGCATACTTTCAGGCTGGCATATTCAGCCAGTCTATTACAAAATTGCGTGTAAAAGGCGTATGCTTGCATCCCTGATGTCCTTGATAAGGTCATAGTATAGAGGAGACCCTTCCGCTCACGAGGACATGTATCACGCCTGGATTGGTTGAGAAATGGCAGAGTTATACAAATTTTATCCATAGTCCTTGATGTCCTTGATGCGAAACTGATTGCAAACAATCGGGGAGATTCTCTTGATCACGAAAAGGTGTCGCCCGCTTAAATCGAACGACAAATAGCCGAGATATAGCGTCACAAAAAAATACTGGTTTTTTCTTTCCGATGCTATATCTCGTCCAAATAGGGGCAGATCCTGGAAGGACCTACTTTTTCAGGTTCGTGAGGATCCACACTAACGATCGGCATCCAAAAAAACGACATCCGAGGAATACTGGTTTTCGCAAACCAGTGATGTAACCATCATCCTTTTTGCGAAAACCAGTATTTGCCGAATGTCCTTTTTTTTGATGCCAAACGATGGAATGGGCTCTCCTGATAACAACCAGATATGCCACGCCCAGATCTGCCCCTATTTGGCGAAGATATAGCTTCATTACAAAAAACCAGTATTTTAAATTTTTGGCAGCCAAAACTTTGGGACGCTATATCTCGGCCAAATAGGCTCGGATCGGAGCAGGACCTATCTTTCCAGAATCTTTAGGATCCAGACTGTCTATCGGCTATAGGTTTTCCCCGATCAGATGGAGGCGTGGCTCGCCCTGATCAAGCTAAATATGGCGAAGCAATAAAGGATTTCTAGCGTTTCCAAGGCAATATCCTTATTGTCCTTGATGTCAAACGATAGGGGACTGTGTTCCGATCAGGAGGAGGCGTAGCACGACCAGATCGGACAGGAAATGGCAGAGCTATACGTATTTTAAAAAACTCTATAAATTGCTGCCGGTTTCGTAACAGCCAGCCTTTGACCTGATGTAAAAAAGAAAAACCAGCTACCTTCTGCTGATTTCTGTTCGCCTGGTACTCGGTCTGAAAATTTTCTAGTTTTCGGCCATTTGAGCGAAGCATTTTCAAAAGGTTAGTTCCAACAGTGGACGTAGGCACATTAGGGGCGCCACTGTGCAAAATAATTGTACAATTTTTTTTTAGCAATATTTTATTTTATTAATTAATGACCTGATATCAAGGAATATCCTTGATTTTATGGAGTACTTGCCAAGGATCCAGAACATGAAGGATAAAAATATTTAAATTTCTCCAGTATTCGCCTTCGCCATGGCAACATCCCCTGGTGGAGTCCTTATCAAGGATCAAGAATATTTTCACAGTGATACATACTTACTTTTCTCCGCCATTTCTCTTTCGATCTGGCCTTGCTATACCTTTTTGTGATCGGCAGGACGCTCCGACAGCATAAAGGGCAATAAGGATATTGAACATTCTTGATATTGGGGAGTCCTTTTTAATGACTAGAATGAGGGATATTTATCCCCAGTCATCCATACTTATTTTTCTCCGCCATTCCACATCCGATCAGGACGTGATACAAGGCCTCTTAATCGCCAGGATCTCCTCCTTTTTTGGCAACAAGGACAATAAGGATATTAGGAGCTATAGCCCCGCTTTTCTTCATTCGATCTGCGCGTGCCATACCTTCTCGTAATCGGGTCCTTGCCAAGGACCAAGGATCAAAATATTTAAATCTCTCACCTATTCGACTTGGCAACATCCCCGATGGAGACCTTATCAAGGATCAAGGATATTTTCACCATACATATTTAGTTTTCTCCACCGTAAATTCAAATCTGAGATACCAGGCGCACAGAAATCAGCAGAAGGTCGCTGCTTTTTTTAAATTCTGTTTTTCCCTTATCTCTCTTTGTATTTCGTTGCTCTCTTCTTTCGCTCTAATTTTTCTCATTTTCTGCCTCCACTTTCCACCGCTCAAATGGCAGAAAACCGTTAAATTCAAATCTGAGATACCAGGCGCACAGAAATCAGCAGAAGGTCGCCGCTTTTTTTAAATTCTCTTTTTTCCTTGTCTCTCTTTGTATTTCGTTGCTCTCTTTTTTCGCTCTCATTTTTCCCATTTTCTGCCTCCACTTTCCACCGCTCAAATGGCAGAAAACCATTAAATTCAAATCTGAGATACCAGGCGCACAGAAATCAGCAGAAGGTCGTTGCTTTTTTTAAATTCTCTTTTTTTCTTGTTTCTCTTTGTATTTCGTTGCTCTCTTTTTTCGCTCTCATTTTTCCCATTTTCTGCCTCCACTTTCCACCGCTCAAATGGCAGAAACCGTTAAATTCAAATCTGAGATACCAGGCGCACAGAAATCAGCAGAAGGTCGCTGCTTTTTTTAAATTCTCTTTTTTCCTTGTCTCTCTCTGTATTTCGTTGCTCTCTTCTTTCGCTCTAATTTTTCCCATTTTCTGCCTCCACTTTCCACCGCTCAAATGGCAGAAAACCGTTAAATTCAAATCTGAGATACCAGGCGCACAGAAATCAGCAGAAGGTCGCTGCTTTTTTTAAATTCTCTTTTTTTCTTGTTTCTCTTTGTATTTCGTTGCTCTCTTTTTTCGCTCTCATTTTTCCCATTTTCTGCCTCCACTTTCCACCGCTCAAATGGCAGAAAACCGTTAAATTCAAATCTGAGATACCAGGCGCACAGAAATCAGCAGAAGGTCGCTGCTTTTTTTAAATTCTCTTTTTTTCTTGTCTCTCTTTGTATTTCGTTGCTCTCTTTTTTCGCTCTAATTTTTCTCATTTTCTGCCTCCACTTTCCACCGCTCAAATGGCAGAAAACCGTTAAATTCAAATCTGAGATACCAGGCGCACAGAAATCAGCAGAAGGTCGCTGCTTTTTTTAAATTCTCTTTTTTCCTTGTCTCTCTTTGTATTTCGTTGCTCTCTTCTTTCGCTCTAATTTTTCTCATTTTCTGCCTCCACTTTCCACCGCTCAAATGGCAGAAAACCGTTAAATTCAAATCTGAGATACCAGGCGCACAGAAATCAGCAGAAGGTCGCTGCTTTTTTTAAATTCTCTTTTTTTCTTGTTTCTCTTTGTATTTCGTTGCTCTCTTTTTTCGCTCTCATTTTTCCCATTTTCTGCCTCCACTTTCCACCGCTCAAATGGCAGAAAACCGTTAAATTCAAATCTGAGATCCAGGCGCACAGAAATCAGCAGAAGGTCGCTGCTCTTTTTAAATTCTCTTTTTTTCTTGTTTCTCTTTGTATTTCGTTGCTCTCTTTTTTCGCTCTCATTTTTCCCATTTTCTGCCTCCACTTTCCACCGCTCAAATGGCAGAAAACCGTTAAATTCAAATCTGAGATACCAGGCGCACAGAAATCAGGAGAAGGTCGCTCTTTTTAAATTCTCTTTTTTTCTTGCCTCTTTGTATTTCGTTGCTCTCTTTTTTCGCTCTAATTTTTCCCATTTTCTGCCTCCACTTTCCACCACTCAAATGGCAGAAAACCTAAATTAAGCTAAAGAAGAGATCAATGAAATACAAAGGAGACAAGGAAAAATCAGTAACAAAAGGTCGCTCTTTTTTTGAATTCTCTTTTTTCTCATTTGATTTCTCGTTTTTCGCCATTTGAGCGGTGGAAAGTGGAGGCAGAAAATGGGAAAAATAAGAGCGAAAAAAGAAAGCAACGTAATACAAAGAGAGACAAGGAAAAAAGAGAATTTAAAAAAGAAGCGACCTTCTGCTGATTTCTGTGCGCCTGGTATCTCAGATTTGAATTTAACGGTTTTCTGCCATTTGAGCGGTGGAAAGTGGAGGCAGAAAATGGGAAAAATGAGAGCGAAAAAAGAGAGCAACGAAATACAAAGAGAAACAAGAAAAAAAGAGAATTTAAAAAAAGCAGCGACCTTCTGCTGATTTCTGTGCGCCTGGTATCTCAGATTTGAATTTAACGGTTTTCTGCCATTTGAGCGGTGGAAAGTGGAGGCAGAAAATGAGAAAAATTAGAGCGAAAGAAGAGAGCAACGAAATACAAAGAGAGACAAGGAAAAAAAGAGAATTTAAAAAAGCAGCGACCTTCTGCTGATTTCTGTGCGCTGGTGTCTCAGATTTGAATTTAATGGTTTTCTGCCATTTGAGCGGTGGAAGTGGAGGCAGAAAATGGGAAAAATGAGAGCGAAAAAAGAGAGCAACGAAATACAAAGAGAAACAAGAAAAAAAGAGAATTTAAAAAAAGCAGCGACCTTCTGCTGATTTCTGTGCGCCTGATCTCAGATTTGAATTTAACGGTTTTCTGCCATTTGAGCGGTGGAAAGTGGAGGCAGAAAATGAGAAAAATTAGAGCGAAAGAAGAGAGCAACGAAATACAGAGAGAGACAAGGAAAAAAGAGAATTTAAAAAAAGCAGCGACCTTCTGCTGATTTCTGTGCGCCTGCATCTCAGATTTGAATTTAACGGTTTCTGCCATTTGAGCGGTGGAAAGTGGAGGCAGAAAATGGGAAAAATGAGAGCGAAAAAAGAGAGCAACGAAATACAAAGAGAAACAAGAAAAAAAGAGAATTTAAAAAAAGCAACGACCTTCTGCTGATTTCTGTGCGCCTGGTATCTCAGATTTGAATTTAATGGTTTTCGCCATTTGAGCGGTGGAAAGTGGAGGCAGAAAATGGGAAAAAATGAAAGCAAAAAAGAGAGCAACGAAATACAAAGAGAAACAAGAAAAAAGAGAATTTAAAAAAAGCAGCGACCTTCTGCTGATTTCTGTGCGCCTGGTATCTCAGATTTGAATTTAACGGTTTTCTGCCAGTTGAGCGGTGGAAAGTGGAGGCATAAAATGAGAAAAATTAGAGAGAAAAAAGAGAGCAACGAAATACAAAGAGAAACAAGAAAAAAGATA